TAGATTGAATTGCATTAGTTTGTGTTGTTTAGGGATCCAATTGCATTTTTTTTAGTTCGATGGCCCAATTGCAATTTGGTGCACAGTTGAGTGACATATTTGACCCTTATTCCTTCTATTTTTAAAAGTTTTTTTTGACTATTTTGCCCTTGCTTATTTTTATAATTCTAAATGTATCATTTATTTGTTTTGTATGTAATTTTTTATTTTGTTAAATACTTATATTTAAAATTTGTATTATTAATATAAATTATACCATATTAAATATCTCGTTGAGGCGATCGAAAAAGACTAATATTGAATATATATTAATTAAAATTTCAAATACATCAAACATAACTAGAACATAATAAAAATTAAAATGCATACGACATAATATTGATATTATAAAATACAACACAATTTTCAAAAATATTGTGAAATTCATTTTTTAAAATAATTAACGTTATAAAAAAATTAATTAATGTTAATAAAAATTATTATTTATATCACAAGTTATATTTTATATTAAACTAATTTAGTTTGAACTAAATTATATTAAACTATTTAAATTCGAACTAATAATTGAGAAATCAAATTATTTTAGTATAGAAATTTGGTGTTTTGGTATTTTGGTGTAAATTGATTGGAGATGCTTTAACAACGCCCAATGTTCCGGTGAGATTTTTACAGAACTACCTGCCTCTCAAACCAACGACTTCAGTATCTTTGCTTTACAGAACTACCTACCTCCCAAACCAACGACTTCAGCCTATTGTCCCGGCAAGAGATAGAAGCTTTCTTCGTCGGACGATGAAGCTTATTTATTTATTGGTAATTTTATTTATTTATTTAAACAAATATCTTTAACTTCATTTATTTACTTAATTTTATTAAAATAATTTATTTATTTTTTTAAAATAACCTGATATCCGCTATTTTAACAATAAATACATAAAATATTAATCGTATTTTTACATTGCAGATCACTAATTTAAATATTTCGGCATTGTAGACTAGTACCGCTACTCGTGTTCCAAAGTTATCATCTGGGATTAAACCCAAGACCTCTAGCATGGCCTAAGCACACCTCAACCCACCAGGCTACACCAGCTATTGTATACCAAGGCGCTACAAATATATATATATATATATATATATATATATATATATATATATATATATATATATATATATATATATATATATATATATATATATATATATATATATATATATATATATATATAGTTGTTCTATATTTTTGGACTGGCAGCATTAACCACCGCTCGGTGACTGGCCGACGGTGCGGCCAGCCGGCACCTCAGGCCATGGCGTGGGCAGCGGGGGTGGTGTGCTCCTTGGCGCACCATCGTCGCCCCCACCAGCTAGGGGTGGTAGTAAGGGGTAGAGATGGGTGGTAGAGAAGGTGGAGACGTGGGTGAAGGCACGAGACATGCATAGACACGTGGAAGATGGATATAGAAGATTAGTCGATGTCGTACACTTTTCAACAATTCGGAAGGCCCTCTACACTATATAAGGCACCTTCCATCCATTTAAGGCATCATCATCTAAGCACGATAAGCACTATAGTCTAGTGGTCTTGATCTCATACTCTTAACCCTCTTGTCTGTAGCATTCGGGTTGCCTATCATTTGGGCCTTGTTTTTTGTTCTATATTTAAACCATCAATTTCCACCTTCCATGAAAATATGATCGAGGATGATATCACAATTTGATTTGCCCAAATTTAATAATTGATGAAAAATAGCAAAGATGAAAGAACCACAATTTGAATTGCCTAAATTTAATAATTGATATTTGAAATGCTTAAAGAATAAATGGTTAACGGTGAAAAAGAAAAACAAAACATGAATTTTGACACTAAACATCATTTTGAACCAGGTTTGCCTTGCAAGTAACCCTAGTCCACAATATAATTGTGTGTCATGAGTGATATTTAATAGTACATCATTGTTATAATTAATTGTAATTGATAAATTTTGATGATGCTGATTAAATTGTAATAGGATATTAGATTCTACAAATTAATGTACGTGACAAACAACAAGGAGATATTGAAAATGACGAAGCTTATTGCATGTGATTATTTATTTAAAAAGATTAAACGTCTATTACAACAGTGGAATGAACTTCCATCAAGTTTAATGCAAGTACAAAAAACGTATACAAAATCTTTTCTTTTCTAACATTTGTCTTGTTTTAATCAAATCACTTGGAATGCATTTATTTTATAGATAGGGTGTGTAATAGCTAGCAAGCCTTCTCTCAGCTCGCTCTATATAAACCCTCATAAGTTTCATGACTTATACACAAAAGTCTTCATTTTACCCAAAAAAAAAAAAAAAAAAAAAAACTTTAAGATCTTTTTATGCAATCTTTCATTCAAAACTCATAAATCTTTTCCTATAAAAAATTATGTCATATCTCATTAGAAACAACATAATTTTCTCTATGCTTACAAAAATGGGAGTCAATTCAGACATATCAAAATGAATTTGATAACATACCTTTATAACCCTAGATTGGAGAAACACCAGATGGTAATGTGGCCTAGTTTTGATAGCTAAATGTCAAAAGAAATATCTATTACACTTACTCATGGGAATGGCGCATTATGTACCAAAAAAAAAATGGGAATGACGCATTGACACTGAAGTGTTTAAAGATGTATGCTACATCAAAAGATAAGTGCAAATTTTCTTTTACAAAGTTTGCATGTCTCAGGCATTCCTTGTGCTTACTAATGAAACCTTTGATGCGAAAAAAGGGGGAAGTAATAAGGAAAAATGCACAGAAATGAAAAGGAAAGGAGAATAAAACATCTTCCTCTTGCTTGTTGCTATTTCTCGATGCTAACCATTATAGATTTTGGATTACATCTTTTTGCATAAACACAACTTCTTGCTCTTAGCTTTGATTTCAACATGGCAATTTCTTCATTGTTCCAGTTAATCCTCCTTAACAGTTCAATAATTATGTTTTGTATTTTGAGCACATAGGAATATCTAACCACCATATGAAGTCGCTACACTCACCAACTTGTATTCATTGCACTCAAACCATGAAAACAATTAAGCCAATACTTGTTTCTTTTTTTATTATTAAACAAAAATCAAACAACAAACAATACATTCTAATCACTTTCTCTAGAGCACACTCATAGTATCTTCGTTGTTCATGATGCTGGTTAAATTGTAATATGAAAAAAGTTTTCACAAATTAATGTGCACGACAAGCAAGGAGATCTAGAAAATTATGAAGCTTATTGCGCGTGATTACTCATTAAAGAAGAGTAACTGTATATTTCACTCACAATGCATTTACTTTTTAGAAAGGGTGCGTAATAGCTAGCAAGCCTTCTCAGCTCACTCTATATAAACCCCCTTAAGTTTCATGACTTCTACCCAATAAGTATTTATTTTACAACAAAAATCATCTTAAGAACTTATTATGCAATCTTTCCTTCAAAACTTATAAATATTTTCCTATAGAAAATTATGTCATATCTCATTAGCAATTACATAATTTTATCTATGCATACAAAAATGAGAGTCATTATTAGGCATATCAAAATGAATTAGATAACATACCTTCATAGCCTTAGCTTAGAGAAACATCATATGGTATGGGGCCCGGGGGCCTAGTTTTGCTAGTTGAAGGTCGAAAGAAATATATATTACCCTTACTCATGGGAATGAATCATAAATTATTTGACACTGAAGTGTTTAAAGATGCATGCTACATCCAAATAAATAAGTGTAATTTTGCTTTTACAAAATTTGCATGTCTCAGACATTCTTCGAGCTTACTAATGAAACCCTTGATGCTAAAAAAAGGGGGAAATAATAAGGAAAAATGCTCATGAATGAAAAAGGAGAGGAGAAGAAAGCATTTGCATCTCCCTTTGTTGCTAACCATTATAAATATTGGATTACCTCTGTTTACATCAACACAACTTCTTCTTCTTAGCTTTGATTTCAACATAGCAATCTCTTAATTGTTCCAATTAATCATCCTTAACAATTCAATAATTATGTTATTGGTCTTGATCACATAGGAATATCGAATCACCGACCTTATAAAGTCACACCCACCAACTTGTATTCCTTGCACCCAAACCATTAAATTTAAGCCAATACTTGTTTTTTTTTTTTTTAATATATATGTATTATTAAACAAAAATTAAATAACTAATAATATATTCTAATCACTTTCTTTGGAGCACACTCCTAGTACCTTCTTTATCCATGATGTTTTTAGCTTCAACAACTATCCACATACACAATATAGATTCTATAACACATTGCCATAGTAAAGGACTTTATACTATCTTCGACTTGAAGATGAATCAGTCTTGCCATAGCTTGATTGCATCTCAGTTGCAGATAATAATTTGCAGAGAGAGAATGAGTGGTTTTTTTTTTTCTTTCAGACAAAATCTAGGGTTTCACTTGTATACGAGTGAACATAGAAGGATAAAACATGAATGCACTAAATTTCTAAAGATACCCTCTAGTTCAAGTGCTTTTGCACAAATTAAACAACTTAATAGATGTTTTTTTTTTTTAATTTTTTAAATTTATTTTAAATGAATAGTCAAATAACCTAATTTGATAATTGATAACCAATTTTGATATTTTGTAATACTCGAAAAATGATTTTTGTGTCGCCCATACATTAACACTGAGGTCTTTTCTATGTCAGGTTGTGGGGAGTGGTTTGATCACCCTCCTGTTTCCTTGTAAGTTGTCTTCATCATAGTTTAATGAATTAAGTTTGATTTCTAAAAAAAAAAATTATGTTTAACATATTCTTTTATTATTATTTTGAAGAAAATAGGTTAAACTTTATCTTATATACAAGATTCAAGATATCGATCTATATCATTCAATGACAAGATTATTGATATAGTTGATTATTCTTGTTGCAACATAAATTATATTGTACTTTTAATTTGTTACAACATATATTATATTGGAGTACAATATGAGTTGCATAAAACGCTCCAATCAAAATCGGTCGGAGCTCCTTTCTTCTGTCTTTTCCCCTCTCTAAAATCCGTTTGCTGATACCGCCCAGCGATTGACACCCGCGCTCTCTCCCTTCCAATTCTCTCTCTACAGACAGATACATACATACATCTCTATATCCCAAGAGATTTCGGAAATTTCGTTTTCTTTTATACAAAGTCTCGAAATTATTCACCGTTGATTTTTTTCTACGCGTTCTTCTCTTTCAACAGGTATGATCTGTAGGTATCATTTTTTTTTTTTTTTAGTTTTTTATTTGTGTGAATGTGATTATAGACTTGTTCAGATATAGTTTACATGTGTACATATCTATCGACATTGGTGTTTGAGGAGTGGTTTTAGGGTTTTTTATTTTTAATTTTTTAATTTTTTTATGATGTTAAGATCAGCAAGCCGAGTCGTCGCTAGGGTTTTGATGTTCTTCTGACTCATTTTTGGGACTTATTTACAACTACATTTATCTGAAAATAATAAATTAGTAACCTTAATTTAATTGGCCTTTGGGATTTTGCTCCTTTCTCTTTCATCTTAGTGCTTATATGGATAGCTGCCCAAGTAGTTATGCAGTAATGTTTTTGAAGGGTTTAATCTGAGAGAGGTGGAGTGGGTTGGTATTTCATGGGCCAAGTGATTGAAACTTTGTTATGTCTACAGTAGTTTCTTTTTTTTTTTTTTGAAGTAAATTTGTAGCCTTTATGATATTGTTGAGCTCTTGTGAAGTTGGAAAAGTGAATAATAAATTATCCTGGAGTCTTAACATATAAAACATGTTTTGGTTTTCTCTGAGGTTGCTATGAATGTGGATTTTCATGGTTACCAGTTCTTTTGTTTTAAGCACAATTTGTAAAATCCTCCTAATTGCCTGTAGGCTTATTATTCTTTTGGTTTATTTAAACATTATTAAACTGTGCATGACCTATTATGTGGAATGTTGTATATACTTCTTGTAATCGAGATACAGATAACCGTTTCTCTTCACAGATTGCTGTTGGAAAATTTTGAAGGTTGCTCTATGCCCTATGTTAGTGGGAGTAAAGAGTTGGATCATTCCTTAGGTTTCTACATCTTTGAACAGCTGTTCATACTTTTAAGAATACTGATATGATTTCTCAGATATCAGTAGGTGAAAATGTTTGTTATTTCAAGGAAACTTCATCATCTATGGATCCTAATAGTGCAATTGTAAAATTATCAGCCTCTGTTCAATCATCTGAACCATTTAGTGAGATAGATGACAAGTTGTCTGAGAGCATGGTTACACCTAATGTTTCAGGAACTGACGTTCTTGTTACTGCCTTTGATGATGTAAATACAGCTGAGCTGTCTGAACAGAAGCATGAAAAAAGAAGTGGCATCCCTAAAGCTGATGATGCATCAGAAAGAAAATGTCCTGACATTGTATGCATGGATCCACCAAGGAGGAGTGCGCGCAAAAGCTTACTGCTCCAGAATCAAGTCAACCCATCTATAAGAAATGCTGGGAGAACAGCAGCTAAAAGAGGAACACTGGATATTAATAATTTGAACATCATACGCCGGAAAAGAACTAGTTCTAGAAAGCCAACTCGATCATCAGTTTGGACATCATTGGGGAATGATATACAAACTTCTGAACATGGTGAAGGGGCTGAGGTAGTTAAAAGTGATCAAAGGAAATCAAGAAGAGCAAAACGGGGTCAGAAAAGTGAAAAGCACGATAATAATCAGGCAGTGCAAAACTTACAAACGTCAATGGCAAAGAATCGCATTTGCTTGAAAGTTAAATTTGGTCAACGTTCTCTTATGGATGTTCTTCCACTTATTGAAAATGGCAATGGAACATATTCATCCACCAGTAAAGAACCAGTAAGAGTTCCAGAAAGCATTTGTGATCAGTTTGAAGATGAGATGAATAAAATAACAGGGTTAAATGGGATCAATGCAAGCTTGGATAGTTCTTTTACATCGTCTGACGCTTCTGTTACAAACATGGGCCCAGCTGGCAAGAACGTTGATGAAAGTCCAACTGAAAAATATTTGGAGAGTCATAATGAGTCACCTACACTCGCAGAGGTTGGTAAATTGGGAACACCAGTTGATGACAGGTGCTCAAATCCTGGAACTTCCCCTGATTCAGAAGTTATCAATCTTATTCCTGATGCTCATATCAGTTTAAAAGGTCTAGACAACTTGCATGGCTTAATGTCAACCCAAGCAAGTGGTGCTTCTGAAGATTTTGCAAGTTTTGGTATAGTAGAGAATTGCCATATAAAAGGAAAGAAAAAAGATAGGCTTGTCAAGACAGCTGATTGCAGTGTAAAAGCTACTTTCCCTAGTTCAGAAATTATTAACAATGAACAACCATTGGGGCAATTCACGCTGGGAGAATTCATTGGTGATGGCTCTTATTCTGATCGGGCTGATACTTATATTTTAACCACATCCAAAAATGCATCTGGGAGTGTATCTAGCACTGAGTTGTGTCCTGGGGAACCAGAACCTTTATCTAAAGTGGATGACTTTGGAGGGTCCTCTGCTTCTCCCATGCTTGAACATAGTGTGGTGGTAAATCTTTGTTCTAGCCTTGATACTCATTCACCAGATTTGCAGATGCCTGAGAAATCACTTTCTTCTACTGAGAAGCTCAAACCTTCAAAAAGGGGAAAGTCCAAGTGGGTAGGAAAGAACCAGTCAGAAATCGTCAATTCATCAAGTAGAGCAAATTCATCTAAAACAAAGGTTAACAAGGGTAAAAAATCTGGCAAGTGTGAAGTAAAGAATAAGCCTCATGGTGTTCAGGGTCTTACTGAATTGGGAAATGATCCAGAACCAGGTAAAAACTTCCAGGCTTGATGATATGCTGCTCTCAGTGACTTCTCCTAACCCTCTCCCCACATTTCTTCAGTAGAGGCACTTAAGTAATATATTTTTTCCTGCCGTCATGAAGATGTAATTTATCGTGAATTAATGTTGTAGAAAACCAAACATCATCTCAGCTTGGACAAATTGGCTCTGGTATCAAAATCTCATGTTTAGGGACATCAAATCAAACTGAAGGTCACACAGAATCTATGTCACTAAGGAATGCTTGGGTGCAGTGTGATGATTGCCAGAAATGGAGGCGCATACCAGCTGTACTTGCTGATCAAATTGAAGAAACAAACTGCAAATGGTATGTAACTTCGCATCTCTATACTAAGTAATTTCAACTGATTGTTTAATGGTATTTCTCTTTGAAGCTCATTTGGTTAAATAGGGCTTCAGCTTTTCCTTTCACATGTTCAGAAATTTAGTTTTGACCTTTGTTTTTTTAGGAAAAAAGGGTCAAACTGCCCCTTAAGTCGAACAGAAGCAGCCCGCTAAGTAAAAAAAAAAAAGAAGCTCCAGCCCCTAAACTAGCAAAAAAGGTTCAATTGAGTTCTAATGTAACATGATTAGCAGGTTAATGCTAATGTGGCTGACACGTCTTGTTTTTTTTATTTTTTTATTTTTTATTTCAATACAGCTCATGGCTGTCTCCTTTCACAGACAGCCGTGGCTGTCCGACAACAGCAACAGCTGTCCCAAAAGGACGGCCGTGGCTGTCATCTACTTCAATAATCTGAAACTAAGGTGGCGACCATGGCCTGTGGCTGTTTGACGACAGCCACAGCTGTCCCAAAAAGATGGCCATGGCTGTCATCTACTTCAATAATCTCAAACTTTGGTGGTGACCATGGCCACCGTCTTCACATCAGATTCCCTGAGAGGAGGAGATAGAGGGTCTGAAACAAAGGTGGCGGCCATGGCCGCCTTCGTTTCAGACCCTCATCTCCCTCTGAAATGAGGGTGGCTGCCACGGCCATAGCCCTCGTTTCAGATGTTCCAGATCTGGACCTCATCTTTGAGGTCCAGATTTGGAAGACAGCCACTGCTGTCTGTGAAAGGAGACAGCTGGTGGATGTATTAATAAAAAAAGAAAAAAATTAAAAACAAAAACAAAAATTCATAAAAAATGATACATTTTAGCCACATAAGCATTGACCTTCTAAGCTGGTTACATTAGAACTCAATTGAACTTTTTTGCCGGTTTAAGTTAAAAAAAAAAAAAAAATTACTTAGGGGGCTTAGTTGCACTATCCGTTTGACTTAGGAGGCCAATTTGACCCTTATGCCCTTTTTTTGAAGAGGGGTGGGGGTGGTATAAGAAGATTTATGGTAAGAGGGAGACAAATTACAGTGTGATGGACAATAAGTCCTCTGAAGTATATCAATGCATTTTGATATTTGATCTGCTACAAACCTTGATATGTTTACTATTTATATCTGTTACATCATTAAAATTATGGTTATAGGAAATTGACTGCAAGATAATTATAAAAGGAAAATGCTCAATGTAAAAGGAATGAGACAAAGAGCTTGTTATATTTGGTCAATTTCCTTTAGAGTACAATAGTGAGTATTTGAACAATACACAAGTACCTACAAGGCTAGGATCAAACTATTTATACAAGAAGTTTAATGGCTCATTTATTAATGCGCCGCATGACCCTGACGTTTCCTGAACGAAGTGGCCCATAACAGTTGTAACGGCTGTTGGTAGGCGCTATTTCTCTGACCCCATGCTCCAGCCCAACTCCTTCTCAGGTCGACCCTTCTAGGCTGACCCCGGGGTCGGCATCCTTGGTCCAGATTTTGAGTTTCTTGGGTTTAAAATCCTTGGGCCGGGTCTAATATATCCATCAAAAGTAATTTGATTCTCAGGTTAGTTTAAAGAGTTAGTTGCATTATCATGGCAGGTTTGGATAAAAAATCCACTATGTTATCTTGGCCAGTTCTCACCTGATATATGGTACCAATTGGCAGGCTCTGATCAAAGAGCTGACATACTTTCTGCCTTTGAATACCCACAGGCTGCTAGGGGGTTTTCCATATAAGATAGATTTACTGTATCCATTGGGATGTAAGGTTGTTTATTCTCATTTTTGTTTTGCACTATTGTATGGAGTTAGATCTTCTGAACCATTTAAATTTTTTTATTAAATAACTAAATAAAAAAAATAAAAATTAATTTCTTTTTAGAATGTTACCTTTTGAAAAGTGTATCCAAACCCGTGAAAGCCACATGAGTTAATGTAATTTTCTTTGGATTCATTTAGGTTATCTTACTCTCCATTTCCAAAGCTTAATAAAAATTCCTAAAAGTTGCATTTTTACCAAATATCTTCTAACAATTTAATTGGATTGTTCTTAAATCTTTTATTTTTGTTATTATTATTATTATTATTATTATTATTATTATTATTAAACGTTCTTTTCCTTATTTTATATTCTTCTATAAAAGAGATGACGTCAAGGTCTTATTTGGTCTTGTTTTTGCGTTAAGAGATACATTATAAATCTTCCTTAGAAGATTGACAAGCAACCAAACCAACAAACTAATTGTCAAAATCTGTTATGCAAAATTTGTATTTCAAAAGTTCAACTTTATACTTTACTTAGAACTTTGAATTGCTGGTTCAATAAAAAGAATATATATTTATATAATAGTATTTTTTGAAGTTTCTCTAGATCTTTTGGTGTTAACTGTTAAGTGTCCCTTGTTGCAATGTTAGTTCATTTCATTTTTTTCCTTCCACTATTGCCCCCACACTTCCTGTTTGCTGGCAATAGAACTTTTCTTTCCCTTTCCCCTTGCCCCCAAAGAAAGAAAGAAAAAGAAAGATAAAGGTCGGCCTTTGGTTATTCATTAAATTTGAGAAATCATCAGAACAGAAACTTCTTTTGAGTTCATACACCAGAACCTGCTGAAGCTTATATGGAGTGTGTTCAAGCCTTTACAAAGTTGCAATATAGAAGACCATTAATATATGAGAAGTGTGCCATCTCAACTAATTTAATATCTGTAACCATAGCTTCATTAGTTATCAGATTTTTGTGCCATGGTTGAGGATAGTTATCCATTATGTATTTTCTCCCAAATTAATGCTGCTGATATTAATTTTTCATTGTGCTGAAGCAAAATGAAATATGCACTGGAAAATTTTAATTTACACTGCATATGGGGAGTATTACTGCACCCTTTTTTTTTTTTTTTTTTTTTTTTTTTTTTTTTTTTTTTTTTTTTTTTGTTCTTATCATTTCCCTATCCTATTGATGTTAAAGGATTTGTAAGGATAACATGGATAAAGACTTTGCTGATTGTTCAATTCCTCAAGAGAAGTCAAATTCAGCAATCAATGCTGAGCTTGAAATATCTGATGTCTCAGGAGATGAGGATGCTTCTCATGCTTCCCTCAATCATAATTGTTCAGGAAAGAAGTCTACAGGTATTTGTTAATTATGGTAACTGTATTTTCTCAGAGCATTATTTCGATGACTAAGCAGATTTCCACTTCATTATTTATATGGACTGCAGTTGATCAGAGCTCATCATGGACATTGATCAAGTCGAACTTGTTTCTGCAGCGTGCCCACAAATCTCAGACCATTGACGAGGTTAATGATTAATCAACTTTACATAGTTTCTGATATTATTTTCTTGGGGTGATACATCTGCCTTTTGGTTTTATATGTTTTTGAACTGCAATTATTCATTTACTTCGGAATTTACGGTATTATGGATGCTGAACTATAAATATTTTTGAATGATTGAATAGATAAGAAATATAGCTCCATGTAAATGTTGCCATGTGTGTTTGAATATTATATTTTTATTTAGTAATTTGGGATTTGGTCGAAAAGTAAATGTTGCCTACTTCTAGGGGGTGTTTGGTTCAAGGGATGTTTTGAGGTAATGTAACATTCCTAAGAATCTTACATAACCTAAGAATGTGGGGGTATGTTATTCAATGAATGTTACCAAAAATGAACTAAAAACGAAGTGTGGGAATCTCACATTCCTGAGGTTACATGAGATAAGCTAAAGCAAATGAACCCCCCCACCCCCACCCCCAGAGTATTACCTAAGAATGTGGGGGTTTTATATGTTTTTTTTTTTTTTCCTTTCATTCAGGTACTTTTGTTAGGATTAATGACTAAGAACACATTACAGTTGACGTGGTCATTTTAGTAGTGTTACAGAAGTTCATTTGGCTAAAACATTACCTCTCCATTTTTGGGCTGGGAATGTGTTGGAGATGGAGCTAAGTGAGAGGGTTAATGAATATGTGCACCATTGGATCTAGCTGCAAAATAGGAATTTTCATGGTTCTTACTTTAGGTTACAGAACACATTTATTTTCTTAAAATGGTTTTTTGTTTTCTTTTATTCCTGCTAGGTCATGGTTTGCCATTGCAAGCCACCTTCTGATGGCCAAATGGGCTGTGGAGATGGATGCCTGAATCGAATGCTTAATATTGAGTGTGTTCAAGGGACATGTCCATGCGGAGAACTCTGTTCAAATCAACAGGTTCATAAAATTTCAAGGAAATTATTTGCTTCTTATCTTCAAGGAAGTCAACACAATCCCTGTTTGTTTCTGCTTGCAGTTCCAGAAGCGGAATTATGCTAAATTGAAATGGTTTAAATGTGGTAAGAAGGGATATGGCCTACAATTGCTTGAAGATGTGTCTGAAGGACGGTTTCTAATTGAATATGTTGGAGAGGTAGACATGCTTTTTCTACAAATCTGCATGATGTTTTGTTACAATTAAGCAAAGTATTGATGGACTTAATGCATATGGATTTCTTTTAGTAAATACTTATTTCTAAATCTTACTGACCTTTTTACTATTTTACATTTTACATTTTTTTCCATTTGAGGGACATTTTAGGTTTATCATCTTCAAGAAAAGATTTTCCTAAAAATTTTTGGGAAGATGACTGAGATGTCAAATTGGGAATGGAGGGTTTATTTTGTTTGCCAAAGAAACCAGAATATCAAAATTGTCACCCTACATTGTATAATTTTTCCTTGTTGCCTCCTTTTTTGTTCAATAATTAGGGGCCAATATTCAAGTTCAACAACATTTGAATTTGTGAAAACTTAATCTGTCAAACTTCTTTCTTAATTCTGTATGAGGAGTCCCATTCCAGTATACTGAATTTTCTTTACCATTTTGAAATTTTGACTTTCCAGTGGGCATATGCACTGTATAAGTATTTACTTTCCTCTGACATGATATTGCTCATGTGCCATAAATTCTGTCTTTCTAGGTGCTTGGTATGCAAGCCTATGAGGGGCGGCAACGTGAGTACGCATCGAAGGGTCATAGACATTTCTACTTCATGACACTTAATGGTAGTGAGGTATTGCAGATTGAAATGGGTGTTCAGCTATCAGAACTTGCTAGTTGCTACGTTCATTAGCTTTTCTAGATATATTATGATTTGATTGTATAACCTGTTAATTATTTCCTATCTTGAAAAAAATAATATTACCTGTCCCATTTATTCGATGATCAAACCGACATTTCTTTTTTCACTTGTTCTCTTCAACATCTCTTATAATTTTCAAATTTGACTTTTTGTGTTTAGTAGAGCTTTTAATGTAGTTTCTAAATATATAAATTTTATTTAATAATACTAAATTAAATAATAAAAACAGTTCAATTGTAAGTAACTTGAGTTAACCCTTGTTGACCATACTGGACACAAAATGGAACGTAGTAACTGATGATATTAATGTGTTTAGTTTGTTGGTGCACTTAGACATGTAATTTTAAATCTCTAATTTCTTTTAGTAAATACATATTTATCTTTTGTCTAGTTTACTTCAGTATTTTGTTAATGTTGCCTAATGTGCTGCATGCTTCACATTTCAGGTAATTGATGCATGTGCCAAAGGGAATTTGGGTCGTTTCATAAACCATAGCTGTGATCCTAATTGCAGTACTGAGAAGGTGCATAAACTTTTTAATGAAGTACATGGTTAAGAATTTTCCACTTTGTCTAGTAACAGTCTTTTAATATAACCTGAAAAGGGTAATGAAGTGTTGCTTTGCTCTTTTGGTCTTCCTGTTGAGAACTACTATCTAGAAAAATTCTAGGAGTTAAGGAATACTAGAAGTTGTGAAATACTAATGTTCGAATGATTAGTATGTTTATACCTAGCTCACGAAGACTATGAGACTAAGGGTCATTTTTATGTATATAAATAGGTGCTTATGCTCATTTCACATGCATTACATTAATATATAACTTCTCTTCTTTTCCCTTTCTTTTAATTCTCCATGGTATCACCAGGTTCTTGTGGCCTGGTTATTTTCAATTTTTTTTTTCCTGAAAAGAACAATGGATGAACAGTACTTGGCTGTTCATCTCAACCACATGGTTATTTTCAATTTTAATTCTTCAGTGAGCTGATTTCCTACAATTGAAGCTGCCAAACATCTTAGGATACCAGGTGAGCCTAGGCAATTCTGTCATCCACCCGAATACCCGCATGTGCCACCACCTTCTACCACACTCATTGTCATGCGCCTGTGTGATGACATCTTCAGTAGGGAAGCAACTACTGTTAAAATTGTCCAGATCCCTTTTCTGGCAGCTTCTAGCCCTAGTGATGAAGTTTGAGGGTTTTATAATAAGAATGACTTTTGATGAAGATTATGTGTCGAGCATTAATGTTCTAGATTCTACTACTACACCAACGGCCATTCTAGATTCTGTTAGTACACTTACCATCATGTTTGTCCCTAATCATTCCAGAGTGAAAGTTATTGTTGCTGAAAAACTAGCCAGGTCACAAAATTATCAATCTTGGTTTGCTGTTGTTGAATTATGGTTTATGGGCCAAGGAGTAGTTAACTGCCTGAACAAAATGGTAGATAATGTAACAGAAACTAAAAGGCAATTTGTGGAAGGATTGATGCCCAACTATTTAGTTTGTAATGGTAGTCTCTCTTTCCAGTTTTGGTGCATCTTTTCATACCATTCAAACACATGATGTATACATGTGAGCAGTTAAAATCTATCAAGCCTTATAAATTAATCAAGGCAATGAGAGAAACAATTCAATGATAATGTTAGGAATCACTATGCTTTTGCTAATCTCAGAATTATTTGATATGGTATTGTGACTATTGGTAACTTACCTTTCTTTTATTTACTGAAACAGTGGATGGTGAATGGAGAAGTTTGTATTGGACTTTTTGCTTTAAGGGACATTAAGAAGGTACAGTTGCCTTCTTTTAGTAGCTGATTAATATTCACTTTTATTTGATGTCACTTCGTTGACTACAGGTTTTCTAAAGCACTGACACTTCATTTTTGGTTAATTTGTATGAATCTATAGCATGGTCTACAATATCTCGTTGTAGCTGATTAATTTTCACTCATGTGTAATGGTCACTTCATAATCATTCACCATACAAGACATTGTAAACCTGAGTTCTTTAGGCCTTAAAAGAAGGCTTCTTGGATTTTTTTCAGTTTCTATGCTGATTTCTGATGAATAATGAACTCTCGTAAGAACATAGTTCACATTAATAGAAGGATCTATGGTTTCTCCATATGTGGTCTGAAGTATTCTTGCAATGTATGAGAAGGATAAGACTGGCTATACATACATTTTTCAGTTCTAGATTTTTTTTTTTTTTTTTTTTTTTTTTTTTTCTCCTTTTAACTCAGTAGCCCTTTATAAAAAACAAAAGGAGAAAAAAAAGAAAAAGAAAAAAGAATAGAGCACAAGAACATTGTTTTTCTAAATGCTTATAATATTAAGTGCTTATGGTTTGGACTTTTCTAATCAGGGTGAAGAGGTGACGTTTGATTATAATTATGTACGGGTCTTTGGTGCTGCTGCCAAAAGATGTGTGTGCGGTTCTCCTCAGTGTCGGGGTTACATAGGTGGTGATACCCTAAATGCTGAAGTAATTGTTCAGGATGATTCGGATGATGAATATCCCGAGCCTGTTGTGGTATGTGAAGACGTAGACATGCATGATGAATTAAACTACATTAAATCATCAGCAAATTCTTTCAGTGGTCTAGAAATGAGAACTGTGGATGAAGCTTCCGAATACAATGACATACTTGTTGGGCATGGTTCTGTGCACACACCATGCTCCGTCAAAACGAAAAATGGGGATATTACTTGTCCAGAAAGTTTTGAGACCAACAAATCTGCTGCTGCCATTGAGTGCTTGAATACTACTTTGAGAAGTGGAGAGTTGCTGGATTCATCAGCCTCTTCTGCTGTGAGAGTGGAAACTTCTGTCACTTTGGAGGGTTCAGGAGGATTGCAGTTCTCTGGAGCTAAAGAAGAGGGGTCAGAGGGTGAAAAAGTTGTAGAAAATTCCGTGTCTCCTGTGGAGTTGGAGGTGACTTCTTCACCTGCAACTCTTAGCAAGCCATTGAAAAAATCAAAATCTGGTTGTGTAGGAGGTAAGGCTGAAGGCACAAAGTCTTGTCCTCTTGTGAAAGCTTCTCGACTTTCATCTTCAGTGAAGAAGGCTAAATCTAAGAGTACCAAAGCACCACTAGAGATAGGTAATAGGTCAAAATTGCCAGAACATAAAGTCAAGAAACCTCCAGAAGGCTCGTTAAATGCCCGTTTTGAAGCAGGTAAATGACATTTTTCTTGTTTTAATTCTTTTCTTTTTCTTTCTGTTTGGTGAATTTGTTTTTTATTGAGGTATGCTTGCTCCTTGGTGTAACCAATTATATTTCATCACGCAGTTGAAGAAAAGCTCAATGAGTTACTAGATCCTGAAGGAGGAATAAGTAAACGCAAAGTAAGTTGTTCTTGGTTTTTAGTTGATTGATGGCACACTTGTTATTCTTTGTAGATTTTAGCTGATTGATTTTGCATTTGTAATTTGTGAGATTTATTTATTGGAAGGGCGTTCATGTCCTTGATTCTTTATTCTTTGCTTTGTATCCATATCTAGTTTTCCAAAAATAAAAAATAAAACACAATTTCGTTTACTGATCTGAAATGATGGTTGAATATTACTGTCACTAGGTGTGCCAATTTAACCGTTTCTAAGATTAATTAATTATTTATTGAATACTTTAAACAGGATGCATCAAGGTGCTACCTGAAGCTTCTCCTATTGACTGCTGCGTCAGGGGGTAGTGGCAATAGTGAAACAATTCAGAGGTACGAAAAGGCTAAACATTTTAATCTTTCCTGCTATGAAGCTACAACATTTGGAGTTGTATATATTATCTTTTACATTAAGTGATTGATGTTACCCATAATTTCCAGCAACCGAGAGCTCTCTATGATCCTTGATGCACTCTTGAAGACAAAATCACGGACAGTTTTGGTCGATATTATCAATAAGAATGGTATTATTTTTGGGATTTTGTTGTGTCCAACAGTTATTTCATCATATAAGGTATTTTGTAGTTGAGAAGTATAACCTAACTTTTGGTTGATGGTTGCTAGGTTTGCAGATGTTGCACAATATAATGAAAAGATACAGAAGGGAATTCAATAAGATTCCAATCCTCAGAAAGCTGCTTAAGGTGATCTAAACTAGAAGTAGTATATAACTTGTACAGTTCCGCCTTTTCTCACCATCTGGGAATCTTATTCCTAAAATCTTAAAAATGTCATCACTAGCTGTTACTTGAAGGCAACAAGCCTTGGTATAAACTAACATATTTCAGATGAGGTTGCTTAAAAGATTATCTCATCCAACATGGCCTTTGTTGGCAGCCTAATACGTGTATGTATATGTTATCACTAGTTGTCATTAATAAGGCATCATGTAACAATAAAAAAAGGCAACAACTCTTGGTATTCATTAGTTTATTTCAGATAAGATTGTGTCAAAAGTTGAAAGGTTGCCTCATCCAACTGTCATTTCTTTATATTTCTGTATGCTTTCCATTTATTTCATTTTCTTCCATCACAAGGTGATAATGCTACTGCTCCTATTGTTCCATTAGATGAACATTCATTTCATTTTATAAGGTACTGAAAGTTAAATGTTCTAAGTTAAATCTCCGTGATACATATAAATTTTTTAAAATTAATGGGCATTCCTTTCAATTCAAATGTACCATGCACTTTCAGAGTAATATCCACTCTTCTCCTGGAACTTCTGAATGCTGATTAGAAATTAACTACAATATTGTCATTCTGAAGTTCTGGGGAAAGTGTGGTATGTGCTGTATTGTAATATGCTTTTGTAGATGTTGACATACTTTTAACATTTTACTGATTTGCACAAAATCTGATTCTTTATTTTGTATATTGGATAAATGTTTTAATTAGGCAAAATCACAATGGGGTTTCTGTTGTTCAGGTACTGGAATATCTGGCAATGAGAGAGATCCTTGCATTTGAACACATTAATGGGGGACCCTCTCGACCTGGAGTGGAGAGGTTGGTGATTTATTGCATTTTCCTTTTCTTCAAATGATGCTGTTTTCCTAGTCCGATACTCTGTTTCTTTCTAATATTTTTAGATACCACATATGGGCATGATATTTGTGTAAAATACTTTGCAGTTGCCAGTAAACTTTTGATTGTGAATACGTATATTCTGCAACCTAATCAGTGCGAAGCTTTCCATACTATTTATTGGAAGAAATTCATATGATATTCATTAATTTGTTTCTATTGCTTGAACTGAATTGGATCTAACTATTCTCCAGTTATCATTTTAATGATTGAATGTGCACACCTCTCGCGTCTGTGGGTTCTTTTTTATTGTGATTTCATACTTATGTTATCTAATTTCTCACATGGTTTTTATATCCATGTACAAGAAGTCAAGAAGAAAAACTTGGAAACATGAATGGTTGCATTTCTCATTCTCAAATGGGTTCTTATTCAATATAAGAATCTATAAATGAAATAGTCTTCTCCTGGTATTTGGTGAACATACATAAGCAGTTAAGCACATAGTTACCTTCCCATTCACTGAATTTATTACTTCAATCTAGGAAGTAGAAGTTTGGATATCTGGTGAGGAGACTTTTTTTCCTACACTTGTTTCTTCCTCATCATTGTATGGTTAATTTTATTGATGTAGTTTTTTACCTCACTTATATCTGAATACACTATGTTGATCAAATTCTCTGGAAATTGATACTCCTTTGCTTATCTCTGTGGCGAATGCATTTCTCAGTTTTTAATCATCTCTGCAATATAGTTTTACACTTCTATTTCAAAGGTAAGCAGTGTTTCTGAAACTCTAATATTTTTTTACAGCTTCAGAGACTCAATTTTAACATTGACAGAGCACATAGACAAACAGGTAATAATCCTTTTGAGCAATTTGCTATGTTTTGTTTCTACTGGATTATAGAATGAATTTCATTGTATTCTTGTGGTGCATTCAGCAACATATACATCTATGGTTATTATTGAGATAAAAGGATTTATTCTTATTTCTGTGCACTGAAGTATGGCACTCTATGTAGGATGAAAGTGTGCTTGAATTATACAAAGAAACTGTTAAATATATGGAGCTAGATTATTTGGTGGGGTCGACATTCCTGTTGGATGTAATACCATGAAGTAGGAAATTAGTCATAGATTAGAAAATAATATATGGTATGGTATTGTATTGTTACACGCTATAAGTCTTCTAATATAAAGATCCAAAGCTGAGTCATTCTCTTTGGCTCCTTCCCCTTTAACCGATTCTAGGGTAGCAATTCCTGATGTAAACTGTTGAAATCAAGGGATTGAAGGCCTTGGCTTGTATTCATACATGCTTTATCATCCTGGGCCACATAATGGGCTAAACTTAGGTTAGTGGTAGGGTTTGTATATTTCAATATGAACAACTCCAGAATTGATGTGCCTTGGAATCGTGGATGATATCTAACCGTGCTTTCATAGCTATCAAATTGTGTCCATATCAAATAATATCATTGCCTGCTTTAATCTTTTAGCTATTTCCTATTTCCTATTATTTGGACTGAATTTATGTGGGGAGTGTCAGTAGTTGACAAGAAGTATTTTTGTTTGCCAGGTTCATCAAATTGCAAGAAGCTTTAGAGATAGGTGGATACCCAGAGCTCTCAGAAAAGGTTGCTTCATGGACAAGGATGATGGGAGGACAGCGTTTCACTCCCATTCGACAGTTGGATCCAACACAGCAGATGCTTGTGCAGTAGATGGCTCAACTGTATCATGCTCTGGTCTTGGGGTATCTAATGGGACAAAGACTCGTAAACGTAAAAGTCGATGGGATCAAGAGGCTGAACCAAAAGATGATTGCGAACAGGACAAAGATGACGCCCCTCCTCCTGGATATGAATTTCCTCCTGGCTTTTCAGCCCCCATAAATAATCCCAAAGAACTTTGCACCTCAAAGCCAGTTACGGGACATTGCCAGCAGACGTTCATTTCACATTTGCCAGTCTCATTTGGAATCCCGTTTAACGTGGTGCAGCAATTTGGAACACCACAAATTGGAACCTCAGAAGTCTGGGCTGTTGCTCCAGGCATACCCTTCCAGCCCTTCCCTCCATTGCCTACATGCTCCCGTGGCAGAATGGACAACGTTCCTCCTCTTCCTAGTCCTCAGCTCTCACATCAACCTGCTCAAACGCCTCCTCCTCAGTGTCATAAGATTGATCCAATGGCTTCTGCTTCTACTACTACTAATAACCAGAAGCTGAATCAGCCTTCACAAAACTGTTTTCAAGAGTATCCGTGTCACACACAAAACCCCACTGGAAGAACATCTGGAGCAAACCTGCCACCTGAGGTTGCAACGGGAGAACAGAGTCATCAGCGACCTAATGGCTCTTTTAACTTGGGAAGGAGATACTTTAGGCAGCAAAAGTGGAGTGGCTCAAAACCACCTCCTCCGTGGCTCCGAATGAGAAATGGTTGGGGATATGCAGGAAACAATCCGAAAAACGTGATGTGCAATGTAGGAGTAGGAAGTGTGGCAACTGATTTTAGGAGTTCTCATGGCCCAGAGGATGTTGGCATGGTGAGGGAGGAGGGTTCAGGGACAGGGCCAACATTTTCTCAAAATTAGCCTTGATTTTCTATAGGAAATCTATGGAGGCTCAGCAAATTATTATTATCTAGTGGTCCTATGTACTTTTAACAATTTTTTTGCGACACAAGTAGCCAAAAATGAAAATTTCCTCCTTTCTCTAGATTTGATTCATTTGTAGATGTAGGACCAATAGTTACTGTGGTTATCCTTGTGCAGACAAATTCATGTTCAGACTTCAGACCTCAAAGAGGTAAAGATTTATTGATTGGAAATTGAAATGAAAAATGTCAAAATTGATTCAGTTACACCAGTTGTCTCTGGATTACCATTTTCTTTCAACTCTCTACGCCCTGCAAGAGAATGAATCTATGGAGTAATACTACACATCTACTTTTTATTTTATTTTTTTTACTTCTTATTTAACATGCTCTGATTCAAATGGATCATGAAAGTTGTTTATGGTCTATGATTATAGCTGAAATTTTGGCAATAGCCAACATGAGTGCATGAAGCAAATAATGATTTATTGGACAACCTTGCAATCATCTAATAGTGACATCAATAATTGACAAACCTACATCTTTAATCTTTTTGCAACACTATCGAAAATTTAATCCATCGATCTTTTACTACTGTGTCCAAATATATGTTGGGAAAATGGTATGTTTTCCTCTGGAATTATAGGCTTAAAGCATTTTTTCTTCTTGAGTTATTCATGTGTCCAAATTTGTCACCTCAATTATTTTAAAAGTTGCAGAGTATATAAATTGTGGACATTTAGACCCGGGACCACATTGGTCCATAGAATAATTTGTGAAATAATCTTGAGTGACTCGAGTTATTGGCAAGTTTGTTTAGACCATCGACCTTATCAATATTGGACTTATTGGGCTAAAATTTGTTTATCAACTAATAATTAATTGTCGGACATGCCAATAATTCAATATAATACACCTTATTGCACCAAAATGCCACGTGGATGACTGTTGGTCCTTAGAGCAACCTCAATAGTAATAAATTTTTGGTGGTTTTTTTGTTATGACAATTGACAACTAGAAAAGAGAAAGAAGGGAAGAGGAAAACAAAAAAGAAGAAAAAAAAAACAAAAATAAAATAAAATTAAAAAAAGTAAAAAACTAAAGATTAACGTGTGTAAAAAACTAAAGATTAACGTGCCCAGCCGGGTGCATGCAGTGCACAAAATTTGTGCCACACGCGAGTTGACTGTAGTAGCTTTGCTTTCCTTTCTCTCATTTGAGTCTACAAAAAACTTACATTTGCAAGAGAAAAAACACCCAAAAAATTCTCTCCCATTTGTTATAATCAGCCCACAAATTTTTTATTGTTCTAAAAACTATCGAAAAACCTCTATTGAGAATCTTATATATATATATATATATATATATATATATATATATATATATATATATCCACAAAATTGGAGGAATAGATATACTAAAGAAAAAAAAAAGTGATGGACCCACAGATTCCCTTAGGCTACTAAAAACCAGGAATTTTTCATCCACACAAAACCAAGCTATACATATCGCTCTGAGACATAACTAACCACTGGGAAATTAAGGAAAGCAAAAAAGAAATTTGTTTAGCCATGGCAACAGCTTCATCCTACATGGCCCGACCCACCCTCTCCATGATGGGCGGCTGGTCAAAGGCCTCTAATATGAGAAAGAGAATTGGTTTTACAGTATCGGCATCATCATCATCATCATCAGGAGTAGAAGAAGAACAAGAAGAAGCTTCTGCAGAGGTCAAAGTTGAAGAAGATATCAATCAAGCACAAGAGCCGCAGAAGAAGCTTGAGGTAATATAAGCCTTTTCTGCATGCTTTCTGTGTTCATTATATTCATATACTAATTAATTAACTATTAGTATCAAGCGCTTATCAAGTTATCACTACACATATTTGAGATGTTAGGTGTTGGACTTGGCCCAACCACCGAGTGTTAAATTGGCTTTTATTGGCCTCCCTCCAACTAGCACTAATCAACTGACTCTATTACTTGTTAGGATCAAACACTTACCATAACAAAAGTTGTAGCTAGTAGCGAAGACATAACTTTATTTTCTTATATCGTTACACATTTTCAAGACCTTAGGTGCTGGACTTGGTCCTTTAAGCCTGGCCTCCGCCGAACAATCCCATGCCAAAAGTTATAACTAGTAACTAAGACACAACTTACCACTTTATTTTCGAGACGCTGGGTGCTGAATTTGGTCCTTTAAGCCTGGCCTCCGTCTAACAATCCCATGACAAAAGTTATAACTAGTAACTAAGATACAACTTATCACTTTATTTTCGAGACGCTGGGTGTTGAATTTGGTCCTTTAAGCTTGGCCTCTGTCCAACAATCCCATTACAATTTTTTATTTATTTATTTATTTTTTTTGAGAATAAAAGCTTAATGCATTATATCAGAACCAAGAATGTTCACCAGGAACTGAGGAGCAGTGTGAAACCACTCCCCCCAACCTGACAAAATTTTTGCAAGAGCATGGGCAACTAATAGCGAAGACATAATTTTATTTCTTTATACTGTCACACATTTTCGAAACTTTGTGTGTTACATTTGACCCTTTAATTAAGCAGGGCCTCCGCTCAATAATCCCCAGTCAAAGAGTGCTAGACTTGATCTTTACGAGTCTCGACCAACATTAATAAACATATATAAACGTAAAAAAATGAATGAATTGAAGTAATTAATTAATGTGAGTGCAGGAAGGAATGAAGACTCCGTTGAGGCCAGTGGAGGCGCAGATAAATGTGAAGAACAGGAACATGGGGAGAGAGTACGGAGGGCAGTGGCTGAGCAGCACGACTCGGCACGTGCGGATATTCGCGGCGTATATCGATCCCGACACGTGCGCGTTCGACCAGACGCAGATGGACAAGCTCACCCTCATACTTGACCCAACTGATGAGTTCCTTTGGACGGATGAGACTTGCAACAAAGTCTACTCTTACTTCCAAGAACTTGTTGATCATTATGAGGTATATATGCAATGCTTCTACTCTATTACATTGTAGTATCTGTTTAAACATAATGAAGCGCCTCCACCGAGGCTCGATCTTATGACCTCTCACATGGAAGAGGTCACTACATGACAGGGACGGAGTTAGAAATTCGGAGCGAAGAAGTAGGGACGGATTTAGAAAATATTTATAGTAAAGACGAAACATTAAAACAAAAGAGATAATTTTTTTATACTAATACTAAAACCCGTACTATATATACATATAAATATTATATATGGAGTGTGGGTAGGGGTAAGGGTGAGGGTGGGGTGAGGGGGGACAAATGCCCCCTGCTCCCCTTTGGCTCCGTCCCTGCTACATGCCATCTGAGCACGATCCATGACCTCTCACATGGGATATGTCATTACATGTCATCTGAGCACAAGGTGCTTGGCTCTTACCATATTAACATTAAAATACATAAAAATATCCATTTTAGTATATTAATATTAAGGACATATGAGGCTCACATTATTTATCTGTGTATTTGTTACGGAGTATATTTTAACTCCTGTTGAATAGCTGTATAGGTTGGTTAGTTGTTGTAACTTTCCTTCTATCTTTCCTCCTCTGTACATTGTTTATAGTTGCCTGAATTTGCATTAAATAATACATTCAGTTCATAAACTCTATAATTAAAAGTTCATTTTTAATATACTGCACATATGTACTTTTAAATTGTATACTAAAAATGAAATTACACTATATTTTAAATGAAGTTTCAAAAAATGAACTTTGAATTTGATTTGTACCAGGGAGCGCCTTTGACAGAATACACGCTTCGGCTGATTGGTTCTGATATAGAGCACTACATCAGAAGGCTTCTTTATGCCGGAGAAATCCAATACAACATGGATGCAAGAGTCCTCAACTTCAGCATGGGGAAACCAAGAATTGGTTTCAATTACGATGGCAAGCTTCAAGACGTAAACCAATAAGCTAATTAAGCACTTTGAATCTATTGTGTCAATTACAAAACAATACAAAAAGAAATTAATGAATTCCTCTCTCTTGTGTTTACTTGGTTATGTCGAGCACAAAGTATATAAGTATAAATATACAGTCCAACTATCAATTTAAACTATTTCTAATTGAGATAAAAAACTTCAATTTAGTACCAAAATCGATCAATCCCAAAAGATCAGACTATGTGTCCATGTCTTAATTGGAGCCTATAAAAGTAATCGGCTCTGTTAAAGACGCTTTAAAAGTTAAAACAACCTCATTCTCAAATCTCAACCATGAGGCACTACATGGTCTTTCCTACTAAAATTAAAGGGAGTTTTCTTGAAATGATTTTATTCCAAAAAATGACTTTTGATACTAAAAATTTATGAGTTAGCATGATCAGGTATAAAAGCAAGACATGTTAATTAGTCCAAAGTGGGCAGATTCATTGTGCGCATCGACATTTGGCCTTGTCTATTGAACCATTGAATCACCGTGATTTACATCATCTCACATGTTCTGTTGGGTCAGAGTGCGAGGGACCCTTAAGGTTGGGGATTCAACCTTTTGGAACAAGACATGTTAATTAAATCACCCCAAGGCTTGCATTAATGAATTAACCGGCCTTCTATTGGAAATTTATTGAGTAAATGTAAGTGGAAGGAAACATAAACCAATGACTTTGTGGTCAAATGGCATAAAGTAACTCTCTCAATAAATGGGAGGTCATGGGAGCATAATACTAAGTGTGTGTGTGTGTGTGTGTGTATATATATATATATATATATATATATATATATATATAGACACACACACACTAGTGTTTTATCTGTTCGATGCACGGAGAAAAAATTTGTTATTATGAATTTAAATACAAAATTAAAAAAATGAAAAGATATTAAAATGTACGATATAATACTTCGTAATATAGTTGAACTTTCATATATTTGGCCAGTATCAATTTCCCTAACATATAAAATTAAAATTAAAATTTTGTATGATTATTATAATCTCTGATCATGTACATATTTAGATAAATTTATAGAGAAAATTTACATAACTAAATTGATTTATTCCTTATTGTATTTCATATATATTAGGCACAAGTGTCAAATAGGTCTATCTACTACTGCGAAGTGCTCAATTCCCACCACGAACTAAATTAAGTGTCAAATAGGTCAATTTACCCGCTAAATTTGTTCAATTAACTTTTTTATAGGTTACAAACAGGTTACCTAATTATTAATTATTAAAAAATAAATAAATAAATAAATAAAATAATTAATTTTTTTTAAAAAAAGATAGCCGGTGGCTATTATCTTTTTTTTTTTTTTTTAATTATTTTATTTATTAATTTTTTAATAATTAATAAATAGATAACCTGTTGGTAACCTGTAAAAAAAGTTAATTGAACAAATTTAATTAGTAGATGGACCTATTTGATACTTAATTTAGTTCGGTGGAAATTGAGCATTTCGCAGTAGTAGATGAGCCTATTTGGCACTTGTGCCTATATATTATAATTCTAACAATATGACTAATAATTAAGAAAATTATATTAAGAAACAAAAAAAATATAAATTTTAAATTTTGTATGAGTAAATTTAAATTCTAATCAGACGCATTTTTCATGATTCTAATTTAACAAAATTAGAAAATTACAATTCACAATTCCCTCAATTAAATCAAACAATGTAATTGAGTTCTTCATTGAATTACAACAACTAAATTAATTCAATCAAATGCCCTGTAATTAGAGGAGCTCGAGGATGACGTTGTACTGGACCAGGGTCCATAATATGGCTGTTAATAAATCGGAGGTTGTTCGTGTTCGTTTGTTAAGCGTTCATTAGTGTTTGTTAACGTTCGCGAATACGTTCACGAACATGTTTGTCAACAAGCACGTTAACATTAACAAACACGTTCACAAATATGTTCGTTCACGTTTATAAACACGTTCATGAATACTTAATCACCAAACATATGAACATTTTATGATCACAATTCGCTCATGAACAAGAAATAATATATGTTTACGAAAAATAACCAAACAAGTAACACAACTATAAAGAGAATACAAACAAATATTAAACGAACAGAAACGAGCTTGTTTGCGAACATTATTAAACGAATACAAACGAGCTTGTTCACGATCTCCTAGCAAACGAGCTTGCAACTATTTAGACTCTGTTCGTTTATTAACCGAGCTCTAAAATTTATTTGTTAATGTTCGGTTATCTTTAATAAACAAACATAAACAAACGCTTATCGAACACGAACACGCGTAGTTTACCGAAAGTTCTGTTTGCTAACACCCCTAGTCCAGAATAAGAATTGCACATTGGTGACGATATAATAAGTTGAGTCGGTCCTTTCAAAAAAAAATAACTTGAGTCGGTCAATAAAGCTAGCGGTTTGACACTAATCCAGTTTCCCTGCTTCGCCGTCTCCGCCACTATACAATCACAGTTGCGCCACCACTGCTCGCCGGGAACTATTAGCAAATCCCTTGACGTACATACATGGAGGAAAAGACAAAGACCATACAGGAACTGGCAATCGAGGGACAGAAGCACTTGGAAGAAACAATCGAAGCAGCGTATGAGATTCTCTCCGCCATGAACGATGAGCTTTGCAACCCTACTCTTTGGTCTACCACTCCCTCGTCTGCCGCTGCACCTGCTTCCGCCATTTTGAGCAACGGCCACCACGCAAGCGGCGAGGTTTCATCCGATTCGTCGTCCTCTTCGTCCACTCACCACTTTGATGTCGGCGGTGGAGCCCTCGATGAGTCTCGTCTTCGTTACAAGTCCTCTGTTGCGGCTCTGCGAACTGTTCTCACTGCCATTTCTAATTCACAGAAGGTAATTTACTTTGTATTTACATATTATACAAATATCGCCCTCCATCTGTGCATGGTGAACTCTTTTCACGCTCCATCTATCAATTTTGTTACTTAAAACCCTTGAAGTTTACATTCTATTACATAGCTCCAATCGCATAATTCTGTCAACAAAACCAAGTGACAGAAAATTTGTATAGCATATCGTTTAAATTTTCAGATTTTGTTACCCTGGAGTGAAATTTGTGTGTTCCTATGGCTGCCCTTTTTCTCTGCCCATTCTATCGTTACTCCGGGAGATTCCAACCAAAAAAGCATATTACACTGCAAATGAGAAGCAATTTAGCAAAATAATGTGAATCAACCCTAGATCCTCACAATACTATCTTTGAGAATGCAACCCAAGAACTCCCAAGGATTCTACCAACCATTATTAGCTTGCGCACAAATGAATATCCAGGGTAGTAATTCAGTATTGTATTAAAGAATGATGAAGAGTTAAGGACCCTTTGTTAAAATGGAATAGAGAATAGTTCTCAATATTCCATCAGCCAAAATTTTTGCACAAACATACACAGGTTCTCGGCAACAATCTGTTTATGGGTGGCATGCTTGCAGTCTTTCGTTTTGTATTTATTTGAAAATTGAAATAGACAATGAGTTGAAAGGGGGAATAATAGTGCAAATATCTTCTATCAGTTGCTCTTAGTGCAAAGTGTATTTAATTTGTACATCCACGGCTCTACCCAACTTCTTTTGAACTCTCACTTTTATGTGAAGTAGTAAATTTTCATTGGTTTTGCTTGTGGAGAAGAACACTTCGAATTGATTAACTTGTTTATCTTTCTGGTGATCTTATTTGAGAGAGAGGATAAGTATATAATTAAAATTATTGTTGGAGTTAAAATATGGATTGGTTATGTTGCTGAACAAAAGCCTGCTATAAAGTATAAAGTGCTTTGAATATTTTAGTTATATAAAAAAAAAATTAGTTAAGATTCTCAAGTCTCCAAATAGTTAGAAAAGATTACTTTTCATACTAGTTTCATTTGCATTTTGGATAAAACTGAGAGAGTGTGTGTGCATGTGTGTTTTGACTGGAAATTGATTAGTGCAATGAAAGAATTTTTTAGTAACCAATACCTCTATTACACTTGGTTTTGCAAGAATTGGTCTATGTGCATGAAATCTTCACCTATGTTTGTTATCAATTTTATGCATGGTTACAAGTTGCAATATAAGACCGTGTTGCCATTCTTGCTAACTAGGCTAAAGCACTTGAAGTCGCTTCAAATGGTCCAACATCACCTGCAGATGAGGCTGAAATTGAGCAGCTAGAAGATCAAGCCTGTAACTTGAGAAAGGTATTTCTGAATGTTTGAAATCTCAGAACTGTCAATTCTATGCAAAAAATCACCTCTAAAATTAGTGTTCTTTTTATGATTTGTTATTATGCATCAAGAGTAGCAGTTACCTTTTTCTAGAAAGGGTTTAGAGAGATCTAAATAATTTATAGTTTATTTTTTATTTTTTATCATTATGATGATTAGAACTTTGGTGGAATAGGTAGGATGGATATTCTACAGTAAATATGAACATTAGTTGTAATTGAGGGTATTAAATGTTCTGGATAAAAGAATAGTGGTGAAAATGATGCTCAGAAAGTGGATGACTACTGATATTTGAAAGTGGAAGGCCTACAAGTAACTTATTAAAAGTTCTCTTTGATCGACTTGTGCAAAGGCCATGGGATGGTAGGCAGGCAAGTTTGGTTTTTACTTTTTACCGGTGCAGTTGGTTATTCAATCAAGGACGATTGGGCTCTTGACAGAAATGGGAGAAATTGATTCGCCTAAGACAAAATAGGACACTTTTCAAAATTGACAAAAATGGGAAAAGCTTGTTTCCCAAATGCATTTGATATTTTGCCTTGTCAGAATTCAGAAACACATACTCCATAGTCCATATGTGTTTGGTGGTATTTTTTGAAAATAAAAATCACATCAAACGCATATCCCAAATGAGTTTGATGTTTTTCTTACAAAAAAAATACTTCATATGCATATGGGAAATGCATTTAACGGATTCTATACGCCAAGCGCATTTCCAATATGCTATTGTCTATTATAATTTTTTTAAAATAAGGGTTAATGCATTTATGGAATGCGTTTGTCATACTGAATGTGAACTATTCAATGCAGAATGCAAAAAATACTCGGAGACTCCACATCAGTTAAATCTAAAAAAGAAATATATTATATATTAAAGAATTATAAATTTTAAAAATAATGAAATAGATACTCCTGCAAATGAGTTTAAGAAGAAAACCACCCTAAGATAAAATCGCAGCAATGAATTCATGCTTGATGCTTTTAGAAAAGAAATATGAAAAAGTGGTTTCATGTTCCTAAAAACACCAATTACTATTAAAAAGAGTTGCCCATGAAACATGATATGGAATATAATTATCCTCTATGAAAAAAAAATCATTAAAAAAAGTTCTAGTAGCCTAAAGTGTTAGGGGTATAGAATAGGTCAAATGCATTTCTCATGTGTGTTTGATTATTATTATTTTCATTAGAAATACAGAAAAATAAGAATCATGTTAAATGCATTTGGGTATTTTTTGACGTGAATTTATTTTTTCCGACCCAACAAATGTATGTGGCATATGCATTTCTGACAATGTAAAATCTCATATGCATTTGGGAAACAAGTTTTTCCTATTTTTGTCCAATTTTGAGAAGTGTCCTGTTTTTGTCCTGGGAGTCAATTTCTCCCATTTTTGTAAAAAGCCAAGGACAATTTGAGTATGTGGAATAATAGATTCCACATCTTAATCAATACTCTCCTGAGACACTATTCTATTTCATGCCAATTCCATGACTCCAATGCAACCTTTGAATTGGCATTTTGTGAGTCCACGGACAATTATGAGGCTGAGGTTGGGAAGCTGCTCCACCTATGGTTGAGAGAGTAGTCAAGAACATATTATGGAGCTGGTCATGTGGTCGACACATTGACGTGTTTATTGAGTTCCAAACCATGTTAGCCTGGGCAGATGATGTCCATCACTAACAGCTCCATAGTCTGCTCTCACCTACTCTCTCCACTGTAGGCAGAATAGGTTTCCAACCTCAGCCTCATAATCCTCTGTGGGCGCAAGCTTATACCCGGGAACATAACATTTTGGTTCTGTCGCCAAGCGTCAATATGGGCGATTTGGCTACCATCCAAACTAAGTTACACTCCATGCAAAACACCCTTCAAAATCTACCTGGCCTTCCCAAGATGGTGCAGTTGCTGGCTGAAACAGTGGCAGCCTTGAGTACCAAGGTTGACTCCATTTTGGCAATTGGCATCTGTCTTCAACACCTCCATTTTTGCAGACAATGCCTGAGCAGAAAGAACTATTCTCCATATTTTCTAGTGCTCTCAGTTTCTCCTCGCAGACTATAATCTTCTAGCACTGGGCTCATGTGACATTCACACAAAATGAGCCTTAGGAAAACAATCAATTTTCCATATGTAAAGTTTAGGGTGGGAAATTTTAGGTGAATTAGGTTTTCAACCAATTCAATTGGTCGGTCAACACTTAGAGGATTGATTTCCTTAATTAATTGTGTGCTAAAGCCATGCTAACCTGTGGGTATCCATTTTAGAATAGATTTCAGTGATTAGGAAATCAAATTTGATGTGAAAATTTTCTACAATGAAGTGTTGAATACAGAAGCTTGTGGGGAACTATTCCCCATTGTTTGATCTGGTGTTTATCATAATAAAGAAGTAGAAAATGTTCTAAATGAGATTGAAACTCGAGTAATATATGTGATTTTTGGTTGGTGGGTATGGAATGCTGGAATAGTGGAATTAGAATAACTGATTTTATGTTTTTAGAATTTTGTTCTCCTGGGAATAGGAATGGGAAAATACTTTTACCATTCCTTCTTTTACCGGTTTTGTTAGAGGAATAAAATTTATATCCTTGCTGCTAAGATCAAGTTGACTTCAATCTCTGTTCAAACCTGAAACCTCCACCAAAAAAAATGTATGTGCGAAACTATAACATGCTTGCCATTTTTGTTTGTTTGTTCTCTCTCTCTCAAAATTGATTTGCATGCATGTGCATATGTATTTTTCACAGCATAAATCTTTCTATTTCAGTTGGAAAATGTGAATTTAAACTTGAACAAGAATGGAAATAGTAATTGTTTCTTGATATTTTAGATTATGATGCAAGAATCCAATGAATAACCTACTTCAGGTAACCATTTTATATTTCCAATACTGTAGGAGCTCACAGAGAAGAACAAGCATCTGAAGCACCTAATAGATCAGTTGCGAGATGTTATTGGTGACATATCGACCTGGCAAAGCCCTTGTTCTGTATAAAAGTTTGGCAAGTCTTGTGAGGCCGGATTCGTAGAAGTAGGAAGTAGAAAGCATTAATCTGTGATTGATGTTCAAGAAGAAGAAGCATCAATTAATGATGTAAACATGCTTTGTTGGTGTGATCTTGAGAAGGCTTCTCCAAGCAGATCTCATGTAGTCATGTTCAAGCAACATGAATTGGTTTTGAACTAAATTTATATTATGTTTGAATTGTTTAATTATAATCTAGTTTTAACAGCTTTGTTCTTTGATAGCTATTTTTCTTTTGGAAATATTCTTTGATAGATATTTAATTTTTAGTGTTGTGTTGATTAGATGATATAAGAGCAACCTCAACAACTAATGCACATCTCGACGTCTTATGATGTACGGCACTAAGCCCATCAATGTACATCCTCATATTTTACGATGCACCACTCTCCAACAAATATTTCCAGTGACCAAAAGAAAATCCAAATGTATTATGCCCTCCAACAAATGTACAACCTAAAGCCCTATGTTGCACCATAACTAGTGCACACTAAAATTGTAGATTTATCATCAAACAAATGAAAATACATATAAAGACAATAGACGCGTGTAATACTAATTATAACGCAAATTATCACATATGGAATAATTCATTCATTATTATTACAAATCATGATACAACATGTGCATACTATGGGGTGTTTGGTTATTGGCTTATAACATAATATACCTATACCCTTAAAGGTCATTTTACATATAATCAGTTAATAGTAAACAACTGATTTATCAAACACATTTTTTCAATCAGCTAATACTAAACTCGATCAGCTACTAGCTTCCAGCTATCAGCCATTTACCAAATATTCCCTATATCTCTAAACAAAACTAACATCAATTCAAAAAAAAAAAAAAGAAAGATGGACACTATTAAAGTCCTCCCACAATAAAACAAATCACAACCCCAAGTTACTTATAAAAAGTTTACATTTTTCAAAGGTAATCAAATCACAATTTCTTTTTTAGGCTGTGTTTGAAATCCCAAAAAATGATTTCTTCCGGATTTTTGGTGTTTGGCTACACTTGGAAAATCCAGTCAACGGAAAATATTTTCCGTTGACTGAGAAAAATGTGCTCAATTTGGCAGAAAATAACTTCCGTCAAATTTTGATGGAAGTCATTTTCCGCCATTTGTTATTTTTTTTTTGAAGTTCCGCCGGAAACCATAATTTTTTTTTTTTTTTTTTTTTTAGTTTTAAACATTTAAAATGTATTTTTTATTCTAAATAAAATAATTAAAATATTTAATTATATCATTCTTCTCATTTTTCAGAAAATGAACCAAACACACCAAAACAGTTTTTCAAATACAACCAAACACTGAAAAATATTTTTCAAAAAATAACTCATTTTCCAAAAATTATTTTCTAAAAGTCATTTTTCTACTTTTCAAACAGATCCTTAATAATTTTGACACTATTACAAAAATTAATGTTCCAATTAAAATTTAAATTTGTAACATTCCATTAAAGAGAGTCACAGTTAGTTATCCGCTTGCCCGTCTTTGTCAAATGGCAAAATTTATAATTATACAAAGATGCAAAGAGAGGAACAGAAGTTAGACTAATCCGTTCTCTATGCAGAATCCTCAAGAACTGGAAATATCTCGTGATCTCCTTCTCCAGTTGACAAATCAAATACAGTACAGTTAGTTCTTCATTCAATTTGATCACAATGGAGTTAACTATTTCATCGTCGCTCCGCTCTAACACTTATACGCCGCTTCGTTTCTCCCGAAAAGCATCGCTGTTTCCTATTGGTTATTCCCGATGTCTAGGATCGTTTCCTTCTAGGGCGCAGAATACAGAGGCTTGCGATGCTAGTGATGGTCATCATGTGGAAAACGATGGTTTTGTGCTAGATGATGTTCCTCATTTGACCGATTATCTCCCTGATCTCCCGGTAATTTATAACTTCATAGAATAATAAGGAGAAAATTTATGCTCTAATTTCATAATATTTTCTGTAAGATTTATGTCGTAATGTTGAAATTCATGTTAATTTCTACATTTTCATTTCAGACCTATACGAATCCCTTGAAAAGGACTCCGGCATATGCGATAGTCAAGTAAGCTTCTCTGGAGCTTCAATGTAACTGTATTATGTGGAGATGCATATGCTTGTTGGTAATACTAAATCCATTGCTTAATAGTTCTATATCATCTTTATTGTCCAGGAAAACCTTTGTCAACCCGGAAGATCTTGTAGCTCGAGATGTATGCGCTTTCAATTAGTGCTTGTGCTTGATTGATCTTTTACTTTCTGAATTCAGTTTGATGGTTGTCATCTTTTTTCTTCAGATTATAGGTCAGAGAGGCAGTTCGAGAGGTGTACATTTTAGACGTGCAGGGCCTAGAGAAAAGGTTTTTACTATTTCATGCATTATAGAAGTGAAATCAGATTAGCCTGGGTCTAATGTACTCCTGATATCAGGTTTATTTCACTCCTGAAGAAGTCCGCGCTTGCATTGTAACATGTGGTGGTCTTTGCCCAGGAATCAATACTGTTATCCGTGAGATCGTATGTGGCTTAAAAAATATGTATGGAGTAGATGATGTGCTTGGGATTCAGGTTGGTTAATGTGAAGCACTTTTAAGGTTCTAAACATAGTCCTGTAGTTTATTTCTTTTTGAACACTAGAACTTATGGCCAAACTCCAAAGTCATATATGCATTCTTATGTCCTATTATACCTTATTAATGTATCTCTTCTATTTTTTCTATGAGTGTCTCTTTAATTGTTTTCTTTTAAATCCTGGAAGGGAAGGGCTTATAACATAGGGTTATCCATCATTTGTTGGGAGATGGTTATCTGGGAAATAAGATGCTTTCATTTGTTGTTATTGAAATAATGTTATTTAAAGACATCCCTTTTCATGTTAGGAATGAAAAACACAACATCTGTAGTTCCTGTCCTAAAGTCTATACAATTGGTATGCTAATCTTTTTGGCAAAGGTGTAATGTCAACATGGCTGTCAAATATTTTTATTTTCTGTAATTCTTAGCTCCTATTTAGTGCTAACATCATTGCTTTTTATTAAGGGAGGCTATAGAGGATTTTACTCCAAAAACACCATGAAGTTGACACCAAAAATTGTTAACGATATTCATAAGCGAGGTGGTACCTTTCTTCAAACCTCTAGAGGAGGTCATGATACCAAGAAGATTGTAGACAACATTGAAGACCGTGGAATAAATCAGGCATTTTAAATTTTTTTATGGGATCTTTGTTAATTTTACAAGTTTTATATCTGTACCTAACATCTTTCTTAATTTCCAATTATAGGTTTACATAATTGGAGGGGATGGCACTCAAAAAGGTGCTGCTGCAATTTTCAAGGTATTCATAAAAGCGTCTTTTCCCTTTTTCCCAATCAATCCATAATTACTGCATTTATTTTGTTAATTGTGATTACTTAATTTGTCAAGGAAGTTACAGAAAGGGGCCTTAAAGTGTCTGTAGCAGGGATTCCCAAGACCATTGATAATGACATTGCTGTAAGTATGTCAGAAAAAAAGTGATGCTTATTGTACAATTAAACGAAGAAATAAAATTTGTGTAGCCAACCCCATCTAGATTGGGAGTACAGCATGGTTGAGTTGAATTGAGCATTGTGCTGGAAGACTGAGATACACTTGGTATCACTTATTCTTTAAGCTTGTGGTTGCTTAGATATAAGTTCAGTAACCTTTTCGGTTTTTGTTCTTACTGAATGTTCCACTTTAGTTCTAATTTGCTTTAGTTTGTTGTTCTTGCATTGATATGCGTTTAGGTAATAGACAAATCCTTTGGCTTTGATACTGCTGTTGAGGAAGCTCAGAGAGCAATTAATGCTGCACATGTGGAGGCAGAATGCATGGATAATGGAGTAGGGATAGTTAAGCTTATGGGTCGACACAGTGGTAAGTAGTTCCCCCCATGTATCAGAGGAAATTCTTTCTCATTGTATCCAGCCAAACACTTTCTAAAGTTCTCTAATTTGTCTTGCTTGTACTGGGATAGGGTCCATTGCTTTGTATGCCACTTTGGCAAACCGAGATGTGGTGAGTCTTCTATCTAGAACTTGTGGTATCTTGTGATATTCTATAATGTCACAACTTATTGCTAGTTTGTTTTCAGCTCATTGTCTGCAGCAAATGCTAAGATTTGATCGGATGAAGTCTGATGTTTTGGTCGATTATTATTTATTATACATTTATACCATTCTTCTTGTCAATTTAATATTTGCTCATTGCATGTGTTCTGGGATTTATTCAAATGATTAACAATACGGGAAAGAAAATTAAAGAGGGCCTGCAATGTTTAGTGCTGCAAGAATGTGAATACTCTTTGCAAGTAAAATAACTAGAGAATTATCATTAATTATTGTTGGGTTGGTATCAGGACTGTTGCTTGATTCCTGAGTCCCCCTTCTATTTAGAAGGTCCAGACGGTCTATTTCAATATATTGATCAAAGGCTTAAGGAAAATGGGCATGTGTTGATTGTATTGGCAGAAGGTGCCGGGCAGGAATACGTTGCTCAGAGTGTGCAAGCTTTTGATGGGAAAGATGCATCTGGAAACAGACTATTACTAGATGTTGGTCTGTGGTTAACACAAAAGGTTAAGGTATATCCCCCCCATGTAATGCATGCCTAAAGCATGTTTTCTTGATGGTTCTTTGAGGTTCCTACTTCCTAGTGTTCTATAAGTTGGCTGTCTATTCCTAAATGATCCTGAAGCAGCTAAATGGTTTACTAATCTGTTTAACTTTTTCTTAAAAAATTGTTATGACATTATTTTAATGAAATTCATATTATATCATCATAAAGAACCTCACATTACATCAGATATTTTGAATGCAATCTCCAACTTTAGTTTCCTTGAGCAATGATTTCAGTTCAGTGAAATCTTTAGATTGTAAGATGACTGAAATGAAAATTTTCTCCATGTCTTGTGCTGAGCCCAATGCCAAACAGCGCTTTCAATTGGAACAGTTGTAGAAACACAATATTTCTTTCCATCTCTTTTTATCCTCCATTACTTTTATTCCCTTCTTTAATAAAGTTTCCTTACCATTGCGTGTGTTAGTATGCATTATTTTGGGACTCTTGTTTCTTTCATATTAAATGATTCACAATGGTTGGTTTATTTATGACTTTGCTTTTATTTATCTATTTCAACTCTTGTATCCTTTTACTTGCAGGATCATTTTACAAATGTTCAGAAGATGACAATTAATATGAAATACATAGGTACCTAGCCTGTCTATTTATAATATGTTATTCTGTTCTAGACTTCTAGCAGCTTTTATCTATTCGTGCTCACTTGCTCAGTACTGTTAAGCTAGTATTTTTCATTAATGTATATGGAGTTGGTAATAGTTTTATATTAATGTTGAAAGTAAAACCCTAGTGTAGCCTAGGTATAACCTTAAGGTTGGTCCTTTTTTAGTCTGTAATAAGAATATAAGCATGTACGTCATTCTCAGAAAGTCAGAATGTATGCATTACAATAATATTAACATAATCAATATACATATTCTTTCTCTAGTTTTCATACATTATCTTCTACCTAACTTATAATTGGTGGCTATTCACCATCCACTAGCCCTTCAATCACACAATTTCAACATGCTATCGGCTCTAAACCCTAGAATATAACCAAAGGCTTATTTTTCCAATAGAAACTCCTTCTCGTGACTGTCTTCTTGTTTTGAGCTTTTTTGGTGCTTGTCTCAACAGAATAATGTAATTGGAACCTTGTCATGATCTAATGCCAAAAGTCTTGCTGTTGGAGTCAGGTGGATCTTCCCTCAAGTTTTTGCCTAGATCTCACTTTCTAGTGATTGTTTACTGACATTGCCCACATCAGTGTGCTCCTCCCCCCTCAGAGACCGAGTTTGTGAAGTTTGCTCGCCATATCCACCATCACACTCCCACACGCCACCACCATGTCCCACAATCAGTAGCCTACCTATATCCTATCTTCTTGCTTTTATCACTATGTCCCAGACGAATCCCTTCGTTTCTCCATCTTTCACCTCTATTGTTTTTTTAGAAAGGAACCCTTTCTTTTTGATGTCATGTCCTAGAGTGCTTGCGGCCTTGCGTCACTGTATTGTTTTGAGGGTGTTTGTGCTGGGTTGTCTCTTGATGCTTTCATCTTAATCTGTGAGGGTCGTATATAATACCATGTTTCTTGGAGCTATTCACATCAGGTACTTTCATCCTCTAGCCATGTCGATTGGGTTTATGATCTTATTTAGTACAATGGAGTGTTTGTCTTAATTTAAGCTTGGAGCTTCCAGATGTTCTAGTTTGAGGGTGAACGTTGAAATATAGAAACCCTAGTGTAGTCCTATCTTAGGATTACCCCGTTATGCAGCCCATTATATTCCTTTATAACTTATAAGCATGCTTGTCTCTCTAATGTAGGCCTAACATTATTCTTAATACAATTCTTTTTTCATAGATTAGCTTCTGCCTAAGTGGTGGGCGGTGGCTATTTTCCTCCCGCCAGGCCTTCAATCCTTTAATTTCAACAATATATTCAAAACTTGTTTCAGTACATTCATTTCAATTGATCATCTATGCAAAGACATTCATGTTTGCGTGTGGGGCTTGGTGGTTAACTCTGACTCTCTGAGGCCCCTTTGCTTCTTCAGTATAATATGACATTATTCTTTATACAATTTTTTTTCTTTATTTCTTTAGTTTTCATAGATTAGCTTCTGCCTAGTTGGCAGGTGGTGGCTATTCGCTTCCCACTAGACCTTCAATCCTTTAATTTCAACAATATATTCAAAACTTGTTTCAATCATTTCATTTGAACATTCATCGTTACATGTGGGCTTGGTGGTTTACTCTGGCACTCTGAGGCCTCATTTTTTCTTCAGTATGATGTTACTTCTAGATTTATTACTCAACCATTATGCACCAATGTCAATATTGCACCCCACCCTCCGTGTGTGAGCATTTGTATGTATGTGGCTGTGGCTATTTCTTTTAGTATTGGATAGTAAAATTCATTTGGGGATTAGAATTGGCTTAAGTGACTAGATGGGCTAAAAATCATAATATTGCTCAATTAATATCTGTACATAGCTTCTTTCTTTCATAGCTTTCAGCAGGTCATTAATTTCCATACCTGTTTTATCTCTGCAGACCCCACATACATGATCCGAGCAATCCCAAGTAATGCATCAGATAACATCTACTGCACACTTCTTTCACAAAGTGCTGTTCATGGAGCAATGGCAGGGTATACAGGTTTCACTGTTGGACCTGTAAACAGCAGACATGTTTATATCCCAATAGAGGTAAGTTTTTTGCGAGTCAAAAACTTGAGAGGTCCCTTTATACTATAGCATTTTGTTTAATTTAGTCCCTATACCCTAATTTTGTTCAATTTGATCCTCTTACTTCATAAGATAGTACAATTAAGTGCAATCACTAACACCATTTAATATTTTTGTTGAGTTTTCTAATGTGGCAGTAATGTCATAAATGCCATGTCAAAATATTTTTACATTGTATAGCCATGTCAGATTTTTAAAAAAGTAATTAAATTATTAATAAGATATAAATTTTGAGGAGGATTACAGTTAGCCTTCTTTCTTTCTTTCTCATTCCACTCCCCTCCATCACCTCAATTGGGGAAAAACCTTAAAACATATTGACAATCTGGGCTCCTTCCACAGCATTGTGGTTTAATAGAATCCAACTCTGAATAGTGTAACTGTTAAACAATAAACTCAATTGTATATTTCTATATGTTCTGTGTGTCAATGTACAAGGAAGTATAGAGCTATTTATATTAGACAAGAACTAATCCTAGCCATAGGTTTCAAATACCTAAAACTAAGGCTAAGAGAGATCCTCTCAACTAACACCCTATTTCTCTAACAGTAACAAAGTGATATCAATGGTTGTAGGAGTGAAGCCATCTTTCAGGTTCCTTCCCCAAGAAATGAATTTATAAAAGTTGATCTCCAGAGTTGAATTCTCCCTGTAATGTATCAAGAAAGTCAATTTATCTATTTTATTTATTTTTGAAAAGAAGATTGGGGGAGGATGGGAAGATGAGATGATGATTGATGACACATTATACTAACAAAAAAGTGAAAAACCATTAGAGGTGGAGAGCATGCATTGAAGCTTGCATTAGAATAACTGGGAGAAGAGGGTTGGTGATAGTGCCTGTACTTCAGGGAGTCGAGCAAGAAGCAAAGGAAGAAAACTTACTAGTCTCTCCTTTAAAAAAATCAAAATTTTAATTAATAATTTTTTTAAAAAAAAAACATCAAAATTTTAATTAATAATTTTTTTTTTTAAAACAAAAACAAGTGAAATTTGACATGGATTTATCATGTTAAAATATTTGATGTGACAGTGACGTCATAACTGCCATGCCACTATGCCAGTGGACTTTACAGAATTCATAAATGATTTTAGTACCATTTTTGGTGTTAAAGACTATCTTGATTGTACCATTTTTGAAGTACAAGGATCAAATTGAATAAAATTAAGGTACAAGGACTAAATTGAACAAAATGCCCCAAGTATAGGGACCTCTCAAGTATTTTGACCCTTTTTGTGCATCTCTGTGCTTATAAATATTACTTTAGTTATTACATGTGTATTTCATTCTCTGTAATCCTGCATTGGTTAGAGCCAAACAGTTACTCTTTAAAATCTGTTTGACCTCTTGTTTGTGACCCTTAGGACATTTCTAGAAAAAGAGGTGTTTGGGAGTTGGGGTTGATTGGTAATGCCAGGGTGTCAGTTCGGTTTATAATTTTTGATGGCCAAGTTATCTATGCCTGACACTGAGTCCTTCAACTTTTCTTGTACTAAATTCATCAGTAACCTGTGTTCTAGCTTTTCCCATGGAGAATAGTGAAATGCTTTTAAGGATGAGCAATAGTTTCCTTCCTAAGGATATGTTGTTGCCGGTAATATTATTATTGTTATTATTGGTATATCTAATGGGGATGAGAGTTGTGATTTGAACCCAAACCCACAATTTAGAAATGGATGTAGACTACAAGCCAAACCCTTAATATGGTTTTTTTATGGGAAGAGCTAAAATTTCCTTCTAACCTGAAACTCTAAGGCAAGAGCGCTATAGTTATCGCTTCTGTGATGATTTCATGGTCTTAAGGCGACTCTCTATGGTGATGTTCTTCTCCAAACTTTGACTTAATATTTTTTACCAATAAATTCAGTATGTAATAATCAACTCTTCTGGTTTTGCTAGTTTTTGAAATTGTAATTTTTATTTCCTTTAAATGTTTACATGAGATCTATTGCTTACTTGGTGGTGTGGCTTGCAGCGTGTGACTGAGACTCAAAACAGGGTGAACTTGACAGACAGGATCTGGGCTCGGCTTCTTGCGTCCACTAATCAACCAACTTTCCTCCACAAGTGCGAGTCTATTCGAGAAAGAGTTGATAAGAAGACTATGGATGCTATTAATGACCAAAGGATTACTTCTATCTAGGTTGATTCTTAAGCAGCTGCTGTGTGTAGTGATTGAGAGGAGGTATGGTTGTGCACATGAATTAGTTGAACAAGGCATGTTCAAGATCCACTTGATGTCTGTTAAATGAATTTTAAAATTTGTTCAAACTTGTTTATTTTACTCGTAGTAAACAAGTGTACTGTTTATTTTTGGTAAATGTATTCTTTTAAATTGAATGCAGACAACTACAAAGAGAGAATGCAAATTTTAAGTGAACCGAGTTTGAAGACTATTCAAAGTTTGGTTTCTATATAAATGAGTTTTAAACACTTTAGGGGATCATGGAATGTTAGATTACCATAAAGAATGTTAGATTACTTTAAAGAATGTTAGATTGTTGGGAATGTTAGATTTTTGTGTTTGGTTTATAATTAAGGTATGTAAATAAGACAACAGTACTAAGAGAAATTGATTAAAATGGCAAAAGTCCAAAATTAGTAATAAGAAAGTTCAAAATTAGTAATAAGACAAAGGAATGTGAGATTACCTAAGTAATTAAAGAGTATCTCATTGTTTCACTTGTCTAATTTATTTCATAATACAATAGACAGTCATCTCCCAATGACCTAGATATCTCTAAGTCATAACCCCATTGATCATCAAATAAATGTTCAACATATATATCCAAGTCCTTGTTTGTTGGAACTTCTGCAATTAATCTTACAACATCATTGCTTAACTTCCTAACTTGAGTTTTTCTTGAGTTACGTTCTTTCTACTCTTAACCTTAACTCAAAAGTTCACATTTTTATCACAAAATCTTAATTGTTTTATCATTTCTTAAATTAGTATACTAGCTCATCACAGTTGAAATGGTCAAAATACTCGACTCTATCATCCCTATAATCAAATTTTGGATGCCAGGCCAAATTCCCACCAATATGGAGTTTTATGCTAAAGATAAATGCTTCCTCACTAACATCTATAAAATGTAGTAAAATAAGTTCTATTTTTACCTTTCACAATTAATTACGGTAAAATAAGTAAATATAAGAAGTCCCATCAAACAATAACAACACAATCATATGTAATGCTATTGAATGAACTTTGGTCTTTGATATGTGGGTATATAAAAAAAAATAAAAATAAAAAAAGAACTTTTAAGCAAGTATAAATGGTCTCCATATGCTTTCCCCTTTTTACTATTCAACTACAAAAAAAAAAAAAAAAAAAAAAAAAAAAAAAAAAACAACAACACATTATCTCTTTTCTTTTTTCTTTGTAGCAGAGGTCCCCACTAAACATTAACAAAAGAACCCAACACATTGCAAATGCTAGCATCACTTAAACCAACACAAGTAAGACAAAATATATATACCTTTTATATGCGAGCAGAAAAAAGAAACAAACACTACAACTTTGACTTATGCAAACATAGTTAAAGTTTGAATACTTACAAGTAGGAGTTGTATTAAACTCACTATCCTCCTACTAGTCATTGCAAATGAATGACGTCCTTTCTTCAATGGGTTAGAGTTTTGGAAAGCTAGGGTTGAAAATTAGGTTGCATAAAAGGAAAAAGGGAAGAAATTGGATAAATATATTAAAAGGGGAAGAAATTGGATAAATATATTAAGTGGCATATGAAATTTTAAAAATGTTCATGGTCTAAACGGTGTTTAACGGAATTATATAACAGAAGGGACTAAATTGGCTAACGTAAGAAAGATTGAGGGATCGAAACTGTTCAAATTAAAAACTAGGAACTACGTTACAAATACGTTAATAATTGAGGAATCAAAAATGCGATTCCCTTTTAAAAATAAATTATGCAGACAATAGTGTCAGATATTATTGTTTTTCAACTGCCTAAAATAAAATTGATACATAGTAAAAAAAATTTGATATTTCAATTTCACTCGTGTGAGTCGTGACTACATGACATTTTTTCCACAACATATGACTTATCTTTAATGTTTAGTACTCACCGTAAGTTTCTACACTTGCGAATCTCTAAGAATGATAGTTCTTTTTTCTTTTTGGTAACTAGAGAATTGTAATTGGTAATCAAGTCTCCATTAGATAAATCCCTTATTTTTGCAGTAAATTCACAATTTTATTTTATATTTTTTGTTGAGAATGCAGTAATTCACAAATTATATAAAATAAATTTTATTAAAAATATATATGCAGAAAGAGATGTTGATAAGAAATAAATTGAATTATGGTTTGCTCACCGGGCATGAGAGTTCTCTTTCACTCACTTCCTGGCTGGTACCACTCTTTTCACTGTCTATTAAATTTCCACTTATCTCTACTCTACTTGCGTCTAATTTCTTGAAACGATTTCATTATACCTATTTGCCCCTTGTTCTATGCCCGTTCTATTATCTCCCCCAGAGACTTGAAATCCCAGATTCTCAAGAATTTGTGAAACCCAATTGCAAGGTCGAATTTCAGCTCCCAAAGCTTCATGGGTTTGCAGTTAAAGCTGGTACCTTTACCCCATTGAAGCCTCATAAATTGGAAATTAGGATTGGTTAGTGGAAATCTTGTCTTAAAATGGCAGAAAATTAGAAGAAAAAAGAGAAAACAGTGAAACTGGGTATTAAGATCATATGGCCATGATGATGCTTCACACTGTATCCAACCCTTCACCACCCAAAGCCCCCACCACTGCCTTCAAATCCAATACCTTTCAGGGAGTTGAGTCGTGCTCAACAATGGCGGAGCTTAAGCAGCTCCATGCCCAATTCATAAAGCTTGGCCTTTCATGTGACAATGATGCCATGGGCCGAGTCATCAAGTTCTGTGCCATATCTGAATCTGGAGACTTGAACTACGCCCTTAAGGTGTTTGATACATTGCCTGAACCAGATACCTTCATATACAACACCATAATCAGAGGGTACTTAAAAAGCCAGTTTCCTGAAAGTTCAGTTCCTTTTTACTCCAAGATGTTACTGAACTCAGTCATACCCAATAACTTCACTTTCCCTCCGTTAATTCGCTGTTGTTGCGTCGCCAATGCGATTGGAGAAGGAAAGCAGGTACATGGTCATGTGATCAAGTTTGGATTTGGGTCTGATGGGTTTTCCCAGAACAATCTGATCCATATGTATGTGAATTTCAACTGCTTGGAAGAAGCTAAGAGGGTGTTTGATAGGTTGCCGGTGAAAGACGATGTGGCATGTACGACGCTAATTAGTGGGTATGCCCAGTGGGGGTATCTTAATGAAGCTTTGAGTGTTTTTGAGTCAATGCCGGAGGAAAAGAACTCTGTCTGTTGGAATGCTATGATTGCATCATATGTCAAGAATGACCGGTTTTACGAGGCATTTGCTTTATTTCAGAGAATGCGGGCTAAGGGCGTTACGATTGATAAATTTGTTGCTGCAAGTATTTTATCGGCTTGTACGGGACTAGGAGCTCTAAAACAAGGGGAGTGGATACACGACTACATCAAGAAAAGCGACGTTTATGTGGACTCCAAGTTGGCAACAACGATTATTGATATGTACTGCAAATGTGGATGCTTGGATAAGGCATTCGATTTCTTTAATTCACTCCTGGTGAAAGGGCTTTCTTCTTGGAATTGCATGATTGGAGGGTTTGCGATGCATGGCAAAGGAGAGGCGGCAATTAAGCTTTTGAAGGAAATGGAAAGGGAGAAGGTAGTTCCCGATTACATTACCTTTGTGAATGTCCTGAGTGCTTGTTCTCATTCGGGTTTGATTGAAAAAGGGAAATATTACTTCGATTATATGACAAAAACTTATGGCATTGAGGCCGGGATGGAGCATTATGGATGCTTGGTTGATATGCTTGGACGAGCGGGATTACTAGAGGAAGCCAGGAGAGTAATCGAGGAAATGCCTATTAATCCCGACGTAGGCGTCCTGGGTGCCCTTCTCGGAGCCTGTAGAATCCACAACAACTTGGACCTCGGTGAAGATATTGGGAAGAAAGTAATCGAGTTGGAGCCTCACAACAGCGGGCGCTACGTGCTGCTAGCCAATCTATACGCCAATGCGGGTAGATGGGAAGACGTGGCCAAAGTGCGAAAGCTGATGAACGACAGAGGAGTAAGAAAGCCCCCGGGCTACTCTATGGTCGAATTGGGTGGCGTGGTTGATGAGTTCATCGCGGGAGGAAGGACTCATCCTCAAGCACGAGAGATATATGGCAAAGTGCATGAAATGCTGGACAGGATTAGGCTCGAAGGCTACGAAGCTGAAGCACATGAAATGAGCGAGGAGGAAAGGGAGAACCCGGTGTACTACCACAGTGAGAAATTGGCAATTGGGTACGGGTTACTGAAGACTGAAGCGGGGGAAACCATTCGCATCACGAAGAATTTGCGAGTTTGTAGAGACTGTCACCAAGCCAGTAAGCTGATATCGAAAGTGTACAATCGAGAAATCATTGTTAGGGACAGGAATCGGTTCCACCATTTTAAAGGAGGAGAGTGTTCTTGTAATGACTACTGGTAAATATGGACTATATTGTGCATTCCCTTATCCGTAAAACGAAAAAAGGAAATGACAGTTTAGTTGAGGGTAAATACTATTGCATTTAGGTCTAAAGTTGGGGCAGAATTAGTTGTTGAGGTGACAAAACTTGTAGTTCTTGTGGGTCTTTGTATAGAGAAAATGGCTTCTTGCTTTGGTTTGGAGATTTGATGGACATTAATGTGGATCTTTACATATATATGATATATGGATGGCTTCCTCTGGTTCAGGTAACAATTTATTGTGGATATTCTGGCTGTTGCTAAATTCACTAATTCAAAGATTCAAAGTCACCAACTTCAATTCCCTGGGATAGTTATGCTGTGCATGGTACATACGGATGCAAAAACGACGTCGTTTTATTAAAAACGCGCGTCTTCCCTTAAAAAAAAAATTCAGGTTTGATTCCCAGCAACAGCATTATGTTGTTCATTCATTCTGGAATTTTAGTTCATAGATTATGGAATTTTAGTTCATTGATTCTGGAATTATAGTTCATCGATTCTGGAATTGTAGTTCATCGATTCTGAAATTTTAGTTCATAGATTCTGGAATTTTAGTTCATTCATTCTGGAATTTTTAGTTCATAGATTAGATTCTGGAATTATAGTTCATAGATTATGGAATTATAGTTTATCGATTCTGGAATTATAGTTCATCGATTCTAGAATTTTAATTCATATGTTGTTGCTGGGAATCGAACCTGTTTTTTTTTTTTTTTTTTTTTAAGAAGAGACGCGCGTTTTTAATAAAACGACGTCGTTTTTGCATCCGTATGCACCATGCATGGTGGATACGGATGCACAGCATGCCAGTGGACCCAGTTCACCTTGCAAGGTGGACTAAGGTCCAAAACGTGCGTTTGGAATGGGACCTTTTTTCAGCCAATGATTTTTTTTTTTTTTGAATATAGAGTTCAAGAATTATGAATATAGAGTTCAAAAATTGTGAATATAGATTCAAAATTGTGTTATACTGTTGGATATAGAGTTCTTAATTGTGAATATAGAGTTATGAAATTGTGTTTATAGAGTTGTAAAATTGTGAATATTGAGTTCAAAAATTGTGAATATAGAGTTTTGCCATTGTGAATATTGAGTTCTGTAATTTTGTATATTGAAATATAAAATTGTGAATATAGAGTTCAAAAATTGTGAATATAAAGTTAAAAAATTGTGAATATAGAGAAACGAATTCTGAAGACAAACAGCAAGTTAAAGACAAGGAAGTAAGCAATTTTTTTTTTTTTAAATATTCAAACAGCGTCGTTTTGAAGCAAAACGATGCCGTTTTGGACCTGGATCCACCTTGCAAGATGGACCTGGGTCCATGGCATAACAACTGTTGTATACCCGAGTAGCGATGGAAATAGGCTAGGCACTTATCAAGGCCTACGGGCTACGACTAGCCTATTTCCATCCCTATACCCGACTAGGGGGCGTTTCGATATTAAGTTTGATTTTTTTCACTTTTGATTTTCCGATTTAAAAAAAAAAAAAGATGATGTCATTCGGTTTAACATTATAGTTTGGTTCGATTTGAAAAGTTCGGTTTCAAATCGGTATTCGGTTTAATTTAAGAACCTCAATTCTTAATATTTCCTAATTTTCTAAACACATTACCAAACAACACATATTCACATAATCCAATTCCAAAGTCTAACACATCATATAACAAAATAGCAATAAAAAATCCAAACACTCTACAAAATACTAATTACGAAACATCAGATAGTTCAAATCCAAAGTTCAACAACTACAAACATGATATAACAACATAACAATCCAATAATCTTCGATTGGCTCATATGTAAACATTGTAGTGTTTTGTTGACCATATGAAGAATCATCCATTATATAGTTAATATTTAATATTAACTTGACCTTTCTCATGTGGGAGGTCATGAGATCGAGTCTTAGTGGAGGCGTTATTGACTCTTTGTGTTTCATTAGATTGAGAAAGTATGTTTGAACGGATACTACAATGTAATAGAGTCAGTAGCATTCAAAAAGAAAAAAGCCAAATTAAACTACCTCAGACGAGCCACAGAACCCGAATTATTATGAATGGATGGTTTACTCCCTATGTTAGTTTATAATAGAGTTAATTCCAAACTTTTTTCTAATAAAGAGGACTAAAAGTTGACTGTCATCTATAAATCTAGAACTAAAAATAGAATTAACTCTTTATAGTATAATATACTACATTTTAAGTGGAGTTAATTCCATTTTTTGTCCTAAATTTATAGGTGGTAGTCCACTTTTAGTCATTTTTTTATCAGAACATCCCTTTTTGGTCCTAATATTATTCTGACATGACCAATTTTGTTCCTTTATCAAAGAAATCGTTAAAGTTTCGTTAAATACAAGGGCATTTTGCTCTTCAATTATGATTTTTTTTCAAAAAAATAAACATAAAAAATATAACTGGTCATCGCACTTTGTATTAAAAAGATCAAAATGTCCTTCAATTTAACAAAATTTCAACGATTTTGTTGATAGAGGACCAAAATGGGCCATGTCACAATAATACTAGGACAAAAAATGAATGTTTTGATAAAAAATGACTAAAAGTGGACTGTCACATATAAATCTAGGACAAAATTAAAATAAAATTAATTCTTCTAAGTGCAATGCACGAATCTGAATAGTGGTAAGTATCATTATTCCAAAAGGCTGAACCCCAACCCTAAGGGCCCCCCACACCCTAGTGGTAAGTATCATGATTGAATATAATGATGCGTAAAGCTAGTTTTTAAAAATCTAACGAACAAATTAAAATAATTATAGGTTAAATATAAACTTCATACTCATTATTTATATAATTTAAGAGTTAACATATTATAGTGGAAAGACATCGGGTGCAAATAATTATTTTTTCATTGAAATCTAAACTTATTTGAGATCATTATTTATTGCACATTCCTAAAACTTTATAAATTGTCTTCATATACATCAAAATACATATGATTGTTTTGCACTCCAAAATGTTTTCAATGAAGTTAGATCACACAAAGGTAGAAGACACAGTAGATGTGTGATGAAGAAGTTAGGTATAGCACACAAAATATGTGATTAATTAAAACCTTCCTATAAATAAACGAACAATATTGTATATCTATCAAAAGTAAGAAAAGTATTCTATCACTTATGACAATTTAGACAAAATGAAAAACATATTTAGGTTGTTTATTTTTTCTTATTTGTATCAACAAAGTTGAGCATGATGCTTTTGGGTCATAATTTGGCCACCTGGGTATTGCAAAATATTTTGGAGCTCATGGTTGTTATCCACACAATTAGTGTGAACGTGGAATGAGGAAACAAAGTCAAGGTCTAAGGTTTCCTACTTTTATGTGAATGCATGGCTGTGTTTAGAGCTCCTTTAGTATAAAAGTTGTGTCCTTCACTATTCATGATGCACTCAAAAAGTTGTGTACTTAGTATATAGTCAGGTTCGCCTACGTGATTGCTAGTGCAAGCTATCCGTAGTAGGTCTGTGTAGCCTGTCGAAAGCGTGTCAGGGTTTTAACTGCACCGTTATCGGGCAAATAACGCTTTTAAGGTAGTGTTATTATAACACGGCACAGATTTTCTTTCTACCATACACCCATAGTGTCTGTGCTTCTTAATTAAAAGGCTTCCAGATCGTGTGTTGACGTTGTACATTTTCACAATAGTATTCACGGCATTCACCACTCACGGCTTCTCCCAGGGCCAGAGGATGTTAATTTTGGGTCTTAACTACCAACAAAGCCATTATCTCCGTCGTGGCCCCGCCCTACGGCAAGCTCACACCACCAGGCTACTACTTGATCTTCCTCGCATCGTGGCATATCCGGGGAATGTGGGTGCATATTAATTAAATACAAGGATGTAATTAAGCCATTGTTTTTTTTTAATTTTGTTGTCGGCTTTCTAGATGTCATTTCTTCAGTGATATTTCAGAATAAAGAAACATATACACAATAGAAAGTAAAAACACACACACAATAACAACAAAAACAATAATAAAATAGAGTTCACTACCTTATACCTCTAAGATTGAGTTTCGAAACTTTCAGAATCTCAGTGATCTTGAGTTCTTATAATTATGTAATTTACTAATTTATATCTTGTCCCTGTAAGTTTGTTGCCGCATAGTGTTATAAATTGAGGAATTATATGATGTGATGCAACAAAAGCAGTGGGTTTGTATGTAGTATTTGTCCAGGTCTTTGTTTGCCATCTCAGTTGTCTGTCAAAGAATATATAAATATGCTTCAAGAATGTCACTTTTCAAGGAATTACAAATTTGAATGATAATTCCCAATTGTTATTGACTATTTTATATGTTGACACAATATAATAAATATTTTATTATTTATTTTATATATATTTACAATCATACAAAAATGTGTTGATATTGAACTTTTGCATGCATGAGACCTCGATTTTCTTAGAAACGTAACAGCCCTAAGCGTGGTCTCCAAAAACCAATTGTTATATTGTGAATCCTGATTCAATACACATAATTTGACTTCATAATGTACAAAAATGTATAAAATTTATGTTCATAATACACATACAAATAAACATGATATAATGAACATGAATTTTGTGCATTATAAACATAAATTTTGAGCATTATAAACATGAATTATGTATATTATGAATATGAATTATGTGTATTAATGTATTATGTTAAGTGTTAATTATGTGTCTTTATTATATTGTATTAATGTGTATCTGTATTATGCACATAAATTTTGTACATTATAAACTTAAATTATGTATATTATGAAGTCAAATTATGTGTATTGCACTGTGGACCCTGGTCCACGATATAAATTGCCTCTAGAAACAGACCTAACCGAACCCACGATTCCAAGCTTCATTCAACCATTAATTAATATGAACAATCCAACATGTAAGTTTACCATTAATTAATTAAATCGAGTAATAGGATCTACATGACTACATGAGTAGATCACCATCAAGTACATACTATATTATGCTTTCACATATATTTCATGGCTGCCATATATGAAAGTGTAGAAGAATATTTTCCATATCTCTCTTGTATATATTTAATCGTATTAATTTTTTAATTTCCATGTAATTAGTATTCTACTTTAGGTACATACATTTTCTGTTCATTGTTACATTTAAAATATCTTGTATAAATAGGCTATGTATGTTTATTTGTTTAGCAGCTACTCCAACTACTATGAGAGGTAAAGGAGTCTAAAGCAAACCTCATTGGTAAGTTTATTGCCTTATTCATGTTGTTAAGATAGCTATCAGCTAACAACCATTTTATCAAACAGGGCCAAAATCATTTTTGTGCAAAGGATTTTGCCACTGTGTCTAACATTTGTCAAACCCAAGTACCCAACAAGGGACTAACCACTTGACTGTGTCCAATTTATAAGTATTATATAACTTAGAGACTGAATTAACAATACTGAGAAAAACTAAGTGAAATTTTATTTAAAATAAAAAATTGATAACGGAAAAAATTTACACTATAGACAATAATCGAGTACTATCCAACCAAAACTCGAATTTAAAAACTATGGACAGTGGCACACAAGTTGGAGAAATTAAAGAAGCATTATTGTAGAAGCTATTATCGGCCGCCTAAGCGATAACTTCTGCCACGAAAAGCTACATTTGAATTTGAATAGGTTGATGTTTCCTCGGTTTGTTCTGAAGTGTTTGTCGTTTGGTTCCTCAACGACGACCACCAAGAACTTCTGCTTCCGTTAAGACGGCGGCCCCTTCCCCGGAAAGCAATTCCGGCCGAGGGATCGCTTCGAAATGGACTGTTCACTTGGAAGCCTTTACCCCAATATGCTACCAGTTTGTGACTATATATACAATATAATGTTAAGAAAACCACATACATCGAATTATGAATAAAATTGTGAATATTTTGTATTTTATTTCAATTTAATCAAATATTAATCACAAAAGGATACACCCAACGAGGAGTCTTGAAGTAGTTTTTTGCGAGAGGATGAAGGACCGTGAGAAAGTAATATATATGGCCGGCAGCTATTCCCAACATGTCTGGTTTTAGAGGATTGCCCAAGATCATATCTATCCCAAGCATGTACCATGGAAGATAGAATCCCTGCATATATATAACAACTCCTATTTATTTAACTAATAACTTGTAAACCATGCAAATAATTACAAACATTCTAGTTGATAACATTAGCCGATTGTAGAAAGGTGTTTGATAAATTAGCTGTTAACTGATAACTGTTTGGTATAATTTCTTTTCTCAAAGAGTTCATTGAAAAAGTAATTTTTTGAATTTTAGTATTTTAAAGTTATAAAAAGCTGATTAACCAAATACTTAATTTTTTTTTAACTAAGTCAAACAAGTGGTCAAATAAAACAAACTTAGGGGGTGTATTCAATCCTGACTTTTGTAGAGTTTTAAAGACTTTTAAAATGATAGATTTTAATAAACTTTGATTGACTTTCATAGAGTCATTCAAAACTTTTTAAAACTTTATAAGACTCTATTAAAGTCTATATAAAAAACATTCATAGACTTTTATCAACTTTTTATTTTAAAAAGTCTACAAAAGTCATTGAAACTCTAAATTGAATACATCCTTACAAACTTTCAATGATTTTTATCATTTATAATTTTCTTACAAAACATTTATAATATATCATAAAATTCTTCTTATTATATAGTTCTTCACTCACATCAATATTCTCAACATTATTATTTTCAGCCATAGTATGCTAACACTTATATGTTAATTACTTATATATATTATTAATAAATATCAACAAAAAAAAAAAAACTGTTTCATTAGAAATTCATAACAATATTGAACAATAAAATTTATAATAAAAGAATTGATCAAATAAAATATTTAAAAACATAATTACAAGTTGCATAAAATAAAAAATAAAAATCTTATATTAATAATATATATATATATATAATTATATTTGATATATGGCTAGAAATCACGCAAAGAACTATTATTTGCAATAGCAATTTGAGACTGCGAACAACAACAAGGTGCTACTCTTTGCAACACCAAATTGTTGTTGCAAATAGTAGTTCGCTATTCGTAGTAACCTGTTGTTAAAAAAAAAAAAAGAGAAAAATATATATTACGAATATAAACATAAAAATAATAAAAATCAAAATATATAATTATTTATATGAATATTATGAAACATATACTAAAATTTGACGATGAAAAATTTAATTTGTTCATGTATTTAGGGAGAATTAGAGAAAGTTAGGGATAAAAAATTCATAGAAAAAAATAAAAATCAATATAAACAAGTAATAATGAAGTAAAAATAATATTATTTCGAATTTTTAGATGAAGATTCTAAAGTTTAGGAGAGAGAGAGAGAGAGAAAAATTGGTAGAGCTTAGGTATAAGGAAAATATAGGATAATGAAGAAAAAAATAATTTTATTAAATTTAGATAGGTTTATAGAGTTTAAATATGGAGAAAAAAATAGAGTCTAAATAGAGAGAGAAAACATTCAAAGTTGTTAGAAAGAAAATTTGAAATCTTGGGGTTGATGGTTGGATTTCAACTATTTATATTTGAGAAGGAAAAGTCTACAAAAGTCTTAAAATTAAAAAGTAAGCAAAAGTTCATAGCTTTTTGAATACCACATGACTTTTAAAGACTCTTTAAAAGTCTTAATCGAATACCACACGACTTTTAAAGACTCTTTAAAAATCTTGATTGAATACCGCATGACTTTTAAAGACTCTCTAAAAGTTTGATTTGAATACCTCGAAACTTTTAAAGTTCATAAAAGTCTTTAAAACTCTATGAAAGTCATGATTGAATACACCCCCTTAGCTGATAAACTAACTATTTTTTCAAACAGCACCTTATGTGTCTTTATAATACACTAATACATAAACTCACCGTTTCTAGCAAAAGAAAAAAAAAATGAATATAAAATAATACTCATAAAACGTGATATCCAGAAGACAATAAACACTATTATAATATAATGGACATCTAATTCAATGGGAATGAACAAGTAATACCCTTACAATGAACATTCTATAATTATGAGATTTTCAAGTTGCAATTTGCAGAATGATGAGTAAGAATGTCATACCTTAAATTCCACAAGACCGTATACATTAATACGCGCATCTGGAAATTCTCGGCCCCAAATATATACGATCATGAATACCAAGGATGCCCCCATGAATGGTGACCACAAAAAGGGAAATATGGCCATCACCTAAGTGCAATTTAATTTTAATATCAACAAAAAGATAACAATTGGTTTAAATATACTCAGACTGTTTGGTAAATAACTGTTAACTGAGCTGATTACATACAAAATAATTTTTCTCAAAAAACTGATCGAAAAAACTGTTTTGAGCAGCTTTTTGAATTTTTACGTTTTGAAATAATAAGCTATTATAAAAGACTAATTAATAACACTTACCAACAAGCCAATTGCTCCAGATAAAAACATCCATACATAGTCGGCTGTCCTCCTGTCAAAAGGCCCCCTCTCCAATTGAACCCCATACCTCAATCTGCTCAATGTTTAGGCATATGCATTATGAAATAAATGAATATTGATATATTGATGGTTAATACTTAGAATTATATTTAATAAAATTGATTAATTCGGGCCGAATTGATTAAATTCGGGCCGAATTGATTAAATTCAACTAATTGAAGGAAATATAAAGACAAGATATAAGTTTTGGAAGAGATAAATAATTAAAGTGTCTTAGTATTGCTTGTGTAATGAGAGTACAAGTATATAGTAACAAGACAAGATGATGCCATAATAAAAATATATCAAAGTTTTTAAAGTTTAACTTACATGATTAGGAGACGAAATGCAAATGTAAACGAAAACGGTCCTATAAAGAAGAAATTTGTCACAAGTCTCCACACCTGCATATATCAGTATTTTGCAATGTTCAAAATAATGCATTTTCCAAAACTGTCTTTTTGTAAGTAAAGACGTTTTTTTTTTTTAATATTTTGAAGTTTTTGATTAAATAATTAATGAATTAGAAGTAGAATTATATATATACCTGAAACCTTCTGAAAACATCAGAATAAAATAGTGAGATGTTCCCCAGATTGTAGAGTTGTAGTTCAAATGCAGCAGTGGTCAAGAAGCAGATGACTGCATAGGTCTTTGCCACAGGTGGCAAAGAATTATAATACCTGAATTGCAAAACATATATACTTCAATAAAAAATCGATATGTAACAGAAATTTTTAATAAATGGGTTAAATTGAAGAAAATTATGTCAAGTTATTAAAATCTTTAAAAAAAAAAAAACTTGCGGACATACTAACCCAGAGTTTTTTTTTTTTCTTTTTTTCTTTTATTCTTTTAATCAAGAATCAAGAATACAGTAATAATAAGCAGATTTTACTTGAAATAGGGTGATGAAAAGCATATATCAACAAGTATTAATAGTGAATTCAATTAAATGAGATGAAAGTTTGAACTTACTCCATAGGTGTAGACATCTTGATATGATATTAGCAATTAGCAGTTCTCTGATCTTGCTTAGAAAGAGATGGTGATTCGTAATCTACAACCAAAGTTCTGAATTTCTGCGAAATTGTCCTCTCCAATGTATGAGCCCTAGTTATATTTATACATATTTTGAGCCTAGAGCCTACAAGAAATAAGAATCTTAGAATGCCTCATATTAGGAGTCCTTTGTTATATTAGAAATAATAAGACCTAATTTTATTATACTAGAAATAATTAGCCTAATCCTGATTATATTGGGAATAATAAGCCCAATCCTCTTGAGTTGCAATTGTTATATCGTGCACCAGGGCGCACAATGCATTGTGTGCCCCGCCCTACCCAAAACGACGTCGTTTTGGTGCATTATCAAAAAAAAAAAATCTTTGTTTCGAATGCACATAAACTCATAACAAAATACATAAACTCATAACAGAATACACATAATCTAACATAATACATAATACACATAAACTCTTAACATAATACACATAAACTCATAACATAATAATACACATAAACTCTTAACAGAATACACATAAACTTTTAATATAATACTCATAAACTCTTAACATAATACACATAAACTTATAACACAATAGACAGAAACTTTTAACTGAATACACATAATGGGATTGGTCCGTTACGTCAATCCCCGTCAACAGCAATTGAAACGGTGGCGTTTTGTGCCTGGGTGCACATTGCTATGTGCGCCGTGGTGCACAATATAAATTGCCTCTTCAGTTATTCTGTATTATGTATCTTTCTTAGACTTTCTCGATCCAATTGCTTTCTTGGACCGACTCATTTGACCTAGACTTGTATACCATCCATCACTATTGATTTAAATAACTGCTTTGGAAAATCCACACACAAGATAGATTTTTTTTTTTTTTTTTTTTTTTTGAAAAAATGACACTTTTCGCCCTGAATTATATGCTTATAAAACAATGATTGACAATTAATTACTATACATGAAAAACACTTATGGCCCAAACCAGCTGACTAACACGAAGCACAATCATTATTGCATGGACCGTAGTCCACACATAAAGTACATTATTTTAACTTATAAAATACATTATCTTATTCTAGAAATTTTATTATTCTAACACATGAAGTGTATACACTTGTAACTCATAAAATAAATTATTCTAACACATAAAGACATAAAGTACATTATTCTAACTCATAAAATACATCTCTTATCCAAAAATTTCGTTATCCTAACAAATATAAAGTACATTATTCTAACACATAAAATATATTATTCTAACTCATAAAATATATAATCTTAATACAAAATGTTTATTATTCTAACACGTTATGAGGATGGTAATTCCCATTTCTTTGAGAGTATTTGGTGAGTCTTTGAAGTTGACTTCTCTCTATGATTTTGAAATGCTATATACAGTATTTCGTTTCGAAATGGTTTTGATTTATACTTATTTATATATGCTATTTAATGCGTATTGATGGGTTACCAGCAAGATTCGCTGACCGGGTGTTATCCCCATGTTATTTTCCTTGTTCTACAGGTTTTGAGTAGATGTCCGAGAGCGCTAGACATGGATCGCTAGATAGATTAGCTGTCCTGTGTAGACGTTATGTTTTGTTGGCTTGTGAGCCTAGTTAGCGGCATGTGTGCCTTGAAACTTTATGTTTTGTTTAACTTGATAGATTTTCCCGCCTGTGCACCTATGTCTGAGATAGGTGATAACTCTCCCCGATTTTATATAGCTTCCGTTGCTTTATGTCTTGATGATTAGATGTTTTCCTCTGCATTTAAGTTTTAAAAATGTGGTAAAAAACGGGGGTGCTACAGTAGTAACCTGTTGTTAAAAAAAATATTAAGAATATAAATATAAAAAGAATAAAAATAAAAAATAAACAAGAAATAATGAAGTAAAAATAATATTATTTCGAATTTTTAGAGGAATATTGTAAAGTTTAGGAGAGAGAAAAAATTGGTAGAGTTTAGGTATGAAGAAAGTATATGATAATGAAGAAAAAAATAATTTTATTGAATTTAGATAGATTTATAAAGTTTAAATAGGGAGAAAAATAGAGTTTAAATAGAGAGAGAAAACATTGGTAGAAAGAAAATTTTGAAATCTTGAGGTTGATGGTTGGATTTCAACTATTTATATTTGAGAATGAAAAGTCTACAAAAGTCCTAAAATTAAAAAGTCTATAAAAGTTCTGTCGGATATTTCATTGGTAAAACCCAAAACATAATCCTACAAAATAAGGATTATTATTTACAGAAAATTTGGGAAGGAAAGAGTGAAGAGATATGGCTCGGGTTTGGGGTAGGTTGTTATTTGCTACCTCCCACAAGTGCTAGGAGCGTTGTTGCCTAAGTTTTCCAGGATAGAACGTGCTACGATTCAATTGTTTGAGCACCCAAACAATGAACCCGGCGAACTAAAGCAAATTTTAGAACACAATTTGGCTAAAGAAAGGAGTAGAAGCAGAGAGTTTTGGAGCTGAAAACTATGATCTCTTGTTATTGTAAAAATATGCTGCTCTACCCATTCGTATATAGGGCTTGAGGATTAAATAACATTTAATTTTGGCATTTAAACTGATATAAAATCAGTTTGCAACAGCTGAAACAGCAGGCCACTACCTAAAAATTAAATTCAGAATTCAAATTAACGCAATATTAATTCCGTAACGGATGAATTTAATCTTCACAACAGTTGGCGTACATGGTCCGGCCCGCAGGTGCCGGCGTAACGAGTTCAGACCTGAATCAAGCCTTTTCAGTCTCAGTTTGGGATTTTATTTGCGCCCCCTGCACGCGAGAGAGAGCCCCTATGCTATACAATTCAATAAGCCTTAGAAGAGCTTTTGTATAAATAGTTGTGCAAATCCACTTCTCAAACCAATGTTGACAAAAGCTACCCCCAAGCTCTTTCCCTTCATTTTTCCAACTCAAATGAGTCTACTTTGAGAATCAATATCTCATTCACCCATTATCCATTTTGAGTGTAAAATATATCAATCTCTTCGTCTCACTACGAAGAACCCGAATCCGCTTTCACCCGACCCAAATCGGAAGTGGACACCACTAATAATTGTATCACAAAATAGCCACTTAATATGCCATTTTAATCTATTTTTTTAACAATTTCATAACTTTTTGAATACCGCATGACTTTTAAACACTCTTTAAAAGTCTTATTCGAATACTACTCAACTTTTAAGGACTCTTTAAAAATCTTGATTGAATACCGCCTGACTTTTAAAGACTCCCTAAAAGTTTGAATTGAATACCTCAAAACTTTTAAAATTCATAAAAGTCATTAAAACTCCATGAAAGTCATGATTGAATACACACCCCCTTAAGAAAAATAATGAATATTGTAAATATAACTCAAGTTATATATAATTGTGAGGTAAAGAACAATTTTGGCAAACAACAAAAATGCAAAGTAGAGAACAAGTCATAAAGAAATTAAATAAAAAAATTAAGGGAAATACCAGTGAGAATAGGAACTAAACGCCGGAACAGGCGTCAAGGGACTTGGATTTACTTCATTCATCATCATCATCATTATTATATTTATTTATTTAAAAATCACATGGTATTCAGTTCAGTTCAATTTTTACCAAACCGTTCGGTTTGGTTCAATTTTTAACCGAACCGTTCGATTTACAAGAATTCTGAACCGTTTAATTTTTCGGTATAATACTAATTCGGTCCGATTCGAGTAAACCGAACCGAATTTTCCACCCCTATTATAATCAGTCACTTTTCCTACAAAATTATAAGTCATAGTTTCATTTTTTACCCACCCCAGTCAAAGTAATTACTGATTCTTCATCTATACAATATAAAAAATTTAAGCAACTAAATTTATTATTTGACCAAGTCAAACAGTTAATAGTGATCAAACAAGTCAATATTGGCTGATAAACTAACTATGTTACCAAACAAGGCAAATATGTTGTTAAAATATTATGTGTCTGTAGTTAACATATTATACTCTCGAGTGATATATGCTCTCAAGTGGTTTACAAGTAAGTCTCGATGGGGCATTTGTTGACATTGAAAATTTGATAAAGATAATATTAAAATATTTGAATATATTTTGAATAATATTGATATTCTTCCAAGAAGGCTGAACTCCAACCCTAAGGGCCCCCCACACCCCGCCCCGACAGAGCATTTGGGAGGATGTAAAAAACGAAATGTTGAAAGCAAATAAGGTGAAATGTTGAATATATTTTGAATAATATTGATATTATCTAATTTGTTTAATTAGATAATATCAAAAGAGTTTGAACTTATCAAAACTCTTCTCATCCTAACTATAGCTCGCATTTATCCTGGAAAGAATCATGTAAACATCCTGAAAATATTATTTAGAGATCACAATAAAATTATCCTAAAAGTAAAAGTCCCTCCATGAAGATCATGCCAATGGTTTTGATCCAAATCTTTGAATTCAGAGACTCTTCAACGAAGAAAAAACATATAAGCTCTTCTTTGAAGACACTTGAATTTCGGAGGCCCTTCAATGGAGTCTTCAAGACATGCAATTAAATAATTAGAGAATCATCCATAAATCTTATACACATACCACATTAATACTATTTGTAACCATATTAAAAGTTGACAAAATTTAGTCCATTGGAAGTGGCACAAAAGTTGGACAAATTAAAGAAGCATTGTAGAATGAAGGAAGCTATTATCGGCCGCCTAAGCGATAACTTCTGCCACGAAAAGCTACTCCTCCTCCTCGGCCGCCTCCTTCATTCGAATTTGAATCGGTTGGTGTTTCCTCAGCTTGTTCTGAAGTGGTTGTTGTTTGGTCCCTCGACGACGAAGAACTTCTGCTTCCGTTAAGACGGCGACCCCTTCCTCGGAAAGCAGTTCCGGCCGAGGGATCGCTTCGAAATGGACTGTTCACTTGGAAGCCTTTACCCCAGTATGCTACCAGCTTGTGACTATACATAGGATATAATGTTAAGAAAACCACATACATTAAATTATTAATTAAGCATTAGTTTATTTAGTCAAGCTGAATAAAATTGTGAATATTTTATATTTTATATTTTATATTTTTATTTCAATTTAATCAAATATTGATTAAAAGTGAAACTATTAATTTCAATTTATTCAAATATTTAAAGTGAAAATATTACTATTTCAATTTAATCAAATAAAGTATAATGTGTATTGTATATATTATATATTATGAAAAGGATACACCCAACGAGGAGTGTTGAAGTAGTTCTTTCCGGTTGCGAGAGGATGAAGGACCGTGAGGAAGTAATATATATGTCCGGCAGCTATTCCCAACATGTCTGGCTTAAGAGGATTACCCAGGATCATATCTATCCCAAGCATGTACCATGGAAGATAGAATCCCTGCATATATATATAACAACTTCTCTTTAACTTCTTAAGTTGTAAACCATACAAATAATTACAACCATTCTTCATTCTCCAAAAGTGGGCCCCATACCCCAGCTCTACAGAGCATTTGGGTAATTACAATAATTCTTGAACCTATAGGACAAGAAATTAAAATTGATATAACACTACTAGAAATTATGGAATTTCCAACCACCTGAAAGTAATTTTATATCAAGTCAAAAGCAAAAAGTGATCGGAAATAGCAACAAAAGTTTTTCCGGATACCAAAAGTGGTCGGAACAAGACTTTCGACTTGATTTAAGATCAAAATCACCGCTTATTATTATTATTATAACAAAAAAATATGTCAATTTTCTAGAAAATGAATCAAACAAAAAAAAATGTAATTTCTTAACTTCCAGTTCAGAAAAGGACAGTTTTCTAATCATCGTTCAAACATGAGAAAATTAAAATATTATTTGAAAAATGAGTCATTTCCTAGAAATCATTTTTCAGATTTTCAAATGGATTCTAAATTTAATTAAGTTAATAATTAAAATAAAAAAATAAAAATATCATTATAATTGAAAGTTGAAACATCGAAAAAGATCGAAATTAATTTATTAATATTTGTAGTGTTCCTAACTTGAAGATACATATTTGCATGATGGGCTTTGAGGTAGAACCATTTTGCACACTTTTCTTACCCCAAATGCTGAATCCCCAACTTTAAGGGACCCCACACTTCGGCCCGACAAAGCATGTGAGAGGATGTAAATCACAGTGACTCAATGAGTTAGTAGACAGGGCTATTTTACACACTTTTCTTTTAGTACTATTGTTGTCATACTATCATCCCAAAGTATTTTAACACTAACGACTTTATTTTTCACACATTATTCTTTTAGAACCACCATTTGTATTGCCATTATTCCTAAGGATGCGTTTAATTCTATTAATCTAAGATTAATTTGGTGATGTGAGGAAGATTAGTTCACAATTCACTAATAATTTTGTACTTTAATTCTTAATAATTATAATGTTAGTGATATATATAAGATTACGAGTCTTTATAATACACTAATACATATAACTCACCGTTTCTAGCAAAAAAATGAATATAAAATAATACTCATAAAACGTGATATTCAGAAGACAATAAACACTATTATAATGTAATGGACATTTAATTCAATGGGAATGAACAAGTAATACCCTTACAATGAACATTCTATAATTATGAGATTTTCAAGTTGCAATTGCAGAATGAGTAAGAATGTCATACCTTAAATTGCACAAGGCCGTATACATTAATACGCTCATTTGGAAATTCTCGGCCCCAAATATATACGATCATGAATACCAATGATGCCCCCATGAATGGTGACCACAAAAAGGGAAATATGGACATCACCTAAGTGCAATTTAATTTTAATATCGACAAAAGGATAACAATTAGTTTAAGTATACGGGAAGTATTTGGTAAATAGTTGTTAGCTGATTAAGTTAGTGGGTTTGACTAGTTGATAGCATTAGCTGATTGTAGAAATATGTTTGGTAAATTAGCTGTTAGCTGATAGTTAATTACATGCAAAATGACTTTAAAAAATAATAAAAAAAAAACTGATCAAAAAAACTGCTTTGAGCCGCTTTTTGAATTTTAGCATTTTGAAGTAATAAACTATTACAAAAAAAAAAAACTAATTAATCAAACACTTATATTGGATGTTTAACCAAGTCAAACAGCTAATAGTGATCAAATAAGCCAAAATTAACTGATAAACTAACTATGTTACCAAACAGGGCCACTACCAGTTATCCTATAAAGATTGAAAAATTAAATACAAAGTTAGTTTATTTGATTGTTATTGTAACACATTCCTAAAAGTCTTATTAAATGCTAAAGTGAGGGGTAGGAATTACCAACAACCCAATTGCTCCAAATAAAAACATCCATACATAGTCGGCTGTCCTCTTGTCAAAAGGCCCCCTTTCCAATTGAACCCCATACCTCAATCTGCTCAATGTTTAGGTATACATTATGAAATAAATGAATATTTGTATTGATGGTTAATACCTGATCTGATGAAATTAATTAATTCAGGGTCGAATTTACTAAATTCAACTAAATGAAAGGAATATAAAAACAAGATATAAGTTTTGGAAGAGACAAAGTGTGTTATATTGTATTACTTGTGTAATGAGAGTATAAATATATAGTAACAAGACAAGATGATGCCATGGTAGAGACAATATGACTCATTTTATACTAGGATTCACCCGTAACTGCCTCACTCTAAATGGATGGGCAGTCACGGTATTCATTTGACCAAGCTTCGGCCGACTTGGCCTAGCTAGCTAAGGCCCCCACTAAACTCCAGGCCTCAACCGGCTCGTCCGTAACTATCCTTGAGGTCGGCATCGAGGTCTTGAGGCCGGTTACGAGGTCAGCCCCGAGAGCGACCAAGGAGATCAGCTTTGAGTCCTCTAGGCCGATCATAGAGGTCGGCTTTGGGGCCTCAGGGTCTACTATTGGCTGCATTTGGTTCACTGCAATTGAAATTTCTTAGAGTCTCAAACTCTCAATTGTAAATTCTCATATTTGGTTGTTAGGAGTTTTTTTCCTTAAAATTTCAATTCCCTAAATTTGAGTTACATCTAAACAATGAAATATAAAATATGCATTAATTAAATTTTAATTTTCATAAATTCTTTTTTTTTTTTTTTCGAATCGAACATGCTTTAATTTTTCTAAAAATATATAAAAGATTTTAAGTTAATTTGGCTTACATGATTAGGAGACGAAATGCAAATGTAAACGAAAACGCTCCTATAAAGAAGAAATTTGTCACAAGTCTCCACACCTGCATATATCATTATTTTGCAATCAAAATAATGCATTTTGCATTTCATAGGTTATAACATTTCAAATTTAATTCTTCGATTTAATTAAATATATTTAACTTTTTAAATCAATTTTTAAAATACTTTTTAAATCAATTTAATTTAACTCAAATTGTCTAAAAATGTTCTTAATTTTTGGTAGTTTCCAAAACTCTGTCTTTTTGTAACTGAAGACATTATGAATATTTTGAAGTTTTTGACTAAATAATAAGGTCAGTTCAAAAGGTTGAAAAACTATATATATGATCACGAATATTAGGCTTTCAAAAAAAAAAAAAAAAAAAAAAGCTTTTTATACTTTTGATTGCATGACTATTGGACTTTTATTTAAAAAAAAAAAAAATATTTGGTCCTTTATTATTAATTTTTTCACATTTGGTCTCACAACTTTTAAAATCTTTTCACATTTCACATATATGGTCCTCTGACCTATTTCGATCACCGGTGACTAAATTTTTTAGTTGAAAATTGTCATAAAAATGACAATTTTATCCTTCAAGATAAGTCACTTAACTGTAACTCATGCTCAATAACATGAAGATGAAATTTTGATTACAGGCAGGTGACCATACATTAGGCCGAAGGACTAAAGGTGGCAAGATTTTAAAAGTTATGGGACCAAATATGAAAAATTAATAGCGGGGCAACAAATGTGAAAATGGTCCAATAATCATGAGATCAAAAGTAAAAAAAAAATAAAAAATTACTAATAATAAAAAAATTAAAACGAAAATGTAGGTTATGATAATCGATGAATTAAAAGTAACATTAAGTCAGATATATACTTAAAATCATGGTTACATGCAGTAGGCGTTAGGTGTTAGTCGGGCAGTAGAATAGCACCTAGCGCTTAGGCAACTAACTAAAAAAAAAAAAAAAAAAAACCATACACGTGATATATAAAATTTAAAAAAATAAGTAAGACCGACTCGGCTGAATTAAACTAGTTAACTCGGTCGAGTTGGGCTACTAGGCGGTCGCGAGCCTAGACAGCCGCCTAGTGAGTAATTCACCTCGACTTAAGAGTGTCTAGCGCCTAAGCAGTCGTTTAAATCAATTTTTACAATAGTGATTAAAATCAATGATTAAGTTGACAATCTAAAATTAAATTAAATTATATATATACCTGAAACCTTCTGAAAACATCAGAATAAAATAGTGCGATGTTCCATACATCGTAGAGTTCTAGTTGATATGCAGCAGCGGTCATGAAGCAGATGACTGCATAGGTCTTTGCCACAGGTGGCAAAGAATTATAATACCTGTATTGCACAACATATATACTTCAATATATATCACTAAAACAACAACAACAAAAAAACAAAAACAAAAAACAAAAAAAAAAAAAAAAAAAAAAAAACCAGAATTTATTGTTGGTGATAATGAACCACAATCGATTTAATATCCGTAAAATAATATTTATATATATACACACGAAATATATATAAAATATTATTGGATATATATCCGAAATATATATATACACACAAATATATATAAGACGGACCCAACGGTTATATATACATGTATATCTACGAAAAAGATATACCAATATATATCAACCAAAAGGAAAATATAATCCTTAGATTATAATTCCAAAACAACAAGAAATAACGGATTTTTGCTTAGAGCATAATCCAAAACAAAAAAGAAGAAGAAAGAAAGTACGAGTTAGGCAAAGTGTCTGTCTTTCCTTAAAACCTTATTTGATACCTCCCAAAAGTGCTAGGAGCGTTGTGGCCTAGGTTTCCCAGGATAAAACGTACAACGGTTCGACGTTTGAGCACCCAAACGAACGAACCCGGCGAACAAGAGCACGGGCTAAACACGGCTTCAAGAATGGAGTAGGAGCAGAGTTTTGGAGCTGGGAAAAACAGAATTTTCTGTGTTGTGTGTGTTGTTCTCTCTAGCTCTTCCCTCACGTTGCCTCTCACTATGCAGGTCAAAAGCCTCTACTCCCACTACACTCTTATATAGGAGGTTGGTACTTAATAGCATTATTATGACACATTAACCAACATAAATTCAATTTAAAAATTGAATTATAACGTTTGAAACGGTCGTACTTATTATCGAAATAATATCAACGGTCACGAACTTAATATCCGATTAATTCGTACCGACCATAACGACCCGTTTCAAATATCTGAGTGACCGAGAAGTCCGTACAAACCCGAAAGGTTAACGAATTGGGACCGAAAACCACACCCGAATGGTCCGCAAAGTACCGAAACGGTGTGGCACGAATCAATGCACATAGCATTGACTCGTGCAGCACGAAAGATAGCTCACACGAAAGGAGCTTAATTCACTAATTAACTTGCTTAATTACATGTAGCATCTTTCGTCCATGCTTAACATTCGTCCATGCAAACTTTCGTCCCAATTCCTATTTCACTATTTTAAGCTTTCCAAAGCTTAATCACATGCTTGACAACTCATGTTGTCACACTAATTAAGCTTAATTAAGCTTAATTTTAAGCTTTAAGCTTTCTAAGCTTAATTTGACTTCTCTCAAATAGGTTCACTTTGAGAATCAATTTCTCATTCACCTATTACCCATTTTGAGCGTATATTATATCAAATTCTTCGTCTCACTACGAATAACCCGAATCCACCTTGACCCGACCCAAATCGGAAGTGGATCCCACATATATTTGTACCACAAAATAATCACTCAAAATATCATTTTAATGCTATTTTTCCAACATTTATATTTTTTCAAAAAATATTAATTGATTCTTAATTATATCACATCTGCTCTGTATTTTTCTCAAAATTTTAATAATTTTGTATAATTTCATTCATTTTATCATCAGTCACTTTTCCTACACAATTATAAGTAGTCATAGTTTCATTATTTTACCCAACCCAGTCAAAGTAATTACTGATTCTTCATCTATACAATATAAAAAATTTAAGCGACTAAATTTAGTCTTCCATCAAACTCTCATATTTTGAATATTATTGTTTTTATTTGACAAATTTCAGACTTGTCAACATGTACAATTTTATTTAAAAAACAAAATCTTTACTAGCATTATATACATTTGGAATTTCTTTTTATACATATTGGTCATTTTTGGTAACATAGTTAGCCTATCCGTCAATTTTGACTTATTTTATCAATATTAGCTTTTTGACTGGGTTAAATAATCAATATGAGTATTTGATTAATTAGCGTTTTGTAATAACTTATTGCTCCAAAATGTTAAATTCAAAAATCTGCTCAAAGCATGTTTTTTTGATAAGCTTCTGGAGAAAATCATTTTGCTTGAAATCAACTATCAGCTAACAACTAATTTACTAAACATTTTTTTACAATCAGCTAATTTTATCAAGTCAAACCACTAACCCAATTAACTAACAGCTATCAGCTAACAACTATTTACCAAACAGACACATTGTACTAGTGGGGTCTATAGTTAATTTAAAGAACGAATAAAAAATCGATATGTAACAGAAATTTTTAATAAATGGGTTAAATTGAAGAAAATTATGTCAAGTTATTGACATCTTAAAAAAAAAAAAAAAAAAAAAAAAAAAAAAAAAAAAAAAACTTACGAACATACTAACCCAAAGTTTTTTTTTTTTTTTTTTTTTTTTTTTTTTTAAAATCAACAATACAAGTAATAATAAGCAGATTTTACTTGAAATAGGGTGATGAAAAGCATATATCAACAAGTATTAACAGTGAATTCAATTAAATGAGATGAAAGTTGGAACTTACTCCATAGGTGTAGACATCTTGATATGATATTAGCAATTAGCAGTTCTCTGATCTTGCTTAGAAAGAGATTATGGTAATTCGTAATCTACAACCTAAGTTCTGAGTTTCTGCATACTACAAATTGATTTAAATAACTGCTTTGGAAAATCCACACACAATAAGATATATAGAGACTTCTTTTTCTTCTTCTTTTTTTTTTTGTCATTTTTATTTTGTTTGCTTTGGGAGACTTTGAAGTCATCTATCCAAGTCAATTGAGATGGCCGGGGACCCATATGCTTAATGCTAGCTTGAATAAGAAAATTGACAACCTTTAATATTACCGTCAATTTATTGGCGCTTGTGTTGTGGCTTCAATTTTTTTTTTTTTTTTTTTTTTTTTTTTTTTGTTCCAGTGTTGTGGCTTCAATTGTTACACCGTGAACCAGGTCCATCCTGTATTGTGAATTTTGGTCCGAAAGTAGTTGACAAATTCTGTACGTGTAATAAACTGTTCATATGTGCCTGTAAATAAATGAAAGACACATAATCTAATAATTACAGATATATAATATGTTAATTGTAGACACAAAATTAGGGTAGGTTGGTAAATAGCTGTTAGTTGATTAGGTCAGTGGGTTTGACTAGTTGATAATAACATTAGCTTATTGTAGAAAGATGTTTAATAAATTAACTGTTAGCTGATAGTTGATTACATGCAAAATATCTTTCTCAAAAAGCTGATCGAAAAAGTTGTTTTGAGCAGCTTTTTAAATTTTAGCATTTTGGAGCAATAAGCTGTTATAAAAACCTAATTAATCAAACACTCATATTGGTTGTTTAACCAAGTCAAACATCTAATAGTAGTCAAACAAGCCAAAATTGGCCGATAAGCTAACTATGTTACCAAACAGGGTAAATATGTTGTTAAAATATTATGTGTCTGCAATTAACATATTAACAGGGCGTTTGGTTAGAGGGATTTTAAATTCCCTTCCCACTTAATTCCCACATAATTCCAAAGGCCATTAAATTCCGTAGTTTGGTTGGAGGGAATTGCAATTCCCCCATTTTCATGGAATTAAAATCCCATGTCCCCCCTGGTATTTTAATTCCTGGGAAAAAAAGATAGTGATGAGTCAACATTACCCCTTCCTTTTTTAACTTAAAATTAATGTCTAACAACAATAATTGACATTTTTGACTTTATACTACTTATTCCCTTTCAATTCCCATGTATACCAAACATTGGAATTGAAATTCCCAGTAATTCTATTCCTGTCAACCAAACACTGGAATTTAAATTCCCACTTTATTCCCAGTAATTCAATTCCCATGGAATTACAATTCCTTTCCCACATAATTCCCCTCCTCCAACCAAACACCCTGTTATGTGTCGGTAGTTACCATGCTATGTGTCTATGGTTAACATGCTATCTATCTTCAATTTATTTATAGACACATAAATTATTAATTAGAGGTACAAAATATGTCAACTACGAACATATTAAAATTATTTTGCACTAAGGTGCTTAATGCAAGGTAGAGACTAGTATAATTTGCCTTGTGGCTTCAATTCCACTTTGCAATAATGGTTGTATAGTCAAGTAATAATTAAGGCCTCCATTTGCTTGTCATCTCTTTCTATCTTTCATTTGTGGAAGATAATGGGAATGAAAAAGTCCACAGATGACTTGGTCAAGTACCAAAAACCACGACACATTGTGATTTTCAACGGTGCGGCCAACATTTTCCATAATTGATTAATTGGAGTAGGAAAGGACCAATCTTGTTACTCCTAGTCCTAGTCCTAGGCGGCACAACGCGGAATCAATCATTATTGTTTAGAACGTAGTCCTCACAGAGTCACAGTTGTATGGACAATTAATAAAAATTACATTATTTGTGTATGTAGAGTATATTACTATCAAATAATATACATTCAGTACACAAATAATATATTTTTAGTATATTAAAAATATACATTATATTTAGAGAAAATATATTATTTGAATACTGAAGTATATATTATTTTGTATAATGTACATTTAGGAAGTATTTGGAAACCTGTAAAATAATTTCTAGAAATCATTTTTCGGGTTTTCAGTGTTTGGACGCGCCTGAAAAATCAAGTTAGCAGAAATCATTTTCCGTTAACTTGGGAAAATGGTTGTTTTCGAGGAAAATAACTTCATCTCTGTGTTAAAGCAAAAAAAAAAAAAAAAAAAAAAAAAAAAAAAAAAAAAAAAACTGTGAAAAGATATTTATACCAAGACTTGAATCCTTGATCTTTAATATAATCACACACATGCTTTGCCAACTCATCTAAGTGACTTCTTATTATCATTTTTCTGTTGTATATACTAATACTAAAACTCGTACTATATATACATATATACATACAAAGGGTTATACATGGGGAGGGGGTGGGGTGAGGGGGGCAGCTCCTTTGGCTCCGTCCTTGACTGCATGACGAGTTCGATGGCATACCAGCATAGCGCCAATATAGTTCATTCTGATTGATTGTAGTGTTTGGGTCTCCCCCGGGGGAGACCCAAACACTACTTTATATAAAAATATTCTAAACAAAATAATTACAAATGTTTAATTTACAATTCTACTCATTTTCTAAAAAATGAGCCAAACACATCAAGACATATTTCTGAAATGCAATCAAACACTGGAAATGAAAATGTTTTCTGAAAAATGACTCATTTTCCTAGTTTCGAAACACCATTAGTATACAAATAATATACTTTTAGTATATTATATAAATCACTACTACAGAATTCACATACAACGTCGGGTCTTTAACGTCGGCTATATATATATAGCCGACGTTAAAAACATTTTAAAAAAAAAATTTATAATTAAGTTTATAACGTCGGCTATTTAGTAATAGCCGACGTTATAAATAAAAAATAATAATATAAAAGAAATACATAACCTACGACGTCAGCTGTATTAATAGCCGACGTCGTAAGTTGTTTATTATTTTTCTAAAAAAAAATTATTTATATATAACGTCGGCTAATTCCGTTTAGCCGACGTTATATACTAAAAAAAAAAAAAAAAATATAATACGACGTCGGCTAACTATCTAGCCGACATCGTATTCTTTTTATTTTATATTTTTTAATTTTTTTACTTTATAACGTCGGCTAAATAATTTAGCCGACGTTATAAAGTTTATAAATAAGCCCAGATCTGAGAACTTACGGTCAGACGCACCACCACCGCATCCATCTCTTCCATCCATCTCCTCCCCACCGCATCCATCTCTTCCATCCATCTTCTTCCCACCGCCTCCGCCGACGCCGCTGCAACTCGCCGACGTCGTCCACCCCGCTGCATCTCGCCGACGTCCTCCACCCCGCTGCATCGTCCACATCGCCGACGCACAATCCTTCCCCGCCACTGCAGCTTCAACCCCGCCGCCGCCGCTTCACCCTCTCCTCCCCGCCGCCGCACCGTCTCAGACCGGCCCTGCCCTCCGCCACCGCCGCCAGCCATCGCCGGTAAGTTTTATAATTTTTTTTAATTATTATTAATTAATTTCAAATTTTATTAAATTTATTTGCAATTTAGGGTTTGTTTGTATATATTTGTATGTTTTATTGTTTAATTTCGAATTTTAGTCAATTTATTTGCATTTTAGGGTTTATTTGTATATATTTGTAATTTTTATTGATTAATTTCAAATTTTAGTCAATTTATTTGCATTTTAGGGTTTATTTGTATATATTTGTAATTATTATTGATTAATTTCGAATTTTAGTCAATTTATTTGAATTTTAGGGTTTATTTGTATATATTTGTAATTATTATTGATTAATTTCGAATTTTAGTCAATTTAGGGTTTGTTTGTATATATTTGTATGTTTTATTGTTTAATTTCGAATTTTAGTCAATTTATTTGCATTTTAGGGTTTATTTGTATATATTTGTAATTTTTATTGATTAATTTCGAATTTTAGTCAATTTATTTGCATTTTAGGGTTTATTTGTATATATATATATATTTTTTGAGATTAGGGTTTATTTGTATATATTTGTAATTATTATTGATTAATTTCGAATTTTAGTCAATTTATTTGAATTTTAGGGTTTATTTGTATATATTTGTAATTATTATTGATTAATTTCGAATTTTAGTCAATTTATTTGCATTTTAGGGTTTATTTGTATATATTTGTAATTATTATTGATTAATTTCGAATTTTAGTCAATTTATTTGCATTTTAGGGTTTATTTGTACATATTTGTAATTACTAGTCTATTTTCACCACAACAATTATTTTAGATAGAGTTGAATCAATGTTAACAAAAGTTTAATTGGAATTAATATTATCCTAGATTGACTTGTGATGGATAAAAGTTGGATGAAAGCTTCTCGGTTGAGTACGGAATATGATGCCGGAGTTAGAGAATTTATAGAGTTTGCAAAACGTCATCTTCCAAATAATGATGCAACGTTTTGGTGTCCTTGTAAGAAGTGTTGTAATCTAAAACTATTAAGTGCCAAGGACATATATGATCATCTAATTTGTGATGAAATTAATCAAGGTTGCAAAAATCGCTAGGCGCCCCCTAGGCGCCTGGGGACCGCCTAGGGCGCCTAGAGCGATTAATCGCCGCCTAGGGCGCCTAGGCGCCGATTGGCGCCTAGGCGCGATTTTTGCAACACTGGAATTAATCTAAATTATACAAAATGGATATGACACGGTGAAGGAGGAAGAGAGACTAGTACATCTAACATGTATGTTGACAACGAAGCAAATGAAGATGATGAGTCTGAAGATAGGTTGGACGAAATGTTCCGTGATGTTGGAGAAGAGTTCACAAATCGATCAAATGAGTTGGATGAATTATTAAATGATTCAAAACAGCCTTTATGGCCCGGGTGTAGTAAATATACTCGCTTATCTGCTGTTTTGAAATTATTCAACTTAAAAGCTGGGAATGGATGGAGCGACAAGAGCTTTACTGCTTTACTTGATTTAATAAACGATATGCTTCCAGAAGATAATGGACTCCCGAAGAGTACATATGATGCAAAGAAGATTATGTGTCCCATGGGTATGGAGTATGAAAAGATACATGCTTGTCCTAACGATTGCATATTGTTTATGAATGATTACAAAGAATTGAATGCATGTCTAATCTGTGGGGCATCTCGGTACAAAATAAGAGAGCATGTTGTTGGTAAGGCAAGTTCGAAAGGGCCACCAGCTAAAGTTATGTGGTATCTCCCAATTCTTCCAAGATTTAAGCGTATGTTTGCAAATCCAAGCGACGCGAAAAACTTAACATGGCATGCAGATCAAAAAATTTCTGATGGCAAGCTTCGACACCCAGCTGATTCTACTCAATGGAAAACCTTTGATAATGTTTTTCTTGAATTTGGCAATGAGTCCAGAAATCTTAGACTTGGACTTTGTACTGGTGGTATAAACCCTCACGGGAACCTAAGTAGCAAGCATAGCTCGTGGCCAGTTATGTTAGTGATTTATAATCTACCTCCTTGGTTGTGTATGAAACGCAAATATATATTACTGTCCTTGATGATTTCTGGCCCAAAACAACCCAGTAATGATATAGATGTCTTTTTGGCACCTTTGATTGATGACTTGAAAAAATTGTGGGATGAAGGTGTGTTAGTGTTTGATGCCTACCGGAAAGAGAATTTTAAGTTGCATGCTATGCTTTTTTGCACAATCAATAACTTTCCAGCTTATGGAAACGTGGCTGGGTATAGTGTCAAATGACATAAGGCATGCCCTATATGTGAAGATAATACATGTTATACACAACTTGTCCATGACAGAAAGACAGTCTACTTGGGTCACCAGAGGTTTCTTGATAGATCTCACCCTTACAGGAGATTAAAAAAGGCTTTCAATGGGCAACAAGACTATACAGATGCTCCACAACCAATGACTGGGATTGAAGTTTATGAATGTGTAAAAGGTATAAATGTTACTTTTGGTAAAACTCAAAAGCTTATATCTCAAAGAGGTAAGAGGTCAAGAGCTAATGTTGAGGTACCTCCAAATGAAAAGAGTCCATGGAAAAAGAAATCCATATTTTTTGATCTTCCATATTGGAAGACATTAGATGTGAAACATAGTATTGATGTGATGCATGTGGAGAAAAATGTGTGTGATAGTCTTGTTGTTAGCTGATGTTGTAGGTATTTATTAATTAAATTAAAAATATATATATAACGTCGGCTATTTATATAGCCGACGTTATAGGTTATATATACAACGTCGCCCAAAACAACTTCGGAACTTAGCCGACGTTAAAAGCTCTATTTAGCCGACGTTAAAAGCCTGCTGTGTAGTAGTGAATATAAATGTATTTTTTTATGGTCTACACAGCACTATGTGGGCCATAGTCCACAATAATTTGCCACGCGCAATCATTATTGCGTGGATCGTGGTCTACACAACTGTGTGAACCACGGTCCAAAAACATCCTATGTTCACACCACACAACAAAAAAAAAAAGCATGGCCACCTACTATTAGTCGCTAGAGCACTGCGATTTAAAGCTCAGTTGCCTGAGTATTTCTAGGGTGATTGCCTTTTGCTGCCATTGACAATCAGATACCATACCAGAAATAAGAATGCAACATATTTCTTTCTGTTCTTCTTCTTTCATCCTCCCTTGTCTTCAATACAATTTCTAGATCATCTTATTAAGTGTTTGATTGTCAGGTTTAACTTTAAGGAATGGATATCAAAGTGATTGGTATTGTTTGGTTGATAGGATTTTAGAACACCACTATAGGTTTTAAATACGGCAAATTATGCTATGGACTCGTGTCCACCATGTGCATGGTGGACACGCTGTACATTCATAATTTCTATACTGTAGATTCATAATTTCTAAACTGTAGATCCATAATTTCTATACTGTAGATTCATAATTTCTAAACTGTAGATCCATAATTTCTATACTGTAAATTTATAAAATCTATACTGTAGATTCATAATTTATATACTGCACATTCATAATTTCTGTAGATTTATAATTTCTAGGGAAAATGGCACTTTTTCCCCCTGTGTTGTTTACATATAGCATATTTCCCCCCTGTGTTGTTTATGTAACCACTTTATCCTCCTCAATTGTTTTTGAAGTGGCTATTTTCCCCCCTCTCCGTTAAATAAGTGTTAGGGTTGTTAAATATGAGGGTAAAAATGGCATTTCACTTATTATTATTATTATTATTATTAGGGAAAATGACACTTTTTCCCCCTGTGTTGTTTACATATAGCATATTTTCTCCTTGTGTTGTTTATGTAACCACTTTATTCCCCTCAATTGTTTTTGAAGTGGCTATTTTCCCCCCTCTCCGTTAAATAAGTGTTAGGGCTGTTAAATATGAGGGTAAAAATGGCATTTCACTTCTTATTATTATTATTATTATTATTATTATTATTATTATTATTATTATTATTATTATTATTATTATTATTATTATTATTATTATTATTATTATTATTAATGGATCGGAAGGGCCGTTCACCGCCATCAACCACTCTCTAATTACCTGATTCCCTCTCTAGTCTCTTCTACCATTGATTTTAACCCTAATTCTCTAAAATCTTGCAAAGAACACGCAGAAGCAATCGGAAGAAACTAGCGCAACCATGAGTAGCATGAGGGTGCTTGGATTGGATAAAACTCCAAACTGTAAGTTTTTTTCTTGAAACCTTATATTTTCATTGTACTTGTATATGAGTATATTCTAAGAAATTAAAGATTGAAAATTTTCGAAATTGGAGATTTGGATAGTGCAATTTGTATGGCTGCTTATCCATATTTGTTTGTTTGTTTGTTTTTTTTTTTTTTTTTTTTTTGCTGAAAAACAAAGCTTCAAGAATTTGTAAAATGAGATCAGAGTGTCATGTTGCCGTAATAATGCCGTAATAGGGATCAAAATTTTTGTTTATGTTTTCAGGGATGTGTGTTTATTCTCTTATTTGTTTAACAGGGAGTGTCATGTTGCCTATTTTTATTTTTTTTAAAAAACTTTAAAGTATTTGTTTATGTTTCCTGGACTTGTGATATATCTCTTTTTTATTTACTTATTTTAGTATTCTAAATATTGTATTACTATTTTGCTATTATTTCTTAGATGTTGGGGAAGATGAGTATGTGTACACTATAAAGCTATATTATGGAGGTGTTCTAGTTGTACATCCTTATTTAGACTATTTGGGAGGAAAGGTGGAATATTTTGATTATTGGCCTGGTGATCATGGTTCTATGTTAGGTTTAAGACAAATGATTAAATCATTGAGATATGATGATAGAAAAGTTCAATTTTGGTATAAATATGGGGATTGCACCTCACTTAAAATAAGGAGAATAGATAGAGATAAGGATGTGATTGACCTTAATTTTGAGATACCTAAAAACAAAGAAGTAGAGATAATTGTTGAGCATTTGGAGAAGGAAAACTGGAACTATGATGTTAATGTAGACTACTACATTGATGAAGAGTTGCAGAAGATATATGAGAGGGTGAAATGTCATGATAATAGCAAAGAATTAGAGGTTGAATCACAGAAGTATGCAAGTATGGAAGAGAAGAAAATCAGTTTGGTGCTACAAACAATACTGCAATAGAAGAGAATCAGTTTGGTGCTAGATTTGAAGAAGATGATGAAATAGACTATGTAATTTCTGAAGATGAACTTAGAAGGTTATCTTCTGATTCAGAAACTGAGTCTGCAAAACCTTCTTTAGTTTATAGGGAAGGGGATGTGAAGAAACCAGTGTTCCAATGGCAAGTACACATGATTTTTTCTAATCACAAAGAATTTAAGTGGGCAGTTGAATGTTATGCAGCTATGAACAAGAGGGCAGTGAAGTTTGTCAAGAATGAAGCTGGGAAAGTAATTGCCAAATGTAGGGTTGATCATTGTAAGTGGTATATGTATGCTTCAAGAAGTAACCCTACTTCTGCCTTTACACTTAAGACAATTATGCTAGAACACACATGTCCAAGCCAAAATGAGAACAAAACCATTCGTTCAGGTTTCCTGGCCAAATTTTATAAAGAGGAATTAAAAGATGATGACAAATGGGGTAGGATAAAGTTTCAGAAGCATGTGCAAAGAGATTTGAAATGCCAAGTGTCAAAGTACCAAACGTATAGAGCAAAGAAAAAAGCAAAGCAAGCATTGACTGGCACTCAAAGTCAGCAATTTGAATTACTGAGGGATTATTGTGAGGAGTTGAAACGATGTAATCCAGCCAGCAGTGTCATCAGTGACTTAGATGAAAATGATAGAGTACGTGATAGGTGTAGGTTCAAAAGGTTATATATATGTTATGCAGGCTGTAAAGAAGGGGTTTTAAAGGGTTGTAGGCTACTTATCGGGGTTGATGGTTGTCATCTAAAGGGATATCAACGAGGTGGGCAGCTACTTTCAGCAGTTGGTGTTGATGCGAATAATGGTATGTATCCAATTGCCTTTGCAGTGGTTGAAGGAGAATTGAAAGAGAGTTGGAAATGGTTTCTAAGTTTATTAGATAATGATCTAAAAATTTCAAATAACCCTCATGCTTGGACTTTCATTTCTGATAAACAAAAAGGGCTATTACCTGCTGTTGATGAACTATTTCCTGAAATATAACATAGGTTTTGTGCAAGACATTTACATCAAAACTTTGTGAAGGATGGTTTCTCTGGGCAGCTACTAAAACAAGCTTTTTGGGCAGTTTGTAAATCAACAACAGAAGCTGAATTTAAGAAAAATATTGATTCAATGGCACTGTTGAATCCAAAAGCAGTAGAGTGGTTAAGTGAAAGGAGTCCTAGGCATTATTGTAGAGCTTTTTTCAACACTTTTATTAAGTGTGACATGTTATTGAATAACCTATGTGAATCCTACAATAGTTCTATATTAAATGCAAGGGATAAACCTATCTTGACGATGTTAGAATCTTTGAGAATTCACCTAATGACCAGAATGCAGGCCAATAGAGATAAGATGAGATCTCATCCATTTAAAATCTGTCCAAAAATTATGAAGATAATTAAGGAAAATAAAGATAAAGCAACTGAAATGAGAGTTTACAAATCCATTGGTGGTCTGTTCCAAATTGAAGATGGTAATGTCAAATTGTTTAAGGTGGATTTAAGCAAACATATTTGCAGTTGCAGAAGATGGGATTTAACTGGCATTCCATGTTCTCATGCCATTTCAGCCGTTTGGTGGGAAGGGGGTTCACCAGAAGATTATACACACCATTGTTACACAGTAGAATCATATCTCAGCACCTATGAGCATGCTATCATGCCCATAACTTCTTCTGAAATGTGGCCAAAAACTGGTTTACCACCACCTCTTCCTCCCAAATACAAAGCACAACCCGGTAGACCTAAGAAACTCAGAAAAAGAGATAAAGCAGAGAAGGAAACCAGCAAGTCCACAACAAAATTGCGAAAGAAGGGGCAGAAAAAGAGGTGCTCAGTGTGTGGAAAAACAGGCCACAACAAATCCACTTGTAACAAAAACAAAACTCCTACAACATCGGTATAACATTTGTTAAGTTCTCAAACATTTTTTCTAGTGTACTATAAACTGTCTTAATCTTTTAATGTGCATGCAGAGTTCTCAACAAGTTCAACAACAAATCCATAGGGATGAGAATTCAATTACAATGGTAGATGAACAATGATATCAGAATTCAATTCCAGTGGTAGTTCAGCAAGTTCAACAACAATTCTATGGAGATATGAACTTTCCATTGATGCAATATGGTCACCAACATGAAGTAATGTTACTTATCATTAACAGAATTTTCAATATAATAACTTTTAATCTTTAGTTAAGTTTGTTAAATATCAAGCTAACAATTTGCAGGTATTTAGTAGCTCTCAACCTCCACCTGTAGATAGTCAATGCAGCTATGCGCGTTCAAATATCTGATCTTTGTAAGCAGCCAAGGAAAGCCAATATGAAGCAACATTATCTTTCAGAAGTCATTAGAAAATAGAATATCTAAAGAATGTATTTTGGATACAACTTTTTAATGCATTTTGGATTTTTGGTCTAATTTTTTTTTTTTTTTTTGTTGGTCTGCACTTCTATTTTATATATTCTGACTTCAATTAGAAGTGTAAAAATCAACGATGTGTTTAAATCATAGTTTGTTTTTTTATGATAAAAAATGTCAGGTAATTTTTGAGAAATGGTTGTATTTTGCATTTTATAATGAAAGCTGGAAAGTAACTGAATTTATGTGTATTTAAGGACTTTGGTTTGCAATATAATTGTGCATTTTACATTTTTACTGCATCAATAATGACTGAGGGAAACTCTTTAATTCGGGCGTACTCCACGAATTATTGATGCAACTGCCCACTTAAATTCAGCTGCATAACATTCAACTGCCCACTTAAATTCTTTGTGATTAGAAAAAATCATGTGTACTTGCCATTGGAACACTGGTTTCTTCACATCCCCTTCCCTATAAACTAAAGAAGGTTTTGCAGACTCAGTTTCTGAATCAGAAGATAACCTTCTAAGTTCATCTTCAGAAATTACATAGTCCATTTCATCATCTTCTTCAAATCTAGCACCAAACTGATTCTCTTCTATTGCAGTATTGTTTGTAGCACCAAACTGATTTTCTTCTCTTCCATACTTGCATACTTCTGTGATTCAACCTCTAATTCTTTGCTATTATCATGACATTTCACCCTCTCATATATCTTCTGCAACTCTTCATCAATGTAGTAGTCTACATTAACATCATAGTTCCAGTTTTCCTTCTCCAAATGCTCAACAATTATCTCTACTTCTTTGTTTTTAGGTATCTCAAAATTAAGGTCAATCACATCCTTATCTCTATCTATTCTCCTTATTTTAAGTGAGGTGCAATCCCCATATTTATACCAAAATTGAACTTTTCTATCATCATATCTCAATGATTTAATCATTTGTCTTAAACCTAACATAGAACCATGATCACCAGGCCAATAATCAAAATATTCCACCTTTCCTCCCAAATAGTCTAAATAAGGATGTACAACTAGAACACCTCCATAATATAGCTTTATAGTGTACACATACTCATCTTCCCCAACATCTAAGAAATAATAGCAAAATAGTAATACAATATTTAGAATACTAAAATAAGTAAATAAAAAAGAGATATATCACAAGTCCAGGAAACATAAACAAATACTTTAAAGTTTTTTAAAAAAAATAAAAATAGGCAACATGACACTCCCTGTTAAACAAATAAGAGAATAAACACACATCCCTGAAAACATAAACAAAAATTTTGATCCCTATTACGGCATTATTACGGCAACATGACACTCTGATCTCATTTTACAAATTCTTGAAGCTTTGTTTTTCAGCAAAAAAAAAAAAAAAACAAACAAACAAACAAATATGGATAAGCAGCCATACAAATTGCACTATCCAAATCTCCCATTTCGAAAATTTTCAATCTTTAATTTCTTAGAATATACTCATATACAAGTACAATGAAAATATAAGGTTTCAAGAAAAAAACTTACAGTTTGGAGTTTTATCCAATCCAAGCACCCTCCTGCTACTCATGGTTGCGCTAGTTTCTTCCGATTGCTTCTGCGTGTTCTTTGCAAGATTTTAGAGAATTAAGGTTAAAATCAATGGTAGAAGAGACTAGAGAGGGAATCAGGTAATTAGAGAGTGGTTGATGGCGGTGAACGGCCCTTCCGATCCATTAATAATAATAATAATAATAATAATAATAATAATAATAATAATAATAATAATAATAATAATAATAATAATAATAATAAGAAGTGAAATGCCATTTTTACCCTCATATTTAACAACCCTAACACTTATTTAACGGAGAGGGGGGAAAATAGCCACTTAAAAAACAATTGAGGGGAATAAAGTGGTTACATAAACAACACAGGGAGAAAATATGCTATATGTAAACAACACAGGGGGAAAAAGTGTCATTTTCCCTAATTTCTAAACTGTATAGTTATCAAATTATGAACACATAGTTATCAAATTATGAATCTACAGTACAGAAATTATGAATGTGCAGTATAGAAATTATGAATCTACATTATAAATTTTATGAAGCTACAGTATAGAAATTATGAATCTACAATACAGACATTATAAATATGCAGTATAGAAATTATGAATCTACAGTACAGAAATTATGAATCTACATTATAAATTTTATGAATCTACAATATATATTTTTTTTTGTTCAAACAAAATTATTGATAATCATTCTCATTCCACCCTACTACCAAACATGCAAAATACTTTCACTAAAACTCATTACTATTATCATGTATTTGATACCCATTCCGATTCCCATGTGCGAACCAAACACACCCTTTAGTCTGAATCTCAACAGGATTCACATTAAAAATAATGAAATTTTATTACAATATACTCCGCTCTGTAATCGTAACATTCTTTTGACTCTTAGTGCCACCAAGAAATATAACTAAAGTCATTATGATGAGAATATAATTGTGTTGTATTCAATCATAATGTCTGAGAGTACAGAGAGCGAGAGTACTGTAGATTCATTATTTATATACTGTACATTCATAATTTCTGTAGATTTATAATTTTTAAACTGTATAGTTATCAAATTATGAACACATAGTTATCAAATTATGAATCTACAGTACAGAAATTATGAATGTCCAGTATATAAATTATGAATCTACATTATAAATTTTATGAATCTACAGTATAGAAATTATGAATCTACAGTACATAAATTATGAATGTGCAGTATAGAAATTATGAATCTACAGTACAGAAATTATGAATCTACATTATAAATTTTATGAATCTACAATATTTTTATTTTTTTTGTTCAAACAAAATTATTGATAATCATTCACATTCCACCCTACTACCAAACATGCAAAATACTTTCACTAAAACCCATTACTATTACCAAGTATTTGATACCCATTCCGATTCCCATGTACGAACCAAACACACCCTTTAATCTGAATCTCAACAGGATTCACATTAAAAATAATGAAATTTTATTATTACAATATACTCCGCTCTGTAATCGTAACATTCTTTTGACTCTTAGTGCCACCAAGAAATATAACAAAAGTCATTATGATGAGAATATAATTGTGTTGTATTCAATCATAATGTCTGAGAGTACAGAGAGCAAATATATAGGTACTAGATAGAATCCTAGTCTAACACGAATAATATAGTCCTAGTCTAATATGGATAACATAGTCCTAATACTCCCCCTCAAGCACAAGGTTGGCTAGCCAAAACATTGAGCTTGTCACGGAGAGAATTAAAACGGATAGACGAAAGAGACTTGGTGAAGATATCTGCTAGTTGATCCTTGGTTGAAATAAAGTGCACCTCCAACTCCTTTTTGGCTACTTTATTGCGAACAAAATGATAATCAACCCCAATGTGCTTCGTGCGGGCATGAAGCACTGGATTGGCACATAGGTAAGTAGCTCCCAAATTATCACACCATAGTCGAGGAAGGAACGCAGGTGGGATGCTGATCTCGTGTAGCAGAGAAACAAGTCATGTAACCTCAGCAGATACATTAGCCAGACCCTTGTATTCTGCTTCAGTTGAAGAACGTGCCACTGTCCGTTGCTTCCGACAGACCCAAGATATAAGATTACTCCCCAAGAACACATCAAAACCACTAGTAGACTTGCGATCATTCGGATCGTCAACCCAGTCTGAGTCAGAATAGGCGTGAATATTCATCGATGCAGACCGAGAAATACGCAGACCAAAATGCAGGGTGCCTTTGATATATAGCAGGACTCTTTTTAGAGAGGCCCAGTCCGTAGTAGTGGGAGCATGCATATGTTGACACAAGAGATTAACATCATAAGATAGATCAGGACGAGTTACCGTAATATATTGGAGAGCACCAGCAAGACTTCTGTATTGTGTTGGATCGGCATAGGGAGTGGCAACATCGTCGGCGGTTTTCGCGGCAGAGACAGGCGTGACCACTGGCTTACAGTCCACCATGCCAGCACATTTGAAAATATCCTTCATGTACCGTTGTTGAGATAAAAGCATATCACCAGATAACGGGACAGTTTCAATTTTCAAAAATAAAGAATGCACACCCATATCACGAACTTTAAACTCAAGTGCCAATTTATCAATAAGAGCAATAACACGGTCTGAGTCAGACCCCATAATCAAAATGTCATCAACATATACCAGGAAATAAAGATGAACATTATCACGAGAATAGATAAAAAGAGACACATCAGTCTTTGAGGGTGCAAAATCCACAGAGACTAGATAGAATCCTAGTCTAACGCGAATAATATAGTCCTAGTCTAATATGGATAACATAGTCCTAATAATTATCACTTGATAATCCTTGTTTTAGATCTTCAAACCAAACCCCTGTACCTAATCATGAATACCCCTGATCCAAGATCAAACAATAAATATCCCAATCTTTGTTGTACCAAGTTACAATATAATTATTGCTTGTCCTATTGATATAGTTTATAACAAAAGTAAATATCCAAAATTACAATTTGTGTTTAAGAAGACAAAGATCAAAATAACAAATATATGAATATATGAATATCCATCTATAGACCAGAGTAAAAATCTTCATGTCCATTTATTTTCCTATCTAGGACCAATAATGCTATTGTCTGGAGCAATGGGCATAAGTTCTAATACTTGTTCCGAATAAAATACTTGATCATCATTCCCTTCGTCTTTTCTCGCCTTCTCAGCACTCAAGCATTCCTTCAATTTTGTGACAACGTAGTCCATGTTTGGTCTTCTGTTTGAAGTAGGAGAAGCACAAGCCATTGCAAGCTCTAATGCTTTCCACACACAATCCACCTCAAATTCTCCCTTCAGCTTAGGATCAATGATCTTCCTTATGTCTCCCGTTTCTACGAAGAAGTTAACCCATTGTATAATGTGTGGTTTCTTGTCATTCATTATCACCGTCGGCCTTCCTGAGATCAACTCCAAGATAACGATTCCAAAACTAAAGACGTCACTCTTTTCTGTCAACCTACGAGATTCAAAGTACCTAAAAAGGGAAAGAAAAAAAAAAAAAAAACTTTCGTCACTAAATAATCAAAAATTTTGGATTGTTGACTTGTATGTATTTGATATTTGTCAATCACTTCAAACAATTAAATTGCAAAACTTACTCTGGATCAAGGTATCCTGGAGTACCAACAACCTTAGTGGAAACATAGGATTTTTCTTCGACCGCAAAAGTCCTGGATAGTCCAAAATCTGCTATTTTTGCTTGTAGTTTCTCATTTAGAAGAATGTTGGTAGTTTTCACATCTCTATGAATTATAGGTGGTTTACATCCATTGTGCAAATAATCCAACCCTGATCAATATTACAGAAATACAAATATCAAATTAATAGTACAATAACAACAATTGCAATAACAATAAAGAAATAATAGTGAATATAATGCTACAAATAAAATATGCATGGTAAAGGGACTTGACCTTGTGCAGCATCCATTGCAATCTGGAGTCTTTCTATCCAGCTCAAAACATGACTAGTTCTCTCTGCATTAAAGACCATATATAAAAGATGTTCTTATTACTTGTTCAATTTGTTTTTTTTTTTTTTTAATTTAAAATAATACATCAAAGTGGGTTAAAAATCATATGTATTTGATTATATTGCCATAATCTTTTGAGTTAAAAATTATATGTATCTTTGTACCTGACAACATATCTCTCAGGTTTCCATTAGCCATGAACTCATAAACCAGAGCAGTGTTTGTACCCTCGTAACAATATCCAACTAGTGAAGTTAAATTTCGATGATGGACTCTTGTTAGAAGCTCACCTGTGATCAAAGGGTAGCATATTATTATTATTATTATTATTTATTATTTATCTATTATTATTATATATGGGCAGGATTAACAAGGTCCTCTTTTAAAAATGAGGACGGATCTTATTTTCCATCATGGTTCATCAATGGTTACAGATTTTAGTAAAAAAAAAATACATTGTCAATTATATATATATATATATATATATGTGTGTGTGTGTGTGTGTGTGTGTGTGTGTGTGTGTGTGAAGATTAATGACAGAATAGGCTCAAAGTAAAAATAAAAATAAAAATAAAAATAAGTAAGAAATGAAATGATCCAATCATTTGGATAGATCAACAATTGAGTAAGGGCTAGGGGTTGTGTCAATTTTATAAAGAGTTAATACTCAAAATCGTCCTCGACTATAGTGGTTTTTCTCAATTTCGTCCTAAACGACTTTGGTGACCTAATATCGTCCCAGACTTTTGTGTTTCGTTCAATTTAGTCCTCCATTTGTTATTCGTCAAATTGGTGTTAAATAAAGGGACAATTCAGTAACGTCAATATTGATCTCTCTTTACTTTCAACTTGTGAAGTGAGAAATTCCTCTTTCTTGTACGAATTACGCCCAGAATTACTCCCGGACCTGCAAATCAAATTTTATATTCGCAGTTTTAGGAGTAATTCTGGGAGTAATTCGTAAAAAAAAAGGATTTCGCAGTTCACATGTCTATGAGTAAAGAGATGCCAATATTAAAATTACTGAATTGTCTATTTATTTAACACCAAATGGACAGAATAACAAATGAGGGACTAAATTGAGCAAAAACACAAAAGTCTGGGACTAAATTGAGCGAAACACAAAAGTTTGGGACGGTATTAGGTCACCAAAGTCGTTTAGGACGAAATTGAGAAAAACCACTATAGTCGAGGACGATTTTGGGTATTAACTCATTTTATAAATATTATAAACTTGAAAATTTACAATAATATAAAATTGACTCTATATATATTTTTTTACTCACAATGGTTTCCATTAATATTGTTAAATATTTTGAAAGGAAAAGTGAAAAATAAAAATGAAAAGTAGTACAATTTCAAAATAATAATAATAATAATAATAATAATTTACCTCAGTTTGAAACTCATGGTAACCTTGGACAGATGATTGAGATAACACCTTAATCGCCACTTGAATGTCATCCCCTAAACAACCATGATACACAGTTCCAAAACCTCCTTCTCCAAGAACCCTTTTAAAATTTTTGGTGATATTCAGAATTTCTGAATATGTAAAACTTTTATTCTTTGACTCCACATTAAAGCCATCTTTCCTATCAGATTTTGCACCCATGCGCACTATTTTTCAATCAAAATGTTAAACAAAAAGAATCATTATTCAAATAATAGTTATTACACAATACGAATAAGTGTATAGGGAGATATATAATGATGTATTTTGACAAACAAAATGTATAAATTGGATAAACAAAATGTACATACAACCAAAGTAAAATGTATAATTTGTGCAAGTACAATACATAATATCCAAAAATACCGTGTAAATATTCAAACTAAATATTATTGTAATATCTAGAAAGTAGACATTATGTAATTTACCACTTATGAGCTAGTATTTATTAATATATTAAGGCTAGTATGTATCATCCATGATTAATTCAAGTGCACAATATACTAATTGCATTTTGTTATAATAATTACCTTGGTTTCTCTTCCTTTTTTGTCGCCAGCAGAGGAGAAGCAAGGCAGTCAAGAGGATGAAAGTTATAATAACAAGTGCAACCATTGGAACGACAAATTTCTTCGATGTTGTTTTATCATCATCACAATTGTTTGGTCCACAAGTAGCCTCATAACCTTCAATTCTAATCATTTTCAATTTTATGGTAATCAGTTAAACTATTGCGTTTATATTGTACTTGTATCGTCTATGATGTTATTCACAAGTAAAAGTAACTTGATTATTAGACAACAATAGCTTCACGAAGACAAACCTTAGTATTAATCCATTTTTGGTTCTTTCTATAAGCTCTTGTGGAATTGGACCCGAGAAGTGATTCCCAGTTAAGTTTCTGCAAATTATACAAAAAAAAACCAAATATATGTAATTATTGCTCATTTAAAATATTTAGCAACTATATTTACTAAAAGGAGCATTGTATTTGACAATTACTAGGTAATGGCAAGAATAATTGATGTATATAGAGACAATTATTTTTTAACTTTAACCATATTATTACAAAGTTAAGTATGACCCTTGCTAGTGTGAAGAAATTAACCACTTACAAGACTTTTAAAGATGACAATTGACTTAGAAAATTAGGTACTTGTCCAGTCAAGCCATTATTGGATAAATCCCTGTAAAAAGAAAGAGAATAATAATATTATAATTTATAATCAATAAATTATACATTAAACTATGAAAACATGAATCTCTCAAATTAATATATATATATATATATATATATATATATATATATATATATATATATATATATATATATATATATATATATATATATATATATATATAATCGCACTCAGGTGCGAATGCTTTGCCCAGGAGCGAAATAGGAATGGATTCTGTCCGTCCATGTGTCCAGATCTAATGGATGAGAAACACTGATTTTTTTTAAAAGCGCGGTGGCATTTTCGTAAATAATTGAACATCGAAGTGCAAGTAAAATGTATTACAAGTGCATGTAAAATGTATTATAGGTCCAAGTAAAAAATTTACCCGGAGCATCAATACTAAGTGCACATATAGTTATAAGTAGTTGCACCTATAGTTCTAAGTAGTTGCACACATAGTTATAAGTAGTTGCACCTAGGTGCATGAATGCTTGCGAGTGGTTTTCAGGGGTATTACTACCAACTGAACTCAAATCAATGAATATTAACAAGACAAAATTACATGCACTTATAGGTGAAAGTAGGTGCACCTATAGTTATAAGTAGTTGCACCTATAGTTATAAATAGTTGCACCTATAGTTGTAAACACACCCAAGTGCATGAATGTTTGCAGGAAGTGAATGCTAACAAGGCAAAATAGTTGCACCTATAGTTATAAGTAGTTGCACCTATAGTTATAAATAGTTGCACCTATAGTTATAAGTAGTTGCACCTATAGTTATAAATAGTTGCACCTATAGTTGTAAACACACCCAAGTGCATGAATGTTTGCAGGAAGTGAATGCTAACAAGGCAAAATTACATGCACTTATAGGTGAAAGTAGGTGCACTTGTAAGTGATTTTACTTGCACCTCGATGTTCAATTATTTACGAAAATACCACCGCGTTTTTTTTTAAATTTATTAAATCTGGACACGTGTCGCGCGCTGATTCGTTCGCATTTCCTTCCTGGGCACTTATTCGCACCTGAGTGCATCCCTATATATATATATATATATATATATATATATATATATATATATATATATATATATATATATATATATATATATATATATATATATATATATATATAATAATAATAATAATAATAATAATAATAATAATAATAATAATAAAAGTGTGAATGTGATTTACTTACAAGTACTCTAGGGATATAAGATTGGATATGCTAAGAGAAATGTTGCCGGCCAATCCACTTGCGGACAGATTCCTAATAATTCACCAATGCAAACAATGTATTTATTTGTGGCTCAGTGCCTCAGTTCAATATATACAGATGTACAAAATATTATTTCACGCTTGAATTTATATACACTTTTAAATAAAATTAGATTAACTTTTTCATACCTTCAATTCCAACTATATATTATACTAGAAATTCAATACTTAACATCCAAAAATATATTTTTTTTTTTTTAAATAGAGATTACAACTGGATTGAGTTGAATTAACCTGAATGGCTATAATAGTGGCCCACACTGTTCATGAACTAGTTTGACATCAACTATAATAGGTTAGGTTATCTTGCGAAAATAAGTACAAATTACAAATTAAAATCTAATTATCTTTTCAAAAAAAAAAAAAATCTAATTATCTTGTTCTCCCAAAAGGTTGAATCCCCAACCCTAAGGACCCCCCACACTCCGACTCGACAGAACATGTGGGAGGATGTAAATCACAGTGATTCAATGGTTTAGTAAACAGGGCCAAATGTCGGTGCGCACAAGAAATCTGTCCACTTTGGACATAAATCACAGTGACTCAATGGTTTAGTAAACAGGGCCAAATGCCGGTCCGCACAACATTGGTCACTTCTCCCAAATACTGCCTACTAAACTATTGAGCTAAATCCGTACGGGTAAAAAAATCTAATTATCTAAACATACATTATATATAAGCACATGAAATTTGTTCAAAATGTTTAATGTGTTGCATTGATAAAGGTAATAATTCTTAACTCACAAGTTAAAGTTTCAAATCTTAAAGTATACATACATACATCCGTGTGTGTCTGTGAGATTAGGATCAGGTGCGAAGAGCATCTCAAGTGCGAAAGTGTAGATAAGTATGATTAATGGCTCTTTTAAAAATTCAATACAAAATGTAAACTTGAAGGCTAGAATTCTGCACTCGAAGGTACAAAGATGTGTAATTGAAGCAATTATGGTACCAAAAAGGAGAATTATTCAACTTAAGTATTATTGAAGCAAAGGAGAGTTATTCACCTTAAGTATTATTGAAGCAATTACCCTTACAAATTGTTGGTAAATCTCTCTAATTTCATTAGAAATTTAATTATATATACGTTGTTGAAAAGTAGACAAAAGATATAATAAAATTGACACATAATTATGCACTTGAAGGCACAAAGATGTGCAATTGATGCAATTTAGAATGTCAAAAAGGAGAGTTATTCAACTTTAAGTGTTATTGAAGCAACTACCTTTATAAATCATTTGTAGATCTCATTATATGTTATTAAAAAGAAGACAAAAGATATAATAAATATTATTGGCGGCATATATAATTAAACACTGAAGACAAAAAATTGTGCACGGGAAGGCATAGAAATATAGATTCGAATGCCAAACTTGTGCACTCAAAGAAAAAACTGTATATTGATCGAAACAAAACATATATAAGCACTCGAAGACAAAGACAATTATTATTATAGCTGATCGGGGTTTGTTCATGAACAACTCAACCTATTTGTTATATTTTTTGATAAAATGGAATCAATTTGTCAGAGTGTGAAAAAAAAAAAATTAATGTGTATATTATTCCATTGATATATAATGAATTTAGGGAAATGATAGAAGCTTACAAGTGTGTGATGATGGGGGGATCATTATCATTATAGCTGCAATGGAGCCCTTCCCATACGTATGCTTCAGGCAGACAAGGATCTCCTACCCAATTGTCCCGCTTCAATCTATAACTTGCCTTCATATTCACCATAGCCTGGACTAATTATTTAAAATCGAGGTGGTTAGCGCAAGTTGAGTTTGACCAATTGTTATATCCCGAACCAGGTTCATATTGTATTGTAAATTCTAATTCAAAAATTATGTGTTTACAGTTAATAAATTTTGTACTTTTAATTAATTATAATTTCAATACCGATAAACTAATTAAAGATACATAACATGGTAATTACAAACACATAAATTATTAATTGTAAGTATAGAATATGTTAACTACAGTTAACATGTTATCTGTCTACAGTTAACATATTTTATATTTGTATTTAATAATTTATGCATCTATATTTGTCATTTTATATATATGTCTGTAATTATCATGCATGTGATGTGCTTTTAATTTGTTTACATATGCAAAAATAGTTAACTTCTCCAAAAGGTTGAATTCCTAACTTCAACGCCCCCCCACACCCTGACAAATTAAAAAAGAGCATTTGGTGGGATATAAATCATGGTGACTCAATGACTCAGCAAATAGGGTCAAATACCAGTTAACTGTTAACTGTAAATACATAATATAATGTGTATGTCTGCATGAGCAGCTCAACTGGTCATAAAAGTGAAGTTTGAAAAGAATGACCAAGGATTGAGTCTCACCAGCCACAGTGTGGGAGCAACCTCTTAAAGTGAGGGGGCTCCTTGTGCGCAGTAAGCAAATGTCGAGTTACCATGATTTACATCCTCTCGGTTGGGGTTCAATCTTTGGAAAGAATAATATAAAGTGTATTATTAAAATAGGGTCCAGGTTTTTGGTTGATGCTATAATTTGAGGCCAAGTTTAAAGCTTATAATTGACAATTAATTAATTAAACTTACCATCATTTTCGCGGGTTTGTGATTTCAAGAATCTTTTAACCGTATAAATTTCGACGGCGTTGATGAGCGGTGGGAGGGTGGAACTCTCAGTCTTGACGAATTGAATTTCCCATTTTGACTGAAATGCAGGTCTGGTCATGAATATAGTGGTGGTGTTCCAATAACTCGGGGATACCGGCTCCTCGTACCACTTCTTATTGTTCATTAAAATGTTGAAAACTCGGGTTTGGTTCTGTGGCAACCTCATTACCTCAGCGAAATGCATGTACACATAATAATTGGTTGTCGAGTCTTCTGGATCCCAAGAAAATGTCAATACTTTCCCTCCCGTTTCCTTATTTGAGATGGCTGTTTCCATGACGTTGGAAGGCACTTCGAATACGTTCTTAGGTATTCCCTGCCCTGGGCTTGGTGGGATTGGGCTTAATGTTATAACGGTCCCGTTTTGAGGAGCAGGATATGGGTACCACACCCGATCTCTGATATCATCTGGGTACCTACCAAACCATCATCCAATTAACATACTTTCACTTGCAGATCATCGCAATTCAGTTCTGCTAACCCAATGTTGTATCAGCCTCAACCATAACAAAAAATACAATTTTTAGTAAGGAAAATAGCGAGTTTCGTCCCTGAATTATAATGATAGTGAGGACTCAATTCCTGAATTATGACCGTTTTATCCACTTTTAGTCCATCAGTTATAGGGATGGCAATGTGTCCCGCCTCCGATGGGGATCCCCGATCCCCACCCCGACAGAGACGAGTATGGGAAAAATTTTCGAGGAACGGGAACGGGAACGAGGAATTAGATTTTAAAAATTTTATTATTAAAAATTATAATTATTTAACATTTTGACGGGGAATGGGGAATCCCCGTCCCCGCTTAATTTCCCGCGGGGACGAGAATGGCGAGTATTTTCAATTCTCCGCCGGGGACGGGGATGGGGATGGGCACGAGGTCGCGGGGACGGGGACGGGGAGTATAATTGCCATCCCTAATCAGTTATGACTTATGAGCGAAGTGACGCATTTGGTCTTTGACCGTTAAAACATACGGAAAAATTAAAAAATATTTAAATTTGAGGGGTAAAGTAGAAAATTCACATTTTATTCAATTTCTTATATTGAAACCACTTTTGCAACATTATTTTCAACTTCCTAGCATTCTATTTCAAGGTTCTTCAATTCAATAATCTTCGTATGACTTGTTAGTAATCTGAGTCTCGTATAAGGAACCTGTGACTCAGTTCAAACAAGAGAACAGTTGATCATTGTCTTCAAGCATGTAAAACACACCATCAGATTTTTGATTTCCCTTACTAAACATAATGGTAATTAAACCATAACTTTTGAAATACAAGAAGATATCAAATTTCTCAGTTATTTTTATGACAAATTCACCAAGGGAGTAACTTGGATTTTTAGTACGTAAAATTCTTCCGTAAGCTCTGCAGTAACTTAATCAAGAATCATATATCCTAACAATATATGAAAATTATATTATATATATACCATCACCCCCTCTGTCTTATTAAAAACTAGAGTAATAAATTAGGAATCTAAAACTCAGTTATGAAATTTCTAAAAACTTTTGTAACTTCTAAAAACGATTATTGAGTTGCATATGAAAAAATTTTACATATTAAAAAGCTCAAGTTATTCCATTGGTGAATTTATCATAAAAACAATATGAGAAATAACATCATTTTTGTATCTCAAAAGTGGTTTAATTACCTTTGTTGCTTAGTAAAGAAAATTAAAAATTGATAGGATAGTGTGTTTCACACGTCTGAATTGAAGATAATGATCAAGTGTTTCTTTGTTTGTGCTAAGTCTTAAGTTTGTTATATGAGAGTCAGGTTCCTAACAAGTCATACTAAAGTTATTAAAATGCTTTTAGAATTGGACAATCTTGAAATAAGAGGCTAAGAAGTGGAAAATGATGTTGTGGAAGTGATTTTTATAGAAGAAGGAGAATAAAATGTGAATTTCCTACTTTACCCCTCAAATTTTAAATATTTTTTAATTTTCCGTCAGTTTTAACGGTTGGGGATCAAATGCGTCACTTCGTTCATAACTGAGAGACTAAAAATGGATACGGTCATAACTCAGTGACTGAGTAGGAACTTGGGTATAACTCAGGGACTAATGATGCAATTTTTCCTTTTTAATATATCAAAATTATATTATTTGTGTATTGAATGTGCATTATACAAAATAATATAAAACTTTCAGTACTCAAGAGTAATGTATTTTTTCCTGAATATATAATGGACATTTTTAATATAATAAAAAAGTACATTATTTGTGTATTGAATGTACATTATTTGATAGTACGGTCCACACAGTAATAATTGAATATTGTAGGCAAATTTTATCATGGACCATGACGTAGGTACTCTAGATTTTAGTTTCATTTTCCATACACTAATTTCATTATAGCATAACTAAAGTATCATTTTAATTACACTACAGTTTATTTTGACAATATACATGATTGGATGAGCTCTGTCTTTAATTTCATTTACACACACTAGTTTCATTATAACAGCATAAAATATCATTTAAATTCTACTACAGTCAGTGTTGAAAAAATTTTGCCTAGGCACTGGCCGGCCGCCTAGCGTATTACTATAATTGGTGGTCTAGGTGAAGTAAAATACACGAGCGCCTAGGCGTCGATTAAGCACCTCTCGGGCATCGGAGGAGCGTTTAATAATTTTTTTCAACCATGACTACAGTTCCATTTGACAACCATGGACACCATGGTTTGGATTATTTTTGGAATACTATTGACTTTATTACAAGGTAGTTTCTGTTCTATACTTTCTCTAATTATTGTAGCTCAAAGAGCCAATACCCCACCATCGAGGTTCGATCATGTGACATTTCTTCAAAGGAAGTCACAGAGGTGTCATCTAAGCACAAAATGCTTAACTCCAGTTTGGATTTTGATTTCTAAAATATAAAAATTGGTTTTGGAAAAAAATTTAATTATGAAATTATTATTATTTGATTTTAAAGTTGTTATACAATTTTTTAAAAAGAAAAAATGTGTTGAAAAGTTGACTTATCTTAGTAAAATTAAGTTTAAGTTAAAAATAATTATTATTATTTTATACGGAGTAACAATTGTTATTATTATTATTATTATTATTATTATTATTATTATTATTATTTAACAAATAATATCTTTAGTCCTAAATAGAAAAGGATAATTTTTTGATTTTAAGTTAAATATTAAAAAATTAAATTATTTTTGAGAAATGAATAATTTTCCAGGTTTCTAAACTGAGATAGATTTCTTCAAGATTGTATTGAAACAGAGGGAGTACTGGAGTAGGTTTAAAAAAAAAAAAAAAATGTAACACATACAGGTAGACCCAGCTGCAGGAAGCAATAAATAAAGGAAAATGATATATGTATTTCCATGAGTATAAACTCTCGCAATCTGTGCCAATAAATTAAGTGCATGAAGAAAAATAGTGGTTCATTTTGTTATTTAAATCAATTAAATAATGACACTTTAGCAGGGAGTACAAAATAGAGTAAAAAGTGAAGTGAAGTATACTCATAAATAAAATTAAGGGAGAAGTGTCAAATAGGTCCATGTACTATTGTCAAGTGCTCAATTCCCACCATGAAGTAAATTAAAGGCTAATTAACCACACTTACCTACTAAATTTGTTCAATTAATTTTTTTTTTTTTTGTAGATAATTGACTTTTTTTGCAGATTACCAATTCAATTATTAAAAAAATAATTTCAAAATAATTTAAAAATTATTTAAAAAAAAAAAAAAAAAAAGAATACAGCCACCGGCTTTCCTCACCGGAAGCCGGTGGCTGCCATTTCAAAGACAGTCGTGGCTGCCCGGCGAGGACAGCCGGACAGTCGTGGCTGCCCGGCGAGGACAGCCGGACAGCCACGGCTGTCTAATATGAGGTCCAGATCTGGACCTCAAACGGCCTGGAACAAGGGTGGCGGCCATGGTCACCGCCCCCGTTCCAGGCCATGGCCGTCTAAAAAAAATTCGAATTTTTTTTAGATGGCCATGGCTGTCTGGGGACGGCCATGGCCTGGAACGGGGCGGCCACATGGCCGTGGTCCTCGTTCCAGGCCATTTGAGGTCCAGATCTAGACCTCATATTAGACAGTCGTGGCTGTCCGGCGAGACTGTCTTTGAAATGGCAGCCACCGGCTGTCCGGCGATGACAGCCGGTGTCTGTATTTTTTTTTTAATTTTATTTATTTATTTTAATAATTAAATATGTAACCTGTTATTAACCTGTAAAAAAGTCAATTGAACAAATTTAACTCGTAGATGGATCTATTTGACACTTAATTTAGTTTGTGGTGGAAATTGAACACTTCGGAGTAGTAGATGGGCTTATTTGACACTTGTGCCTAAAATTAAAGAATGGGATTGATTTGAGGAATTAGTTACCTTATTAGAGATTGACCACCATAGTTGTTCCGTCTGTAAAGAAGCAACGACTCATTCTTACCGGCGGATGCATTGGTGGCATAGGCGGCCTCGTTCATTGGGCGCAGCTCAAGTGCCGAAATGAAAGGCGTCCCCTCCCCCGTGTTCACAAGGCAAACATGCAACAAATTGGAGGACGGAACGTGCAGGATCTCTTTCCTTACCACATTCAAAGGGCCTTTCAATTTCACCCGATCCCACAGTTCCACTCCAAGATGAAGCTCGAAACTGGGGATCTCATTCTTCCCGTCATAATTCCCGTACAAGAAACTGGCTCGAACCAGCACCCTCTTCCCTTTCGCCTGCGCGGAGCTTAAGTTGTAACAGTTTCGAGATCCGTTTGGGAAGCTTCGGAGTGTCCAGAGTGGCTTGCCAATTAGGGCGGTATAGTTGTGGATGTAGCCCTGCTCAATAGTGGCGCTAATGCCGGTGCCTGATTCTAAGAAGTCTTTATCTGGCTGGTAAAGTAAGCCGCCGATTTCATCTTCGGGGTAGTTACCTCCTTCTGCAAATCCGCAGTCTATGCTTATGAACTCTGAGACAGCTGCGCACAAACATGATCAGATTGTGATTCAAAAATCAGCTAGAGATCGGAGGTATATATATATAGTAGTTGAACGAATATAATTGATGAACTAACCTGCAGAATTCTGGCCGTTGACGACATTTGTGAGAGCAAAACAAGAAAGCAGCAGTAACACTACTCGAACATAGCCTTGCATTACTGCCTTGTCCATTACTTTCAGCTTCCTGCACCTTAATTAACTTAGCTTGTTTCTACACCCATTATATATTTATATAGATGGATAATTGGGTGTGAGTAGACTATGTACTATAAAGTCTTCTTTCTTTTCTTTTCTTTTTTTTTTTTCGGAATTTTAAATTTATTTAATTATGGACAATGCAAAATGCTAAATATCTTGGTGGGGTAAGTTTTAAATGTCTTGGTGTGTGTTCTCATATGAGAACAATTCCTTCTTGAAAAAGTGAGCATTGATCTCAACATTCACTCATCAGCGTTTTAGTAAAAAAGATATGTGTTAATTTTATAATTATTACAAAATTTAAATTTTTTAATATTTATAAAACTAACTCACCATTTTTTTCCCCAGGTGCGGTTGTCATTCCCATATGTGCGGTTGTGCGGTTAAATTTAAGCCATTGATCTTGCCTAAATCAACGTCTAGGATTAATAGTGAGCCTAAATCAACGTCCAGGATTAACAGTGATTAAAAAAAAAGCGTGGTGACAATTTGATCTTTTGCATCTAGGTCAAATTTAATGTGCGTGATTTTTGTGCTTAAGGTTAGTGGTTTTTGTACTGTGTGCCTTAAGGTATGTCAGGTGTTGAAAACTTAAGTGCGTCGATCTAAAGTTTTAGGTGTGTGGATTTACTTCTTAAGGTGTGTGGTTTGTGTGCTTAAGGTGCGTCAGTTGTTGAAATTAAGGTGCGTTGGCCTAGAGCGTTAGCTGCGTGGTTTTCCTTCTTAAGGTGGTGCGTAATTTGTATGCTTAAGGTGAGTCAGTTGTTGAGACTTGGTGTGCCAATTTAAAACTTTAGGTGCATAGTCTGTGTTCTTAAGGTGCTTTGTTTGTGTGCTTAAGATGCGTGGTTTGTGTACTTAAGGTGTGACATTTTAAAATTTTAGGTGCGTGGTTTGTGTTCTTAAGGTGCTTTGTTTGTGTGCTTAAGTTGCGTGATTTGTGTACTTAGGGTACGCCTTTTTTAGTTAACCGTACAACCGCATGGGAAGCTATACACGCACCTAAACCCTTCTATATATATATATATATATATATATATATATATATATATATATATATATATATATAATTCATTAATAATAATAATTGTTGTTGTTTACACATATATAACATTCAATATAAAGAGCATTTATTCTTTTTCTATTCATTTGGTCTAATGGTACTCAGGTTGGACTTCCATTTGGAAGGTTGTAAGTTCGAGCCTCAGTGGAGGTGATATTAGTTTTTTGTGGTTCTTTGTGTTTCAGTAGGTTGAGAAAGTATATGAACAGTTCTTTGTGTTTCAGTAGGTTGAGAAAGTATATGAATAGATACTACATTGTAATAGAGCCAGTAGCATTCAAAAAACTAATCAAGAGTTAATTTCATTTGTTTTTTTGTTTTAGATTTATAGTTGTGATTCCATTTTTAGTCATTTTTAATTCAGAATATCACTCATTGGTTCTAGTATTATCGTGACATTATTATTTTTGGTCCTATGTCAACAAACTTGTTTAATGGGGTTAAATTCGAGGGCATTTCGATCTATTTAGTGCTATGTATTAATTCCTTTTTTGTCATAAATTCATGTGTCATTTCACTTATAGTCTCATTTTTTTTTTTTCAAAATATCTCTATTTTTCCTAACATTATTGTGGCATGAAATATGTCAACCACTGATAAACAGGATAATAATATGTCAACCGCTGAGAAGCGGAATAGAAATATGTAGACGGTTGAGAAGCGGGATATATAGAAATATGTTGACCGCTGAGAAGTGATATAATAATATGTCAACCGCTGAGAAGCAAGATAATAATATATCGAAAGCTGAGAAGAGGGGTAGAAATATGTGAACCGCTGAGAAACAGGATAATAATATGTTGATCGCTAAGAAACAGGGTAGAAATATGTCGACTGCTGAGAAGCAGTATAGAAATATGACCAACCGCTGAGAAACAGAATAGAAATATGCCTACCGTTGAGAAGCGGGATTATGCATTGACCATCATTTTTTTTCTCTCTTTGTTTTTTCCTATTGCACACTAGGCTGCGTACCTTGCCCTGCAGGCCCGTGTGGAGATGCGTACGAGCCGACTATTACGCCTTACGGGTACTGTACGAGATGCGAACTGCCTACCTTACTTTGTAGGCCCCTTTTTTTTTTTTTTTTTTCAGATGCATGTTGGGCTATGTACCTTTCCGTGTAAACCCAAGTGAAGATGTGCACACCGGGATGAGGGTCGCGCCCTACAAGTCCGAGTGAGATGCATACGGGTCGCCTAGTACGCCTTGCGGGCACTATACAAGAGATGCTGGCCGCTTACCTTGCTCTGCAGGCCCATACTTTTTTTTCTCCTCCCTGATACTGTAGTTGTGGTGAAATGAAACTGCAGTTTATATAAAATGAAACTGAATAACATTTCACATATTTGAGTGTTTATTATGCAATGAAGCTGTAGTTATATCAAAATGATCATATAGTTGTGTTCTAATGAAACTATAGTGTATATAAAATAAAATTAAATAACATTTTCACATATTTGAGTGTATAAATGTCGAATGAAATTGTAGTTATATCGAAATGAAACTGTACTTGTGTTGAACTGAAACTGCAGTGTATACAAAATGAAACAGAATAATAGAGTTATTTTTTACGAAACGACGCGAAACGGGTATCGTTTCTTTTCATTAAACAAAACGACGTCGTTTTGAAGCTCGGTGCATAATCGATTATGCACCGCAGTGCACGATAATAATTGGAGCGTTATGTTGTGCAACCGTGTGCACCATGCATGGTGCACACGGTTGCAAAAACAACGTTGTTTTGACGTTCGACTTAAAAATAAATAAAAAAAAATTCAGTTTCGATTGCCGTTAATGACGTTATGTTGTGCATAATTTGAACTATATAGTTCATTCATTCTGGATATATAGTTCATTCATTCTGGATAATTTGCGCTAATAACTTATTATACCATAGACTATAGTCCATATTATAAGATGAATCACTTATTTAAAATATATTTTAATAAATTAAATGTTCATATTTAGTACATTGAATGTTTTTTTTTTTTTTTGAATATTCATTATTTTGGTACTGAAAGTTTATTATTTTTGGTAGTTACCAAACAATGAATCTTTTAGTATATAAATAATATACATTCAATATATTAAAAAATAACATTTACTTATAGTTTACAGTATAATTTGCCGACTTAACGAGTCTTACAAAGCAATGACCAATTGTTATATCATAAACTAGAGTCCAATTTGCATTATGGACCCTGGTCTAAAATAACATTCACATTATGTGCATCTTTGTGTCTACTGCAATTACTATAATAATATACAGTTAGTAGGGGTTGAAATACCTCAAGAACATGTGTTAAAGACAAATACTGATCCAATTCGTGCTATTGTTGAAAATACATTTCCTAGGTTTTCTGAACATCAACATGATGGCAATTATCTAATTGGAAGAGCAATTTTAGCACCGACGCTTGAAGTTGTCGATAAAGTGAATGAGTATATGAGTAATATGAATGTGGCAGAATGTCGAACATATTTTAGCTCTGACTCAGTTTGTCCGACGGAAGGCACTCCTGATTCAGTCGCCGCTCTTCACACCCCAGAGTTCTTAAACGGGTTGAAGTGCTCTGGTGTGCCTAACCATTCTTTGGCTTTAAAAATTGGGTCTCCAGTTATGTTACTACGAAATATAGATCATTCCGCTGGTTTGTGCAATGACATGAGGTTAATCATTTCTAAACTAGGAGACCACGTTGTCGAAGCAAAAATTCTATTCAGAAGTCATGCAGGAACAAAGGTGTTGATTCCAAGATTGTCATTGACTCCATCAGATCCAAAGTTACTGTTTAAATTTCAGTGGAGACAATTCCCCCTAATGTTGTCTTATGCTATGACAATTAACAAAAGCCAAGGTCAAACACTGTTTACAGTTGGGCTATTACTGAAAAAACCTGTTTTTGTTCATGGACAACTTTACGTGGCTTTGTCAAGAGTTAGCAATCCAAATGGTCTTAAGTTACTTATTTGCAACGACAATGGAGAATATGTTTCTTCAACGTCAAATGTTGTATATAAAGAAGTATTTAATAATATATAAACTTTGTATGTTCTTTCTTTTTTGCAACATACATTTATATATATATATATATATATATATATATATATATATATATATATATATATATATATATATATATACTTACTTTATTTTCTGTCCGTGCATCGCATGGGTGGATAACTAGTATATTATAAATCTAATTGTAATTAACATATTATGTACCTTCGATTTATTAATAAATAAATAATATATTAATTGCAAACACATAATTTAAATATGTAAAAGTTTAAATACCTAAAATAGTCCCTCGACTATAGCTAAATTCACAAATTGATCCTCGACTTTCAATTTCAACCAATTAAGTCCTTAACTTTGCAATTTTAACACGATTTGGTCCTTCGTCTATTTGACCGTTTGTAGACCGTGATCTTTGAGGATATATATGTAATTTCACGACTCTGCATCATTCGTCGCGATTCTGCGTCATCGCCAGCGGCTGCGCCGTCATCGACGATCTCCAGAAGAACCTGCAGCTCTCGTCGGAGCACATGGAGGCCTCCAGGATGACGTTAGTTGCACCGTTTCGAAAACACGTCGTCTTCTTCGCTCTGGTACGAACTCAACTACATTGAATCCAAAGGGAGGATGAAGAAAGGCGACCGGATTTGGTAGATTGCTTTCGGCAGTGAATTCAAATGTAATAGTGCGGTCTGAAAATGCAACCGGAACCTTAAAAAACTGACGATGGACCATGAAATTACATATATATCCTCAAAAATCACAGTCAACAAACGGTCAAATAGACGGATGATCAAATCGTGTTAAAATTACAAAATTAAGGACTTAATTGGTTAAAATTGAAAGTCGATGATCAATTTATGAATTTAGCTATAGTCGATGAACTATTTTGGGTATTTGCTCTTATGTAAAATTTTCAATGCAAGATATGCACTGGTACATGGTATAATTTCCCGTCAACGACGTTGTTTAGAGCCAACGAGTCCACTTGCTTCGAAAGAGATGGTAATGTACCATCCAAGTGGACCAAGTCGTGAGTTTTTGTCAGGTTCTACAAATTGATTCAAATAATTTTTTTGAATGCCATTGATTCAAATAATTGATTGTCCAGACCCAAGACTTTTTTGCTTTTTTTTTTTTTCTTTTTCAAAGACTCTTAAATCATCAATCCATACCAAGTCAAGTTGGTAGGACCGTGGTCCACACAACAGTGTAAATCATGATCCAAAATAATTCTATTTGATGAAAAGAAACAGTAATCATTTTGCATAATTAGTTCTGCTTGTATAACATATTCAGTTTCATTATAGTTTCATTTCGTCACAATTACAATTTCATTTTATTTAATCTACAGTTTCTTTCAACATTATACATACAATAGTCTTATTACATTGAGACATGTTATTGAATTTAATATACACACTGTAGTCTTATCACAACACCACTAAATTATAATTCTAATTCAACTACGGTTTCATTGGACAATATACACTCGAATATGTGAAACTGTTATTCAGTTTCATTTTATATACATAGTAGTTTCATTACAACACAACTACAATATCATTTTGATATAACTACAATTGTATTTGACAATATACACTCAATATGTGAGACATGTTATTCAGTTTCATTTTATATATACTACAGTTTCGTTTCAACACAACTAAAATATCATTTCAATTCAATTACAGTTTCATTTGATAATATAAACACAATATGCGAGACAATTTCATTTTAGATATACTGTATTTTATTTTTTATGAACACATAAAAATTACAAAATTTATTAAAATGTGACGATTGTCGTTTCTTTACTTAAAGAAACGATACCGTTTTCGGACCATGATCCACAGTATAACATCTGAAGTTGGTAATAGAAGACCTATAATGTTCAGAAACTCTAAAAGGATAACATTTCTCTATTTTAAAAAAATTTCATTTTCGAAACTCACAAAAATTCAATCCGAAAATATTTTCAGGATGTGACCTAGAAAGAAAAAGTTCATGAACTCATTTCTAGGTCCGAAAGCCCGTTTGGGGACCATTTCAAAAATAAATAAATAAATAAAAATAATAAATTGGACCAAATTTTAAAATGTTAATTTCTTAGACCCTATTTTACGACATAGTGAGATTGTCATCAAACATGTGGGATGTTGGATGAGACAATTTGTGAGCTAATAATAAAAAGTTCATGACCTCATTTCTAGGTTCAAAAGCTCGTTTTTGGACCATTTCAATAAATAAATAAATAAAATGAACCAAATTTTAAAATGTTAATTACTTTTTTGAAAAATTAAAAACCAACGAGACCGAATATATTAATTTTTCAAAAAGTTCGAACCAGCAATACAAGAGATAAATCTAAGAATAAAATCAGCATATTCTACCCTGCCCATCTCTACATTATCCAAAGATTTTTTTGCAATTTCATGAGCTAGAGTATTTGCATCCCTTTTAACAAAATTTAATGTAACCATATTCAGCAGGTCTCCTCATCACTATTTGCTACTTGAGATCACTCTTGGTCTGTGAAGGAGTTAACCCTTTGCCGACAACTTATATGCATTATTCTACTCATTGACTTTGATGCGGTCTCCCCCGGTCCCCCGTACCATATCTATCTCGCTTTTGGACAGTTGTTTGCTTGCCAGTTGCGCCAGCTTTCTCTTTTTTTTTTTTTTTTTAGGAAAACGCCAGCTTTCTTTCTTTCATTCTTTCCTTTGTATTTTTTTTTTTTTTTTTTTAGAAAAAGAGAAAATTCGTTAAATGACATCCTGCCTTAGAGCATTCTTAAAAGGGACTTTTAAACCAGATTTTGAAAAACTTTTGAAACCGTTGGTGAAAAACAAATAATAATCAAATAAAAATAAGATTATTATTTTTTGGAAAAACTAAGGGAAGGAAAGAATTTGGTTAGTGTTTGGTGTTGGGTTTTTGTAAGAGTCAAGTGATCACTCTTTCCTTAAAACTTTATTTGCCACCTCCCAAAAGTGCTAGAAGCTTCGTTGCCTAGGCTTCCCAGGATAAAACTTGCTTGTGATTCAATGTTTGAGCACCCAAACAAATGAATCCAGCGAACAAGACAAGGCTATGAACACAGTAGGCAAAGAAAGAGTAGAAGCAGATAGTTTTGAAGCTGTAAATTATACTTTCGTGTTGTGTAATTCTATGTGTAAAAAATTCTGTTGCCTCTACCCTCTCTTATATAAGGTTGAAGGATTAAATAACTCTTATAAAGATTGGAATTAATTCAAAGAATTAATTCCGTAACAGTAGAATTGAACACCCAGGTTCGTGTAGGCCGAAACTTCCAGTTTCGACCACCAGGCCGAAACTGGAAGTTCTTGGGCCGAAACCTCCCAGGTTTCGGCCACACCCAGTGGCATGTGTTGGAAAATTGATTCCGAAGTTTGGCATAACTTAACCCGCAGGTGCCGGCGCACACGAGCTCGGGCTTGAATCAAGCTTTTTTCAATCTCGTCTAGTTGGAATTTGAATATAGATTGTCACAACAACATTTATTTAAATATAGATTGTCACTTAACATCAAATAAAAAAATTTGTCAATTATTTTGTCACCAAATTCTTTCATAATTAACTTATATTCATTTTACTGGTTAATTGAATATTTCAAAATTTGAGAGATAAGACAAAAACCAAGACGAATTAAATAATCAATATTAATTTTTGTCAATTTCAAAACTAATAATTTATACTAGCAATTGTACATCTTTAAAATGTAAATAAATAATTAAAACACATAATAAAGCACTAATTAATTAATCAACATATATAACTAATAAAACTAAAGCATATATATCAAATTTGGAGATTTTTTTAAATTAAAATGTATACTTGATGTCATTCATTATTAAAATCTTGATAAAAGAAATAAGATAATAAAGAAAAATGGTCACTTTAATTATTTGATTTATTTCTTTTTTATTTAATGAATTTAAACTTTAATATATATTTTGAGTTCATTTAATATAAACATAATAGATTTTTTTTTTTTTTAAAAAAAAAATTTGAGGGAGGCCAAAAGTGTATTTTATTCCTACTATATCAATATATACATACATATTTACGAAAAAATTTAGGATGAGGGTAGGGGTAGGGGTAAGGGTAGGGGTGGGGGTGGGGGTAGGGGGGCCAAGGCCCCCTTACCCCCAAAGGTAGCTCAGTCCGGAAAGAGAGGGAAGAGAGAAAGGGAATTGGGTTGTCCTGCAAAAATGGAAATTTTGCAGTGGATAGATCCCACCAGTGAAGAGGTAGAGTTGCGCCTCACGCACCCTCGCGCCCAAGCAGGCTCGTAATTTTATTTTTTTTGTTATTTTTTTCAAATTTTAATTTTAATTTTCTTTTTTTTTTCTCCCCTCTCATTTTCTCTTTCATAATCACACATGTAAAAACTACTCAAAATCTTCACACTATTGTGGATGTCCTTAGAGGATTCATATCCATTGGTTTTTTGCACAATATTTGAGAAGCCAAGTATGAGAGATAAGGAGGAGAGAGAAGAAGAAAAAAAAAAGAAAAAGAAAAAAGCATTCTGACTCGAAAAGAAATGCCTTCTTTCATTCTCTCTCCTTGGAGTCCACAACAAACCTTACCTTGCAGGATATCAAAATGCATTCTCTCTCCTTCTTCTCTATCATCCACCTCACATTGTGCCCTACAAAAAAAATCAAGAAAAAACCACTAGTATGGATGCTCTTAGGGCGGTTTTGGCAACCATTGAATACACTCAATTATGAAACAAGCAACTCTAGCTAACACATGAACTACATTTTTTGTTGAGCGTCTAAGTAATGAGAAATCTAGATGAGGAATTTGCTCGTAATTTATTTAATATCATCCAAAATAACTCCAAGATAATCTTACATTCCCAAAATCTCACATTATCTTCATGGAGGTAATCCTATTATATGGGGTAATCTAAGATTCCGTGAACTAAACGGCCCCCTAAAGGGGAGTGAATGATGTTTACCTGTAGACACTGAAAACCCACTTTAGAATCCATCTCCACTATAACATTATCTAAGCCAAGATGTTTTGTCCAACTTAGGGCCTCTCGAACACTTAAAATGAGCTATGATGACTAGCACCAATCAATCCTCACATTTTACAGGAGGAACTTGAAAGTTTGCAATAATTATAAAATTGACATCGTGTTTTCATTTTTATTAAAACCATCAATCTTTGATGAGTCCTGATAGACGAATGTGATTAGTCTTCACTTTTTACAATAATAACCATATTCTTATTTGAATCGCCACACACACACACATAACAAGACTTTTTATAAGTAGTGTAGACAAATACTAGTCACCAATATCGTAGATCTAGCGGGTTGAAAATAAAGAAAGATAAGGGGGGAAAAACAACTGGGAGTTGGCTTAGTAGATGACCATTGGAGTTGAAATATTAAGCAGTAAATAACATACAGCTTTATAAAAAAAAAAAAAATCGTTTCAAGAATTATTAAGGAGATAGGAAGTAACTTAGTTGGCTTTGTTAGCAACTAGTGTGAATGACTACATTTCATTCGTATTTGTATCATCTAATGAAATCCTCCTTAGTAATATGGTATGAAAAGAAAGAGAGCAGAATAAAAAGTTTTCGAACCACTATAAAAATATAATCTCAATCTCTTCCCTAATCCCTACTCGCTTTACTTATAAGTCGGATCAAAATCTCTCACACATTTTCCGAATATAATTTGCCGGTCATATATGGGCCCAAAATTAAAATTTATGGGCCATAATCGATTTCATAGTCAAAAATAAATAAGCAATTGACTCTAGTTGGGCCTCAGATCCAAAAACGTTGAGCCCATTCGAGCTTATAGAGTCTTTAACCTAGTTTTATACCTTCATAGCTGCATCTCTCAGCGAAAGCTTCCCCAGAGAGAGCGGCGCTGCGAACAATGGGTATCGATTTCTATCTACTAAGCTTTGGTCTTTTGTGTTCATTTCAAATCTATAAGCACAAATGTGTTTGTTAATGATTTTCGGTGAAATTCAGGAGCCTACACTTACGTTTCGGAGCTATGGAGGAAGAAACAATCAGATGTAATGAGGTTCTTGCTGAGGGTGAGGTGCTGGGAGTACCGACAGCTTCCCTCCATTGTGCGTGTCACCAGGCCTACTCGCCCCGATAAGGCTCGCCGCCTCGGCTACAAAGCCAAACAGGTACCCTCATCTCAGAGACGTTTGTGTTGTAGTGCTTCGAATCATATACCCTTTTAGGGCTCGTTATGGTTTTTATGTTTGATTGTTCCCATTTTCTTTGGATTAGTGTGTCGTCTGTGTTCTGTGCGTTTTGTTTCAGAGCCTCTTAGTTGGCATAATAATTGAGAGCTTTTTCCATGGCCATTTTATGTATTATGTGAATGCTTTTCAGTTTTATCTAAACCAGAGTTGCTAAAGTCTATGTTGCCTTTTGTGTTCTTCAATCCCTAAATTGCATTTTGATTTAAAAGTATTATATTTTTTTTCTCGAAAGTTTTTTGATTGTTATTAGACTTTTTCCCACAAGTAACTCTTTTAATCCTTAAATATTACATTTTGGTTTTAAAGTTACATTTTTTCTCAAAATATCACACTTTTCTTTGGGATTACATTTCCATACCCATCTCACAAGAGAGTCACCCTTATATTTTATGTGTAATTGTGTTTTTGTTTGTTGTGAAACATGATTTTAATTTGCTCACCTTTTGTCCATTCTTATTAAAGAATTTCTCTTTGTGATATTTTGTGAGTTCTTGATTGATGCATTGCTAAGTATGTTTGATCTGATCAATTTTTACTCCAAAGTGGATTATACTCATCTTTGACAAGTGACAACCTCCTTTTCTACTCCAAATTTGATGATATGCTTGTGATGTATAGTTATTGTTAGTTGTTCCATTAAAGATTGTTTCTACTGCTGCAATGTCTGGTTTTCTGGCAATAATTTGTTTTCCCCAATCTTTCTAGGGCTATGTTGTCTACCGTGTACGTGTGAGACGTGGAGGGAGAAAGAGGCCTGTTCCAAAGGGTATTGTTTATGGAAAACCCACAAACCAGGGTGTTACTCAGCTGAAGTTTCAGCGGAGTAAACGCTCAGTTGCTGAGGAGCGTGCTGGCAGGAAATTGGGTGGCCTCAGGGTTCTCAACTCTTATTGGATTAATGAGGTTTAAACAGGAACTGGGCTCTTTTATTTCTGATATTGACTTTTGAGTAGAGAATTTTTGTTGCTGCCTGTGGTTCATATGATCCATCTTATATGAATACTACTAATAGTCACTGTTGTCCAACTTGGCTGAGTTTTTTTATTATATTTTTTGGTGTGCAATCTGTACATTGCTGTGTTTTTCTTATTATTACTTGCCCACCTAGGTGCTAGGCGTCCCCTTGGGGACTAGTGCCTAGGGCCTTCTACAACATTGCTTGCTAATAGTACACTTTACTTTCTTGCGTAGGACTCAACGTACAAGTATTTTGAAGTGATCTTGGTTGATACAGCCCATGCTGCTATCCGTAACGATCCTAGGATCAACTGGCTTTGTAACCCTGTCCACAAGCACAGAGAGCTTCGTGGACTCACCTCAGCTGGGAAGAAATACAGAGGTCTTCGTGGAAGGGGACACTTGCACCACAAAGCTCGACCTTCAAGGAGGGCCACGTGGAAGAGGAACCAGACACTGTCTCTTCGCCGCTATCGTTAATCCTGGAATCATTTTTGCCGTTTCTGTTACCTGCCTGGTTTGTTATGGGAATTATAGACTGTCTGGAAGAAAAAAAACAGTTGCAATCATTTTATCAGATGTCTTTGCTAGTTCTCCAGTGATGCTTTGTTTGACTATAAACTCTGCAACATGGTAACTCCCTTGAGATTGTTTTCTAGTTAAATTTTCTTGATATTATTTTTATATCTTAGTACTGTTTGTACTTCTATGACTATGGGTTTTTCCTCTTTTATTGTTGTAGTGTTCTTTGAATGATGGTGATGGTTTTTTATTATCTGTGTTGTTAAGGGCATAATATCTAATTAAGGCATAATACTTCTCAGTATTTAAAGAAGTTTCACTTCATGGTCTTGTGTTAGATAAAAAAAGCTACGGGTCCAAGATAATTTTGTTTAGTAGTTTTGTTTACAAGTTTAAAGGTTTCTAAATAATTATATTATATAAAAATAATAACTCTAAAACATTGCCTAGACAAAACTATAGGTTAAAATATAAGTTACAACAACCTATGTTATTGTGTTGATAACGGAAATAAATACCATAGCGAACTACAAGTCTACAACCATGAGTTTAACAAGAAAAAGATCAAATATCCATCAATACACAATAAAAACTTTTGACCATGATGCATTTTATTTCCATTTCAGTTTCTATCTTGGACCAATAGTGCTATTGTCTTGAGCAATAATGGGGGTGACTTCTATTACTTCTTCGGAATAAAATGTTTGAGCATGCCTTTCTCTTCGCACTTTCTCAGTGGCCAAACATTCCTTCAATTCCATGACAACGTAGTCCATGTTTGGTCTTCTAATTGGAATAGGAGATGCACATGCCATTGCAAGCTCTAATGCCTTCCACACACAATTCACCTCAAACTCCTCATTCAGCCTAGGATCAATTATTTTCTTAATGTCTCCCGTCTCCAAGAAAACGCTAACCCATTGTAGTATGTGTGGTTTCTCATCATTCACTACGATCACTGGCCTTCCTGAGATCAACTCCAAGATCACGATTCCAAAATTGTAGACATCACTCTTTTCTGTCAATCTATGAGACTCATAATACCTATATATAAAAAAAATTCTCTCATCAGTCATCAGTAAATGATTGCAACCTTAGTTATTTACTTGTACCTTGATATTTGATATTACTTAAAACAATTAAATTGTAAGAACTTATGTATTGTATTATACTCTGGATCAAGGTATCCTAGAGTGCCAACAACCCTAGTGGAAACATAGGAGCCATCATCAACAATAAAAACCCTAGACAACCCGAAATCGGATAATTTTGCTTGTAGTTTCCCGTTCAGCAGAATGTTGGTAGTCTTGACATCTCTATGAATTATAGGTGGTTTACAGCCATTGTGCAAATAATCCAATCCTGATAGAGATTACATACCAAAATAAAAATAAGCTTAACAGTAAAATAACATCAATAGTAAATAATAATATCAATAAAGAAATAATTGTGAATTATACAAAATATGGTCACGGGACATAACCTTGTGCAGCATCCATTGCAATTTGGAGTCTTTCTATCCAGCTCAAAACATGACTACTTTTCTCTGCATTAAAGAACATATATAAGAGATGTTCTTAGTACGACTTTAAATTGATTTTTTTTATTTAAAAATAATAAATCAAAGTATGCTTATAATCGACAATTATTTGATTGAATTATCATAAGTTTGAGTTAAAATCATATCTATCTTTATACCTAACAAAGAATCTCTTAGGTTCCCATTAGCCATGTATTCATAAACAAGAGCTTTGTGTTCATCCTCGTAACAATACCCAACCAGTGAAGTTAGGTATCGATGATGGACTCTTGTCAGAAGCTCAGCCTGTGACCAAAGTATAGTAGTATGCAATTAAATTTTTCTTCTCTTTGTTTTATTTAGAGGGGTAAGTATGCAATGCAATATAATTCTTATATTGAAAAATAAATTAAAATTAAAATGGAGTACAATTTTTTTTTTTTTTTTTTTTTTGTAATAAAATATTTTTTTTCATACCTCGGTTTGAAACTCACGGTAACCTTGGATAGATGATTGAGAGAGTATCTTAACAGCCACTTGAATGTCCTCTAAACAACCATGATACACTGTTCCAAAACCACCTTTTCCAAGAACCCTTTCAAAGTTTCTAGTGATTTTTAGGATTTCTGAATAGGTAAAACTTCTGTTTTTTGATTTCAAAAATTCATCTTTCTTATCAATTGTTTCAGCCAAGCGCCCTATTATTTAAAATTGAAACAATAAAAATAAAAATAAAAATGTTATCACTCAAACAATATAGCTATTACAAGATATACAAATAAGTGCATAGAAAAATATAATGACATTTTGTTTCGACAAAGAACATTTTTTAAAAAAGTTGCAAAATGAAAAGTAAAATAATGGGTGTTCTTATTTATTTAGAGTCATTAATGAGTATTGATATTAAGAGTGTATCAACGATGATGAATTGAATGAACAATATAATATATAATATATTAATATACTAATTGAATTTTGTTATATTTACCTTGTTTTGTCTTCCTTTTTCGTCGCCAGAAGAGAAGCAAGGCAGTCAAGAGGATGAAAGTTGGAATAACTGATGTAACCACTGGAATCACAAATTTCTTTGATGGCTTTTTCTCATCACAATTGTTTGATTCACAAGAACTGTGTGGCGTTGTATCGTCGTAACCTTCAATTCTAATCATTTTCAATATTATGGTAATTAATTAGTTTTTTTTATTATAAAAAAAAAAGGTAATTAATTAGTTAAATTATCAGTTTTAGAGTGTGTATCTACAATGTTAATATGTTATACACAAGTACGTAAAAGTAAATTGATTATTAGCCAACAATAGCTTCAAGAAGGCAAACCTTAGTGTTAGTCCTTTTTTGGTTCTTTCTATAAGTTCTTGTGGAATTGGACGCGAAAATTGATTTCCAGTTAAGTTTCTGTAAATGATACAAAAAAAATCAAAATATATAATAAAATTTAACTCTTTAGGGAAATACTAATAGTATAATTATTACATTTAAAATATTTAAAAACTATATATATATATATATATATATATATATATATATATATATATATATATATATATATATATAGAATTAGGTTCTGATGCGGTTAGGGTGTCCAGGTGCGGTTGTGCGGTTTAATCTAAGTCATTCATCTCGCTTAAATCAACGTCCAGGATTGTCAAAATAAAAAAAAATGCGGTGGCAATTTTGTAATTTTTACATCTAGGTCAAAATTAAAGTGAGCGGATCTGTGATTAATGTGCATGAGTTTTGTATATAAGATGCGTGAGGTTTGTGTGTAAGGTGCGTGAGTTTTGTGCTTAATGTGCGTGAGGTTGTGCTTAACGTGAGTAGTTGTTAAAACTTAAAGTGTGGACTTTTGTGCTTAAGTGCGTGAGATTTGTTCTTAATGTGAGTGGAGTGTGTGCTTAATGTGCGTAGGGTTTGTGCTTAATGTGTGTGAGGTTATTGATTAATGTCAGTAGTTGTTGAAACTTAAGGTCTGTGAGTTAATACTTAAAGTGCGTGGGGTTTGTGCTTAATGTGCGTGAGGTTGTGCTTAATGTGCGTGAGTTTTGTACTTAATGTGTTGAAACTTAAAGTCTATGAGTTAATATTTAAAGTGCGTGAGTTTTGTGCTTAATGTGCGTGAGGTTGTGCTTAATGTGTGTGAGTTTTGTACTTAATGTGCGTGTTTCTATTACGTAAGGTGCACCATTTTTAGCTTATGTTTCTTTCTTCCAGACACGCGCGCATTTTTTTTTTAATTTTCATTGATTTGAGCTGTTGATATAAATTTGATCAACGGCTCAGATCTAACCGCACAACCGCACGGGAAGCTATACCCGCACCTGAACCCTTCCCTATATATATATATATATATATATATATATATATATATATATATATATATATATATATATATATATATATATATATATATATATATATATATATATATATATTTTTTTTTTTTTTTTTTTTTTTTTTTTTTTTTTGGTTCCTGTGAGGTCATGTCTTCCTGTGCGGTCAGTGCGGCATACACCATTAGGTATGTATAAATGCACCATACAGTGTTCGAAAATACACCAGAATGAAATGCCAAAAAATACACCACACAAAAAAATACACCACACATAATGATTTATTTATGAACACTGTGTGGTGCATTTATGCATACCTAATGGTGTATGCCGCACTGACCGCACGGGAAGACCTGACCTCACAGGAACCTGACCCTATATATATATATATATATATATATATATATATATATATATATATGTGTGTGTGTGTGTGTGTGTGTGTGTGTGTGTGTGTGTTTACAGGCTTACAGCTATGTAAAGAAATTAGCCACTTACAAGACTTTCAAAGATGGCAATTCACTTAGAAAGCTAGGCAATTGGCCAGTCAATCCATTATTGGATAAATCCCTGTAAAATTATATATATATAACAATAACATACAGTTATACATTGAATCATTAAAAAAAAATCTCACTGCACGGGACTTTGTGAGAACACCCGTTCGAGTAAAAACTATGGATTGATCTCAACTCCTAATATGAATAGTAAAGAAATCTGAAAAAATGCCGTAACCTTTTTGTAAATATTTTCAACTTTGAAAGTGTAGCATGTACAATCACAAAGTGCATTCGATAATATATACAAATACACTCAAGATAAATGTACTTCACATATCATTGTGCACTTTGTTTATTGGTCATTGCACTTTGTAATGTTGATTAGTGCGCTTTGTATGTTGGTCGATGCACTTCAAAATTTGATATGCACTCAAGAGAATATTAATGCACTTCTCATTTAGTGTGCATTTTTGTAGTATTCGTTGATGCATGTGTTTCAGAGTTTGAAGTATATATTTATCAAAATGTCACCGTATTTTTTTTTTGGATCCTCTTACTTTACAACCTTTGATCTTGAAACGATGAAACGATCAGAGATCAATCCGTAGTTTTTACATGGATGTTGGTTTGATGATCTGATTCATTCATTTTTATATATATATATATATATATATATATATATATATATATATATATATATTGGTTTCTGTGAGAACAGGTCTTCCCGTGCGGTTAGTGCGGCATACACCATTAGGTATGCATAAATGCACCATATATAGTGTTCGAGAATACACCAGAATGAAATGCCAAAAAATGCACCATATAAAAAAAAATACACCACACATAATGGTGTATTTTCGAACACTGTAGGGTGCATTTATGCATATCTAATGGTGTATGCCGCACTGACTGCACGGGAAGAACTGTTCTCACAGGAACCTGACCCTATATATATATATATATATATATATATATGAGTTTGTTGTGCTTACAAGTACTCCAGGGATGTAAGATCGGATATGCTAAGAGAAATGTTGCCGGCCAATCTACTTGCGGACAGATTCCTAATAATTGATCAATGCAAACAATGCTTGCTCAGTTCAATATATGCAGATATATCAAATATTATTTGCACATAGTAGTTAAGTAGTACTAATTAATAATAATTAGTAGTAAACTAATAATATTAAAATAAAATTAAAAAAAGAGATAAATTAATTTAGAGTAATGGTTAGAAAGAAAATTAAATGTGTAAATATTATTATTTATGAATATAGGAAAATAATAGAAGCTTACAAGTGTGTGATGATGGGAGGTTGATTAGCATTATATCTGCAACGAAGGCCTTCCCATAAGTATAGTTGAGGTAGACAAGGATCTCCCACCCAATTCTCTCGCTTCAAACTATAATTTGACTTGATATTCGCCATAGCCACCACTAAATATTTCAAATCATTACTCACCAATTACCATCATTATTACTACTATACCTTCTTTAAAATTACATATTTCTATTGTCACTACTTGCCTACTTACCTCTTTTGTCACCTTATGTATCTCATATCGAGATACATTTATTTTACAAGCAATTAATTACGCGCATTACTTATTCACCAATATAACTACGTACATTCATTATCTTTATTATATTCACACCGTTATTTCTCTATCATTACCAAGGAGGTAAATTAGCCTTGTCTGGCTGTCTTTTCGCCCTAGCCGACAAAGGATCGCAAGAAGGTAAATTTATTTAAGTTGTTTATAGCTAACTAGCTCAAACTAATTAAGAAGGCAAATAAGCCATTTTCATTGAGACTTAAACTTGGAACATTGTGGTTATCAAGAAGTGGTTTAATTGGTATTTCTTTGTTGGCAAAAACTTTGTGAGACACGGATCCTTGTCCATGAGACAGGTAAGGTTAAAATAAAATGTAATACTTATACTAACAAATCTAATACTTTCACATTTTGATGTAAAAATATTATTTTTTTTCATCAAAAGTATTATATTTTCTCTCATAAGTACATTACTTTTAAGTTATAACTATGATTTTTGATTCACATTCCTAATGTATACACCTATGAACCAAACATACCCTTAAGATATGAGAAATAATGTACCCCTCCGTTCCATTTTATGTTAGGTGTTTGAAAATAATTAAGTTAGGTGGTTCATCTCCCAAACTGCTCATCCAAATGCAATCTCAATACAGTGAAAATGATATTAAATGTTGCGATATGAGAATTAATGTACCATTCCGTTTCATTTTATGTGTTTGATTCGGTTAACGGGGCTGAATTGAAATCATTTTTAATCTAATTTTTTTATAATATTAAGTTTAATATTAGTATACAAAATGTATATATTTAGAAAGTACACTACAAGTACTACTAATGAATAGTAAGTAGTATGACAGATAAAATGAGATAGGTAGATGGTGTAATATATACTTACCATCAGTTTCGCGAGTTTGTGATTTCAAGAATCTTTTAACAACGTAGATTTCCATGGCGTTAATGAGCGGTGGGAGGGTGGAATTCTGAGTCTTGAGGAGGGTAAAATTCCATTGAGCTTCACTTTCAGCACTTGTTGAATATATAGTGTTGATGCTAAAATACGCTGGGGAAATTGGCACGTTATACCAGAGCTCATTATCGTTCATATAAATGTTGAACTCTCGGGATTGGTTGGGTAGCAGACTCGTTAACTCGGCAAAATGCATGTACACGTAATAACCCGTTGTCTGGTCGTTCGGCTTCCAAGATATTATTGGCAAGTTTTCCTCTGCCTTTTCCTTTGACAGGGCTGTTTCCATGACTTTGTAGGGCACTTCAAAGCTATTCTCAGCTATTTTCTTGTTTTGGTTTGATGGTATTGGGCTTAATGATATCAATTTTGGACTAGCGTCATATGGGTACCATAGCCGATCTCTCTTATCATCTGGGTACCTGCCCAACCATCATCAAATTCGCAAATTATACATGTAAACTTCTAATTTTATAAGTATTTCAAGCTTATCATATTTATTTATTTATAAAACTAATTTGTCATTTTTATCTTTATTTTTTGGGAACACTTAGCGGTTGATCTATCCAAGTAAATAGGTCATGTCAATTATAACTTTTTACCGAGGAGGATGTTCTCACATAGAGTGTTGTTCTAATTTTACCTAATTTTTCATTTTTCTCTAATTATGGTAGGATATATGGGGGCGAGTTCCTATGAGAACACCTTTACTATTGCGGTTGTGTGGTTAAATTTGACCCATTCATATTGCCTAAATTAACGTTCAGGATTAACAATGATTAAAGAAATACGGTGGCAATTGGTCGTTTTGCATCTATGTTGAATTTAAGGTGTGTGGTTTGTGTGCTTAAGGTGAGTCTGTTGTTGAAGCTTAAGGTGCGTCGACCTAAAGTTTTAGGTGAGTGGTTTCCTTCTTAAAGTGCGTTCTTGAAACTTAAGGTGCGACATTTTAAAACTTTAGGTGCGTGATTTGTGTTCTTTAAGGTTCCAGATTTAAATGAGTATTCTCACATGATCCTAAATCTCTCTCTCTCTCTCTCTCTCTCTCTCTCTCTCTCTCTCTCTCTCTCTCTATAAGTTTTTATTGTGTATTAAATGAGTGTTCTTTAAGGTTCCAGATTTGGGTTCAGGTGCGGTTGATGCTTCTTGTGCGGTTGGATGCACCTTAAGCATTAACATGGCACACCTTAAGTACACAAATCACCACGCACCTTAAGTCCACAAACAAAGTACCTTAAAGAACACAAATCACTCACCTTAAGTACAAAATTCATGCACATTAAGCACAGAACAAAGCACATTGAGCACAAAATTTACACACTTAAAATTTTAAAATGTCTCACATTAAGCACAAACTCACGCACATTAAGTACAAAACCCAAGCACATTAAGCACAAACCTCACGCACATTAAGTATTAAACTGACGCACTTTAAGTATTAACTCACAGACTTTAAGTTTCAACAACTACTAACATTAATCACAAACCCCACCCGCACAAACCCCACACACATTAAGCACAAACTTCACTCACCTTAAGAACAAATCTCACGCACTTTAAACACAAAAGCCCACACTTTAAGTTTTAACAACTATTCACATTAAGCACAACCCCACGCACATTAAGCACAAAACTCACGCACATTAATCACAAAACCACTCACCTTAATTTTGACCTAAATGCAAAAATTACAAAATTGTCACCGCGTTTTTTGTTTTTTTTTTTTTTTTTTTTTTAATTTTTGAAATCTTGGACGTTGATTAAAGCGAGATGAATGGCTCAGATTAAACCACACAACCGCACCTGAAGCCCTCACCCGCACGAGAATCGATTTATATATATATATATA